TGTTCTTTGCGTCTAGCCAGACCTTGTCTCTCTTTTGATACTGAGGTGCATTGAGGCGATCTCAACCTGGCTGGGCTGATATGAAATATCTAAAATGCTCAACCAGTATAAGTGAATCTTGGCTCTGCCTAGCTGCTATACTCGCAGAATGCAAGAATGTTCGACCCTAAAGGGGACTGCTACTGAACACAGAACCAGATGAATGAAAGACCCTTGTAGTGCGATGGATGCGCGAAAGCATGAGAAGAAAAGCGAAGTGAGCATGAAGCGTGAGAGAGCACACTAAGGTAAGCACGAGTGTGAGAAAGTGTGCACTAAGGCGCATGGTGTGCAGGAGAATACCGGTGTAGAGACTCGCGTTTCTGCAGGCTCATATGGGCTCATTTTACGAATTCTGACAACTGGCCTTCATGGCACAACTCGCACCATCATCCACTATGACTTCCCTATAGAGTGCACCACTTTCCCGCACAACACGCAGTATTCCCGCGTGCGCGCCTTGCGCACTTTCTCGCGCTTAAGCGCACTATGTCGCACAGCATCCAGGAGCATCCATCCATCATCCAACCAGTCCCTCGGTATGTCCCTTTTCGTTATCTGACCATATTTAGCATATTACACTTCCCATTTCATTATGCACCCTTACTTTACATCACCTTACCTCATTTACATACTTAGAGCGCTCCCTATTCGGCTCCGAGCCCTGGGAGAGCGCTTAGGTAGAACTTACATACACTCATGTTCGTTTTACACCCAACTATTTCACCTTACCTTCCTACCACTCAGTATCTATCACCAGTTAGCTCCATGCAATGCATGTGTCCATCATTGTTTTGAGGCCCTAGCATCAGTCTATAGCTAGTGGCACTATCAGTATCCGTCTAGATCCGCGCTTTCCCTCTTATCAGTCTCAGTATATATCTTTTACACCTGTGCACTGCTTGCACTACCTTCCCGCGCTCCGCGCACTTTCGCACTTCGCTTTCCCGCGCGCGCTTTCTCACGCTTTCACCGCCATTCACCAGGGTTGTTCAGCATCATTCCGTGGATCCTTGCTTTCCTTGCTTCCCCCTTTAGGGTCGAACGTTCTTGCATTCTGCGAGTATAGCAGCTAGGCAGAGCTGAGACTCACTTATACTGGCTGAGCACTTTTCTTATATGTGCCTGCCAGGTTGTGATACCCACACCGGATGAGGGAAACGGATAAGGAAATGGATGTGCAAAGCGAGTGCAAATGCAGAGTGAGTGTTATAACGAGCATGGATAATAGTCTAGTATAGGCAGATAACGATAACCATTGGAAACACAAAGTGTGCCCAAGTGGTGACTACTACTTGAAAGTAAAACCCAATAGTGAGGGAAGTACAGCAAAGGGGAGTAATAATGATGAAGTAGTAAGTCAGCAAACTTTATACTATGGAAATCACATCAGAAGCAGAAGGGATAGGAGGAGTAAGCACTAAGAATACATAATGACATGTAATAGCACTGCAATGCTTGTTACAAACCATGAGGCAAGGAATATGATGTACAAATGAGGTGGATGGACATAGATGGACGTTCCTGGATGATAGGCGATGCAGGGCGCTTAAGCGCGAGAAATCACGCAAGGTGCGCGTGTGGGAATGCTGTGTGTTGTGCGGGAAAGTATTGCGCCTATGGCGCATTTCACAGGAAAGCTGCGCGTTATGTGTAAAATGACTAGAGACATGATAGAAATCAAATATAGCTGATCGTGCAAGTTGTGCAGTGATGCCCAGTTGTCCTGAGTCATGATATAGGCTATATATGTGTCATATCAGCCTGCAGAAACACAAGTCTCTACAGTGTTTTTAACTCCTCGGTCATAGAAGTGTTTCATGTGTTCATTGACTATCTTTAGAGTATTTTCCGCATCATCTCTTGCTTCTCTCATTTGATCTGCTCTTTCATCGGTGGCAGGAATAAGGGATGTGGAGTTCAGAGATATGGTGAATTCGGGATTATATCCATAAAGGACTTTGAACGGACTGTGACTGGTTACTGTGACTGTATTGTTATGTGAAAACTCTGCTATTGGCAGCCAAGATACCCAATCATTTTGTCTATATGAGGCAAACATGCGCAAGTATTGTTCAACTTCTTGGTTTACACCTTCTGTCTGTCCATCTGTTCTGGGATGATAGGATGTTGAGGCAGACCATTTCATTCCTAATCTTTTCGATACTTGTCCCATAAACTTTGAAATGAACTTTGTTCCTCTATCCGAAATCACCTTTTTTGGTGTACCATGATGTTTCCATACATTTTTTAGAAATAGCTCGGCAATTCCCTTCGAGTCTACGTCTTTGGTGGTGGGAATGAAGTGCGATTGTTTTGAAAATCGATCAACAACATCAAATATACTGTCGCATCCTTCACTCTTTGGTAAGTCCACTATCAGGTCACATGAGATTGTTTGCCAAGGTCCTTCTGGAACTTTATTTGGCTGTAAAGGTCCCATTGGTTTACTTAGGAACACTTTTGTTTGTTTGCATCGATCACAACCATCTATGTAATTATGGACATATTTTGTCATTGACGGCCACCAATAATTTCTGGAAATCAATTCTAAGGTTTTGGCACATCCAGGATGTCCAGCTGGTGGAGAGTCGTGAAACAACTCCAATATTTCTCGGTGGATGTCTTTATCATTTGGAACATATACCAGTCCTCGGAATAACACCAATCCATCTTCAACATTCCATTCTTTGACTCCTCTGCACAATTGTACTGGTGCTGCTTTTAGCGTTTCTAGTGCTTTCATTACTTCGGGCTCTCATTCTGTGCTCTTTCTTATCTTTTTCATGAGCGAACTTTCTCCTTCTATGAGAATTTGGCCTCGTTTAGCAGCATTGACTTTGAAAAACTCTGGTTTTAACAAAATGCGGTCAGAATTATCGTTTTCTACCCCCCCCCCCCCCTCTGTGGTCTTCTCTCCGAGATAGACGGTTGGCTTTGTCATTGACTACACCAGGCTTATGTTGGAGTGTAAATTCATACTCCGCCAGGAATAGACTCCATCTGGCTTGCCTTCGTGTCAACTTTTGACTCGTCATAAAATACTCGAGATTCTCATGATCCGTCCAGATCTCCACATGTTGGGGTTTTCCCTGCACATAGTGCCTCCACTCTTCTAATGCTTGAATGATTGCTAATAACTCTTTATCATGAATGTCGTAATTTCTTTCTGCATCATTCATTGACTTCAAATAATAAGCCACTGGGTGCCATAAGTCATCTTCCATCAATTGAGATAGAACTGCTCCTGTTGCGTAATCAGAAGCATCGGTTTCCATTTCCATTTTCTTCTTAACATCAGGCATGACTAAGACAGGAGCTTCTGTAAAACGCTTCTTTAATTCATCAAAGGCGTTTTGCTGTCTCTCTGTCCAATCCCATTTGGCATCTTTTTGTAGCAAATCATTCATTGGTCTAGCAATGTCTGAGAACCCAAGTATGAATCTTCGATAGAAGTTGGCAAAGCCCATGAATGCTTGTATATCTTTTACGCATTTGGGAACAGGCCATTTCAATACTCCTTCTACCTTGACAGGGGTCCATAGATACACTGCCTTTTCCACGATCAACCCAAGGAATTCGACTTTAGACTGTTCGAAGCTACATTTCTTGGGCTTGACATACATGAACCTGGACACATCTTTTAAACACAATATAAGAGTCTGTAGGATTAACATAAGTAAACCAACGCGACTCAGATTTGAAGGGAGTACTTGCCACAGGTCCTGGGTGGGTCAGCGTAAACTTGATGATATAAGTCAGCCAGTCTACGAGCAGATTTTCGACATCCATGAAGATGTGATTACCAGCAATGTCAACTTTGTCACTGCAGTCGACAGGTCCAAAAGGGAGGGCAGTACTAGTGGGAGGCATTAGAATATAAGTAGGTATAAGATTAAGAGTTATCAATACCTGAGTACGTGTCAACCTAATACACTACTCACAAAATTCCAGCAGAGCCCAATCTAATAGGAGCCAAACAAGGACAAGCGCGTCAATATTGATGATATTCACGCATCTTTATCACTGATTCTTATTTTTCTGTCCTACACCTCGGCCCGTCACAAATGCACTACCTCTATTTCATTGTCTTCTTTATCCAACAGTTCTAGCTCATCTGAGTCAGTAGTAGTTGTACCTCCGAAGAAGATCTCGAAGAAAGTCACCAGGCCAAAGAAAAGGTGGTGTTCATCAGATGATGATGACAAAGGGACGTAAGTAGATTTATCATCAGTTTTTTGGATGTTGCAATCACTAATAATGTTTAAATCCAGGAATATGGAGCCTGAGACTGATCCTCATGAGGAATTTCTTGCTGCATCACGTTGTATAGTGCGCTGCATTGATGTCTTCTGTAAGACAAAACAACCAATAACTGTAGGTCTTTCTCTGCAGCAGCACAACACTGCAGAGAATGGTGATGTCTCGGAAGATGAAGATCTCCGTGCTAGTCGTGACAAGCGACTCTCAAAAATGTAATTCACTTCTAAATCTTACCATTAACTAAATCTTTTCTGGCTTGCAGGTCACCCAAAATCCAAGATCAATACAAGAGAAACTACACTTGTCTACTCCAGCTTGCTCCGAGCTTGAAACCTCTGCTCGGTGATCCTCAGAAAGCCTCGGAACTCAGCCTTATCATCAAGAAGGTGAGTGTATGCGCATATTATGTACTGATTTCATCCATCAGATGGATGCTACTATTTCAGCTACTCATCCTGACAATACCTCATGCCTGAAGAGTCAAATCAGTCACTACACGGCCTTTAATGTTCACTCCCCAATAATGCTAGCTATATATGATGGCACTGGTTCACGTACCCACCTGGGTAGTAATCACCCCATTCTTGCTTGATTTCTCTGTCCAGTCAGGGAGCTCAAAGAATTTTCAAAGGATGCTGATAAGTGCGTATTTTTTCATTTATTCCAACTCAAGGTAGTCTAATGCTGTACAGGGCTCAGAAAAACTTCAGAGCGGCAAGATTAGAATGACTGCCTCCACTCTTCCTGCCTTTCTATGGGCTGGGGATCTACTGGGCAAAGACTACAATGACGACAACATGTTTGAAGGGATGTTTGAAGGTCATTTGTTGGAAAGAGTATGCATTTTTTATTATTGTTGCTTTATGCTGATGTTCCTTTAGACTATGCGCCATATTTTTACAAGTCCCTCAAGTGTGTATGGGGGGGAGATGTGGGTGACACGCACATGTAATGCTGCTCTTCATGACATGATGACAGTAGAAGCAGCACATATTGCCTATGGCTGCTTGCAGGTTTGATTCCCCAAGTTCTCTCTGTAGTCACGATGAGGCGATCTCAACCTGGCTGGGCTGATATGAAATATCTAAAATGCTCAACCAGTATAAGTGAGTCTTGGCTCTGCCTAGCTGCTATACTCGCAGAATGCAAGAATGTTCGACCCTAAAGGGGACTGCTACTGAACACAGAACCAGATGAACAAAAGACCCTTGTAGTGCGATGGATGCGCGAAAGCGTGAGAAGAAAAGCGAAGTGAGCGCAAGGCGCAAGAGAGCGCACTAAGGTAAGCACGAGCATGAGAAAGTGCGTGCTAAGGTGCGTGTTGTGCGGGAGAATACCGGATGAGGAAACAGATGTGCAAAGTGAGTGTTATAGCGAGTGGAGATAATAGTCTAGTATAGGCGGATAACGATAACCATTGGAAACACAAAGTGCGCCCAAGTGGTGACTACTACTTTAAAGTAAAACCCAATAGTGAGGGAAGTACAGCAAAGGGGAGTAATAATGATGAAGTAGTAAGTCAGCAAACTTATACTAGGGAAATCGCATCAGAAGTGGAAGGGATAGGAGCAGTAAGCGCTATGAATATGTAGTGACATGTAATAGTGCTGCAATGCTTGTTACAAACCACGAGGCAAGGGATATGACATATCAATGAGGTGGATGGACATAGATGGACGTTCCTGGATGATAGGCGATGCGGGGCACTTAAGTGCAAGAAAGCGCGCAAGGTGCACGTGTGGGAATGCTGCGTGTTGTGCGGGAAAGTATCGCGCCTATGGCGCGTTTTGCGGGAAAGCTGCGCGTTACTTGTGGAATGGCTAGAGACATAGTCGAAGTTGCATAATGGATGAGCATGCGAGTTGTGCATTGGAGGCCAATTGTCATGAGTTGTGAAAAGGTGTAATATAGGCCAATCTGCGCCTGCTCAAACTCAAGTCTCTACAACGAGTTGCTCATTTTTTAAAGGTTCATTTTGGTATTCGCACCAAGAATGCTTGGTTGGAAGTCGACAGCAATTTCAACTATAGGGACTTTTACAACAACATTGTCAACCTCATCAAAGATTCCCCTAATCCAGAAAGGAAAGACAAAATCCTCAAAGCTTGGAATATGTAAGTTTTTTTTATATTCTTGATGTCATGCTAATATGATTGATTCAAGGAAATTATTTAAGAATGAGGAAGGCCATGATGGAAACTCTATCTCTAGTAGAGATAGCGACATTTCCAGCACCTCAGATGAATGAGTCCATGCCCAAATGGTGGCCTGTTGTGCAGCCAAGGCAGCTCCAGCACATCATCCTTCTCCCCCACCTTCCCTTTCACCACCTCCCCCTCCTCCAGCTCGTCCTTCTGAACCAATGCCTTCTCACAAATCAACTCCAGTGCCGCCTCCTGCTCACAGGACAGTTCCTACTCCTAGGCTGGTTCCTACTCCCAAGCAAGTTTCTCCTTGCAAGGTTCCAGCTCCATCTGCGCCAGCACCTGCACATGTTGAGTCACCCACCCCCAGTGATCTAACAGGGTCCTTGGAGTTGGATGAGGAGTCTGAACCCATCCAGACCAAATGTAAATGCAAGGCCAAGAAGGGGAGCACCAAAGTCTCTAAACCAAAGTGTGGCAAGGCTGCCCCATCTGCAGAAGCCAAGCTACAGAGAAGTTCAAGGAAGTAGTTGTCCCCTGCCTCATGTATCATCACATGTTCTCCTCATTCGCATTGCTTGCAGACCCCCATGTGTACTTTCATTTTCTCACTGTCATTTGCTACTGTGTTGTACTACTGACCTACTCATAGATCACTCATTTCCCCATTCTGTTGTCTGCTCTCAATTACCTGCATTTGCATACATAGGCTTGGAACTGTTGTACCTCACTGCTTTGTACTACCACTAATTCAATGCATTACATGATTATATCCAAATGCAATTGCAATGTCTGATGAATCTGAACGAAATTCAAATGGATTATGTACATAGCAATGTATGATATATCGGTACCCTAGCCTAATGCCATACTACAGTCATATAGCAGTCACCATGTAGGAATTGAGTTTCCTAACATTGCCTTACATTGAGAGCTTGGGCTAGATACATATGGCAGGTATGGTGGCTCCGACATGACCATGTCTGGATTCAGTAATTTTGGTGATGAAGCAGCAGTACCGGTACTACCTGGGCAACACCCCTAATTGTCGCCACCATCGTGACTGTGGGAATTTCCTCAAAAATAGATTCACTTGCAGAAACGACTTTTTAGTTGGAGACAAACTTGAGACAAACACGACTTGCAGAATTTTCGGGATATTTGACATCCAAACAGAGGTACGGATTTGTAGCAGCAGCCCTAAACAGACGCCATTCAGAGGACTGTCATCAAAACACTTTTGAGATTATTTTGACTTCGCAAAACAACCTCTTTCTTCACCCAAAACCGCGTCTGTTTTTTTTACCAGTGTGTTATTTCTCCACCCTTTCTCAACCCTAGGTTCCTTGGCGTCAAAAAGTATGTCTTGCACTTTTTTTTTTCAAGTCCGTCAAATGCAAAACTTCATCCCAAGCCCCCTCCTTGCTCCCATTTGGCTGACGCGGCAGCGCAGTATACGAGCATCCCATTGGATCACTATATTAACGCCCAGGTCAAGGGCGAAGCTTGTGTCGATGGAATGTCGGACGTCAGGACGCTAGCTGAAGGAATGGGTCTAGCGTGGTTTCAATCATACCTTGATATCACCTGTATGGAACAACATTTACCCTTCGTATCGCTATCGTATGCTGACATGCAATGTGACATGGAACAACTTACCACGATTGTATGATCGAATCATTATTGATCACGCAGCCCTCCCACCGGTGGGCTACATACCTTCAGTCTTACGTTACAATTCGCGGAAGATTACATCCAAGCGTATCTGAAATGAAGACACTGGACCCATATTCATGCGCCACGTGTTATCAAATAGTGATCACGCCCTGCTCTACTGAGGTTATATGAGGTGAGTCTAGATCGTACACGACCCCATGACTTGAATGAAGGAAGCCATACTAAAATTTAAACACTCAATGCTTCAGCTTCCCAACACCATGGATGGGTTCAAGTTTCTTCCTCCGTTCCTGCACAATCGCTATGATTGCAAACCACGCCAGGAACTCAGCTTGTCTGCGTGACTCTACTCTCCTGCCTGATGTAACTGTGTTTGCTGAAGATCGTTGTCAGAAGCGATCTTTGCACGCTTACCCTCGCTCACGCTTCTTGATTTGTACGTTCGCTGGGCCTCAAAATGTCTGCCACTAGCTTCTATATGAACTCGTACCCTCTTTAAGGTCTGGTTCTTACCTTAAATTGAACTGTAAGTAATGTCCGAGCTTCATCTTTGCACCTATCTCACCGGCGCCAGATAAGGTTATGTCCGCTATCTATATTCAGCTTGATAGTTGCAATCTGTCGCTGGTTTTCGAGTGTCCTCGCCAGTCATATTACTCAACATATGACTCTCGACATCACTCTCGTACGTACTTTTGATTCTCCGTCGCAATCAACGTATTAATTTCTCTCCCCATCAAATAATCTCCCTTAGTCTTTTGATCCAAGACTGAGTCCCTTTCCCGTTCCTAGTCCGAACCTCCTCATTCGTAAGAATATTGCAAGTGCCAGTTATGATGGCTTCCCCAAGTTCGAATTCACACTCAGAACATACCAGGGACGAAGCGGTTCTTGCTAGGTTGGGATATAAGCAAGAGTTTCGCAGGGAGTTCACTCCATTAGAGGTGGGTCCTCATCAGAGCCTTGGGCATGCTTGGCAATGTCCTTGCACAGGTCTTTGGTGTTGCATTCAGCATCGTGGGGCTCCTTCCATCCATTGCGTATGATGTGTTATTCTACCGAGACGAATTGTTCGCTGATACAATGTTTGTTCAGATCGGTGCTCTTCAATGCCATGCCCAACGGTGGTCCTCTTGCAATGGTTTGGGGTGTAAGGCTTCACATGTTAAAAGTATCGGATCTTGTACTCATTCCGTTATACAGTGGCTGTTTGCCTGTGCTTTTATCATGTGTATCGGTTTGGCCATGGCGGAGCTTGCATCTGCGGCACCAACCTCAGGTGGAGTATGTCCTTCATCCTGTCGCCGATACAGATTCGACCTCTCACAAGTATCTAGTTGTATTACTGGACCTATTCACTTGCCTCCCCTCGTTGTCGGAATTTTCTCTCGTGGATAGTTGGGTGTGAATATGACCTTTCCTTTCAAACTCGTTTCACTGACATGTGCCATCACGCAGATTCTAATACGATCGCGTCTATCGCAGCATTTGGTGAAGAACTCAATGTGCCGTGAAAAATTCGCTTATTGAGTTACGAAACTAGCTTCAGTAGATTGGGCATGCGCGATCCAAATCACAGCGGCAGTTAGTATCGCATCTAATCAAGTATACGTGACAACCAATGGACAGATCTAGTGAGTGTTTTTATGTCTCGTCGATGTGTCAGCTTCCCTGATCCCTTGCAGTGGTATATTTGCAGCGTTGGTGTTATCCCATGCTGTCCTTGTGAGCCTCGGGACACAAATCCTGGCAAGACTTCAAAGACTATACATCCTCCTAAATGTGTGGTAGGTGTTATATTTCCGTCTTGTACTAGTTTCTTCAGGTTCACTGCCTGAGGCAGCCTCTGCTTTATAGTCATCATCGCGCTTCCAATCGCAACGCCATCAGAATTCAGAAACAGCGCCAGCTACGCACTCGGAGACTTTACTAACTGTATGTGACATGTACTATTGTCATCTCCATCTCATAATTTTTGTCAGTGGACGGCTGGCCATCTGGATTTGCGTTCATATTAAGTCTATTGGCGCCTCTCTGGACGATAGGTTTGGCTTATCCCTTGTTGCTCCCATTTTGTTTGACAATCTAACAGGTGGTTATGATTCAAGTGTACACATGAGTGAGGAGGCATCCAATGCCACTACCGCCATACCATGGGCCATTGTGAGTAGCACTAGACACTGTAGCCACAATGCTAATGCAAGCAGATCGGCTCCATTGCAATATCTGCAGCCCTTGGCTGGGGTGCGTGTCACGTTGTCGAATATATTGTTACGAATTTAATGGCTTCCAGGCATCAATGTCTCCCTTGTATTTTGCATGGGCAGTGACCTCGAAGGCATCTTGAGCAGTCCGATCGGTCAACCTATGGCGCAGATATTCTACAACTCTTTTGGGCAAAAAGGAGCGTTAGCCCTCTGGTCTCTCGTCATTGTGGCACAGTGTGTTCTTCAGATATTAGGCTCCCCTTACTGCTCTAAAAGAGGAACAGATATATGATGGGATCGAGCGTGCTGCTTGTCGGTTCCCGCCAGACGTTTGCGTTTTCTCGTGATGGCGGTCTACCGTTCTCGCGATATTTTTTACCGAATCAATAGCTACACAGGAACGCCAGTCAATACTGTTTGGCTCGATGCTTTGCTTGCTCTTGCGATCGGTCTTCTGGCGTTCGTGAGCACACAGGCCATCAACGCAATATTTACCCTCGTAGTCACCTCTTCATACATATCTTACATCACCCCAATCGCAACCCGTTTCGCTTTCAAGAATGATTTCAAGCCCGGTCCATTTAATCTTGGGAAATTTGTGAGTCAGAAAGCAATGGATGTGATCTTAGACTTATGTCTCTTGCAGAGCTTTCCTGTCGCAGCAATCGCTGTGTCATGGATGGTCTTCATGAATATGGTTTTCTTCTTCCCCACGACCCCACAGACTACTGCGCAAGAGATGAACTATACAGTGGTCGTCCTAGGTGGTTTCATGTCCCTCGCTGTTTTCTGGTATTACTGCCCGGTATACGGAGGAGTACACTGGTTCAATGGACCTGTCTCAAATCTAATGTCAGCCGAGAAGGGGCAAGATGATGAATCGGCATCAGAGAAGACAGGGAAAGGGCGAGGAGTAGATGTCTTGATCGTGGACGCATAAGTCTAGTTCTCAATGTTATAACTGTTGCAACATGATTATGCCCCACTTAGTCCCTAGTCACTCGAAGCCTTCATAATTACGTAGCGTTGACTTGAATAAGCACTCCATAGCTAACATGAACCTTTGGGGGGTTATCCGTGAATCTCAGAAACCATCAGGAACGCTTGAAACAGAGCTGGAACGACAAACGGGGCCCTTTTCTCTGCCTCAATCTCATTGAGACCTCGCTCAGCTCGAAGGCGCTTATATCTTTCTTGCCGTAGTTCGTTCTCAACTTCAGCGAGACGAGCTTCAAGCTCTGCATTATCATATTGAACGAAGGCTAAATGCAGCTCGGAACTAGTCACCTGAGGATTTTTGTGCTCGTCCAGATTCGAGGATGTGGCGAGGAGCATCTAGATGGCACAATGAAGCTACGAGGTCGGTTTCGCGCGCTCGCAAGGCAGTCATTTCCCGTCGGGTATCCCAAAGATTGCGTGTGAGTCGGGATGTTACATTGCTATCAGGAGTTGATTGCGGCTTCTCGGGCAGCGACGATGCTATGGTGGTCGAACTAATTCGAGGAGGTAGCTCCACAAAAACTGGACAATTAGGAAGAGATGGGTGCAGCTTAGCGAGACTAACTTGCGTTCCCTGATTTGCCACATCTGAGCCGAGAGCGCTAGAGAGCTGCACGGGGCTCACCACCGGCTGTTGCTGATGGAGTGGGTTTACGGTTGTGCCCTCTGTCAGGGCTTTGGAATGATTAGGACCTGTAGGATCAAATATGTCTGAGAACTGGTTGAGACTTTCCAGTGCACCCTGTTGCATATAGACACTACTAGGACTTTGCTCTTGCTTCTTCCCTCGCTCCTTATCTTTCGGGCTTGCTGTATACCCCTTCCCCTTGTGATACTGCGGTTCGTAACTTTTAATAGCGTCAGCCTCATCGCGAGCAGTCTGGAGATGACGACGCTGACGAGGCCTCGTCCCGTAATGTCGGTGATATAAGCCGTTAAGCGATCCCCTCTTGAAGCCTGAGCTGTGAGAGCTTGTGGGCACTACATAGCGTGAGGGGAGAGCCTCGTGGATAAAGTGGTAAGCTCACCCATGAAGTTCTCAAGTGGGACTCCAGTGGAAGTGGCAGCTGTCGTCGAAGGCCTAACTGGAGAAGGCTGTTGTCAATTGAGACCCGGTCCAAGTGGGTAACCTCTCACGCGACGGTCAACTCATCAATTTCTCAATTTACTGTAGAGATACGCACTTAGGTTCGGCCCTATTGAGGTGTGACCAAATGAACGTTAGGTTCGAAGGTTCGCAGGGGGGGTGTGACGTGTGACACGCTGTGCTTAGGTTCGACGACCGACGTTAGGCAGACACATTCCTTCATATACATATGCAGCGCTAAGCGTGCTGATCCTTGTGCTCGACCCGGAAGTGCTCACTCTACAAGCTTTGTCTCTAATTTTATTTCTGTCCGGCAACACAACATCTTCTCTATATGTCGTTGTAAAGTCTTGTCAGTGTGGATCTTCCCATGTTTGGCATGCCTGAGCACTGAGTACCGAGCGCAACGACTCAATGGACACGGTCTGAAGCATTTCCCCTCAAAGTTCTGTACCATGCCTGATCTCTGTGTTGCCTCAGAGGCTAAATTCCAGGATGTGCTATCCATGCCTGCACCATTCTCAATATTAATTGCTCCTTCTGGCAGCCTTTCTGTCGCTACATTACTGCTTCTAAACCTGCATACAGTGTTACAAAATGACACTTTGGCTACTAGAATTGTCTTTTCCACTCAGTACAAGGACTTTTGGCTGCACTAGACTTTTTTTTCATGTTTTTACCGTATGTCACAGATTAGGTTCGACGGCCTCAAAATTGGTGTGACCGTCACGCAAAATAGGTTCGATTCGCTAGGCATGTGACGGTGTGACGAACTTAGGTGCGTATCTCTACAGTAATGGGCCGACCCCAAGTTGCAGACGCGTCAGGGTAATTCGTTCACGTGACTGTACCTGGAAATTCTCAGTTCCAATTTGCCCAAGAAAACAGATCGACGTGTAATGATTGACATAAATGAAACCGTATCAACTTTTGAGGACACAGCATTTTTGTAAAGCCTCTTCTTGTCTTAGAGAAGTGTCTTTTACCCAAAGACCTCGAAATGCAGTAAAAAAACACCACAGCCTATTATTATAAGTATTTCCTTCGTAATACATCGCTACCGTGTCGACTTGCACTGGACTTCCAATTTCAAGTGCCGTAGAAAAATCGCCAATAGCCAGGGAGTAAGTGCACAAGGGTAAACCAGAGCTACAGCCATGAGTCAGTAGGTAGAATTTTCCAACTCGAGATCACTAACGCTGTACAGTTTGCACGATTGTTTGTGGGCATTCGCAGTCCTATAAACCATGAATCTTGCCCCGACAATCGTTCCATAGATTATAAATGCAACAGAACAGGTGGGATCCAACTTCCAAAGTCTGCTGAGGCAAAGTGACCAAAGGGGGACGCCAATCATCATGGACATGCGTGCAAAGGTAGGGAACAGAGTGACAAGAGTGCGTCTTCCTGTCAACCGATCTCCCTCCTCATCTTTAAAATCTTGTGCGTGAAGTGTCGTTGCAAACACTACGGAGCTGAAGGTAATTCCATGTGCCCCAATTTTATCAATGCTGGACCCTGGTTATTGAAAAATAAATCCCAGTCAACAACAAAGCTTGCTTATGATCTCTGGCACAGCCCACGTACCAATCACGACAGTTGCGCCTAGTTCAAGAATTGTATATGCTAGGTTCTTCGAAAGCCCAGTCTTATCGCCACCGAACTCATTGTACCAGATACTGAGGACTTCTAGACAAACGCTACAGGCGAGGACCGTGCTGCCATACATCGCAGAAAATATCAGGCAGACTGGCACTAGCAGCCAGCGCACATCAGCCGCATTTTGTGCAGTTATACGACCAGCAGGGAGAGGGCGATGAGGTTTGTTTTTCTGGTCCTCCTCTGGATCTTGCATTTGGTTATATATATCGTGTTTCAGGAGGTGCAGCCACATCCATACGACAATGTCTGGAATGCGAGTTACGTTGGGATGGGGAGCAGCTGCGAGGGTAGACAAAGTCTAATGCACAAAGTCACGTCAAGGAACATACAAGTAACATGTATTAGGGGCATGCACGATAGGGATCAGAACTGTCAACAAGTCGGACTTGGTGAACAAAAATAATGTCATGATGTGCCCGCTGATGCGACGACCGCTGTCTAGGGCTTGAGACAGCATGGTCTGATTGTTTGCTCATTTTTGAGACAGCAGCCTACAGTTATATAGCCTGACATGCTGCTCAAAATCTGACATTACCAAATACTAGCCGGCAAATGCGTAGGTTGTCGGTGACCCTGCAAACCGGCCGCAATAGGTCCGAGTCACCGTCCGTTTCCAGGCACGGAGCTGAATGCCGTGCAAGGTCACTGGTTAGGAATGCTTTTGTGATTCTCGGAGGTTGAGGTCACCCTGCGACCGATGTCGAGATAAGGGTACCCGGTGGTCCCAGCTCCATTCGACTTTGTCACAATTTCACGGCAATCACGTGCCGCTTATCGTTCCTAATCTGGTAGTTACTCCTGCTCATTCTGACCACAAGAGACACATCTTCCTGTAGTAGATACTAGGCTCAACGAATACACCTTATTGGACTGCAAACCTGACCCAAAGGACTTGCAAAGAACCGTCAATTTTAATTTTTCACACGAATTCCATTTCAAGGCGAGTGTCGTAGTAAGAATTTGCGGAATCGCTTATGTTTTCGTGTCCAGATATCAGGGTGACTCTCAATCCTGTGGTCACCGCTTCTTGACGATGCTGGCAAGTGCTTCTTGTAAGTTACAAGTATGACTCATCAGGCTGAGCACACCGTAATGTCGTGGGGTATTGTTGCAGCATTTTTTCCAGCTGTTTTGTCTGGTGCTGTGGCACCAGTCATCCGGACTGCTACAACCATCGGATACAAGCAACGACCTCGATCCGGTGCCCGGGTGGCACCATAGGAATTCCAATACCATGTTTGTCCTGAGGAGCTGCAGCCGCAAGAGCCCGCATCTGCCAATGTTCCCACTCGCGTAGCTGCTGTTGACTCTCCTGGAGAACTCGTACCGTCTCAGTGGCGTATCGGGTGCGTTACCATCTGAAGCCCTGGCCTATCACGTACTGTAATTATAACACCTACTCACACATTTTGCTAATGCCCCTCGTAATTTTCACTTTTCGGCAGAAAAACATCTCAGTTCTTATGTAGAATAACCCTGCGCGGCTGCGTTGCTTGAAATCGAGATCAACGACTCTGGTCATTAACTTTATACTAGCACCTTACTTGGAGTGCGGCATTCTACTTGTAACAGTGCTTGGGCACTTAGAGCCAGTTCGGCAACTCGATGTTGGGGCGTATTTGCCATGTTGCACATCTGGCGCAATGTGAGTTGCACCGGCATGCTCCCGGCATATAGTCAGAGCTTGAATGTAATCCTAGGTTAGACGACTGTATCCCTGGGCTCGTGAATCCTTCATAGTACTATGGAGTCCCTACCCGAAGTCTTTCCAGGGCTTCGTCTTCAAAACCGGTCTCAGGTTCATCATAAAATCATACAGTATGTAGTACTTCTACTCAGCATTCTCATCCATGCCTCCGGCAGTCTTGTAGCATCTATGTACCCAAGGGACCCACAACCCTACCATACATCAGCGCTTTCTGGTGAAGCATGGGTGGTCGAATTACTCACTGGTCATCCGGAGCGCATTCGTTGTGAGCTTGGAGTGCATGCCCATGTCTTTGCAGAGCTCATATCAGAACTCCGTACCCTTGGGTATTCCGACTCCAAGTTTGTCTCTCTAGAGGAGCAACTCGCCATTTTCCTGTATGCCGCTGTCACAGGCCTGTCAATCAGGCATATTGGTGAAAGATTTCAGCGTTCCAATGAGACAATATCTCGGTAAGTGTCATATTTTCATGGACTGGACTCATTTGTCACGCTATATCTAGATACTTTCGAAGGATGCTCGTAATTCTATCAACCCCACCATTCTATTCAAAATACGTCCACCTCCCATCAGATGAAGCAGTTTCTCGCAAAATTCGCCAGAATCCCAAATTCTGGCCGTTTTTTAAGGACGCCATTGGGGCGCTTGATGGGAGCCATATCCATGCTACACCTCCTGCACTTGAACGTGCTGCCTACCGCGATCGCAAAGGTCTCGTCTCTCAAAACTGCCTGTTTGCATGCGACTTCGACATGAATTTTACCTATGTCCTTACCGGTTGGGAGGGATCCGCCACAGATGCACGTGTTTTCGAGGACGCGTCTACCAAAGACCTTAAGATCTCCCAAGAAAAATACTTTCTAGCTGATGCTGGTTACCCTCTACGCCGTGGACTCCTGATACCATACCGTAATGTCCGCTACCATCTCGCTGAGTGGGGACGAGCGAGTGTAAGGTAAGACAGTCCATATTCTTTGGAACGCACACTAACATTGATAGTAGGCCATGCAATAAAGAGGAGCTATTCAATCTTCGCCATGCCATGGCAAGGAACATCATTGAACGTGTCTTCGGCGTCTTAAAGCATCGCTTCCGCATCCTCATCCTCGCACCAAGGTATAACTTAAACATTCAAGCGCAGATTCCAGCTGCTCTATGTACAATTCACAACTTTATATGCCTGCACGACCCACAGGAGGGTCCTATCCCAGATACTAACTCAGATGGGGATCCGGCTGAGGATGAGACTGACCCACATGAGGCAGTGGTACCAGAGGAAGAAACGGCAGATATTGAAATGAGCCACTTGCGTGACAACATCGCTGAAGACATGTGGGCTCAATATGGGCAAGTTTTGCATGAACAAGTACTAGCAGATGGTGATGACTTAGATGAAGAGGACTTACTTGGCCTGGATGGTGATGACAACGCAGACGAGGATGAGGGCGCAGATGCAAACAATGATATTCATGTATAGTTCTTACACGTGTATTAGAACCCAATGCTACATGATTGTGGACTCGAAAATGATGGTGGGACAACAAACAACAAAGCAGACAGAAAACAGCGCGACAATCACAGAACATACGGCCTAAGATACATTGTACAAGTAAGGGACAAGATGTGAAAGTGATACCTACTTCGCTGCATGAGCCTCAAGAAGCGCCTTGATATAAGAGTGGCGTGGTCCCAGTGGGCTTTGCACATAAATCTCCATCGCCCGCTCATTGCTTGTAAAAATTAGTAACAGTCGGCCTAAGTCCTCTGCAGGCACCTCCGCATCTTCGGTTTGCATAAGGATCATGGCGTGATCAAGAGCGGTTGCAACCAAGGGGGGAGGGGGTGGAGGAGGTGGTAGTGGTGGTGCAGGCGCAGGCGCTGCAGTGACGGCTTTTTCGAGAATGTCACCAATGCGGTTGATGGAACCCTGCATGCCAACAACAGCAGTGGCAGGTGAAACCTTCAACCCTCGTGCTGCACTGGTCATCATTGCGACCGCACTGTCACCGTGACGTCCAGATCGCGATTTTTTTGCAGGAGGGGGTGCTGATACCAAGGTAGAGGACGGCAAGGGACCAGAAAATAACGGATAGCTGGATAGGTGAGTTGATGATTCCATGTCGCACGATGCATCATCATGAGTGCATTTTCCAGTGCCAATACTGGATGCAACAGTGGAAGGAGGCAAGATGGGAAGACGAGAAGCATTGAAGTTGGTATCGCGAGGCAGTTCCATGGTAGCAGCAACAGGGTCATTACTGGCACTGGCAGCTGATGCGATGATGGTTGCAGCAGCAGCAGTAGTGATGACATGCTCTGCACCAGGCTCAACATCATCGTCAGCCAGTACTGGAGCTGCAGCAGCAGCCGGATGAAATGCGTGAGTTCCCTGAGCGCCAGTGCCATTTGGGAAGATCTCAGCTAGTTTGTCGTAGTATATCCACCCGCTGTTGGCAAATGGCCGCATTGAAGCGCGGGACGTCTATTTAATATATTAGATTACAGTAGATAGCTTTGAACAGGGGACGTACACTTGATGTGACGTAGTTATTGAATACCTCTAATGCAGTCCTTCCTTCGATTCCAGCGCCTCTGGTATTATCCCAGTGAGCTCCTGAGACATTGCGATAGTTTTGGATCTCTCGGTATATCCCTCTGAGCTGGTACAGGGGTAGATATTAGTAGAATGGGACGTAGAGAATCTCAATGCACTCACCGTGTTCCATTTACTTCTACAGCGTTTATTTGTCTTTGGAGGGCCTGCAGTTAGCAGGTTGGCCCTTGCAAGGGCAGTTGCTGCTGAGGTAAATGTAGATGGCTTGAAACCGCCATCCCCAACCTCGGATTTGTTGCTGACTAGGTGATCGAGAAGAGCGTTCGTCTCTGCCACATTCCATTGCAGCTTTTGGCTCAGCTGGTACTGGTACGACAGTAGCAGTGTTTGGCTCGGTAGCCATTATAACAGTAGTAAATTGGCCGCAAATAGATACAACAGCGACGACCGATGAATAAACTAGCTTGCGGAGGTGAGGGTCGAGCCAGTCCATTGTGGTGCTAGTCAGTAGATAGGGAAGGTTCGAGCTCCGACTGACCAAAGGTATATGCCGGGAGCATGCCGGTGCAACTCACATTGCGCCAGATGTGCAACATGGCAAATACGCCCCAACATCGAGTTGCCGAACTGGCTCTTACGCGAACATCGCTTGGCAACGCTCAGCTGTACTCCGCGGTGGCGAGATGTCGTCCGAGCTCTCTGAAGCACGGTAGCAACCTCAAAAGCTTCGACAACTCGACAAAACCACATTATCGACCGTTCTAGTACCTACGTCGACTATCCCCAGAATTTTCCGTCCGCGTCCCGCGCCATCACCAGCGGCATATATGCGGCGTTGGTGTTAACACATGCCATCCTCGTTAGCCTTGGCACTAATTCTTGGCAAGACTGCAGAGACCACATCTTGCCGAATGTGTGGTGAGTATTGTCCCTCCCTGATCCTTGCTCTGAATCTTCCCAGAGCCTCTGCTTCGTAGTCATCATCGTGCTTCCGATCGCAACGCCATCAAAATACCGAAACAGCGCGAGTTGTACGCTAGGGGGCTTTACAAGCTGTATGTAGCGTGTGCCAGTTACCACCACGGCTCACGATCAGTTGTAGTGGACGGTTGGCCATCAGTGTTTGCATTCATTTTGAGCTTAATGGCTCCTCTGTATACAATAGGTTAAAACATCTTCTCCTGGATGGTCTGTTCACGTTCTCAGCCCACCAGGGGGTTGTGATTCTAGCGTGCATATCAGCGAGGAGGCCTCAAATGAAATACCGCTATCGCGATACCATGGGCAATTGTAAGTAACTTTAGAAAATGAACAATTATTCAGCTTACCCCAGCTAGATTAATTCCATCGCCATGTCAGCCATCCTTGGCTGGGGTATGTGGAATGATGCACAACATCACTATAATTTTGAGGTCATTTTCTTATATAGGAATCAACGTCCCCTTACCTTTTGCATGGGCGCTGACCTCAACGGCATCCCAAGTAGCCTCATAGGCCAGCCTATGGCGCAGATCTTGTATAATTCGTCTATAAACTAATTGAAAAGCAGGTACAAGATGGAGTCCAGCTGTCTCCTGGTCAGCTCTCGCCAGACCTTTGCATTCGCTCGTGATGGAACCCTCCCATTTTCATAGTAACTATACCGGGTCAATGACTGTACAAGCACACCGGTTAATACAGTCTGATTTGACGCCGCCATTGTTCTCGCAATCGGATTTTTGGCGTTTACGGGCCCCCAGGCCATTTATGCGGTATCCATAATTGCTGTCACTGTCTCATACGTCTCATACTACATAACGCCAATCGCGACCTGCTTTGTGTCCAAGAACGATTTCAAACCCGGCCCATTTAATCTTGGGAGATTGGTCAGTCGAGCTGTGGTAATGTCACGGCATTCTTGCTAATTTTCCCGTGCAGAACGTTCCAATCGCAGCGATCGCTGTACCGCGGGCAGTCTTCATGATAATCGTTTTCTTCTTCCCTTCCACTGCGCAAATAAATGTCCAAACGATGAACTATACGGTCGTTGTCCTTGGAGGATACATGTGGTTTTCTGTTTTGCTGCCCAGTATACGAAGGTGTGCGCTGATTCAACGGACCTGTATCAAACCTCGCACCTGCCATCAAAGGTGGATGTGGAGATGAGGATTCGGTATGCGAGAGAAAGGAAATTCGTGAAACAGATCTCTCTGTGTGAGTAGTAGATTCATGAGTCGTATTCGCGTACCGTCGTAAAGTAAAGCGCCAACTGGTATACTACAACAATTATATTTCAACTGAAGATGTGCAGTGGATTCCAAAGTGTTATACGAATGACCATCCCGAGTTTCAATCTTATTACTCATCCGAGGTTCGTGCAATCTTCTCTGTTGCCTCCGTGTTCCTGTAGTCATTGGTGTTCCTAGCAGCTCTGTGAAGTAGCAGTCCACTGAGTGTTGCGAAAAGGACCGCGAACCAGGGAAGGATCGCACAGAGTCGCACTTTGTATCGTTCAGCACGAAGACCTGGTACCATATTTGGTTCATACGCACGGTACCACTGCTTTCTGTATTCAGGTGAGACGCCGATGGTTTGCTCCATCTGCTGAATGACACTTTGGGATACTGCAACTCCATCGAAAGTTGCTGTGATTTTGGTTGACCGAGTGGCAAAGATAACATCACACGCGATAACAGTAGCCAAAAGCCACAGGGCGCCAAACAACATGAGAAAGGCTTGGAGGTGCAAAAGGCGCTGTTTTCTTCCAATTGATGAAATTATGGAGAAAGCCGACACGAGGGACACGGCTGTCAAAAGTGCGCAGGCTGCTGCGATGACTGAGCAAACCGAGTACACATCTCGAGACGAGCGTCAAAGAAGCCCATTATAGTATGTGTCTCACAAGCACCTTACCATGATAGTTAAGATCCACGATGGTGCCACCAGGGGCCGCGCTCTTGACATATGAGCTTTCTTGGTTGGACCTTCATTGGAACTCTTCAGTTCAAATAAACCTTATAGAAGTTGCAGTCTTTACTCACTTCACTAGAGCATTGATCACAACCGACCACCCAACAACCGAGAACGCAAATGTCAGAAAGAGCGAGACGAGAAGTAAAACCTTGGAAGGCATATGGGTGGCGTGGTAGTGGGTACAATGCGGCGGGACAGTTACGAATGTATCCTAAAAAGTAGGAACGTCATTATATCACTTCTGGACTATGTAGATCCGCTCCTTGGGCGCAATGAGAAGTCACGCGAAGTATCATCGTGATTTGCACGAACCCCAAAAACTATCATGTGTTGCGATCTTTCGTAAAGATCAGGATGCAGATACCCCTTACAGTAAGAAATAAGATCCGATACATTACTCAAACGCTCCCAGTTGACGGCGATAATGCTGATCATGCATGTGCCTATCCAAATCCTATATTGGCGTTGAGCACCTACTTGATTGAGTCGAAGAGCTGAACCTACCTCTCTACAGTCAAAGGACTGCTGGCATTGGTCGATTACGTCGGGCCCAGTTTTCCATTTGCAGGGATACAGCCCACACTCTTCTTCCTCGGCTTCCTCCGGGCTAACGTCAACTTCTAAAGCGTCCGCCTGGCCCAAGAAGCTGGTGTCTGGACCCGACAGACCGTTTAGCTCTATAATTTCACCTGGTTCAAGCTCGGTATACGATAGTTTCACCAAATGGAAATCGGGCATCTGATTGTGTTCTTGCAGTTCGGAGAGTTTCAGATCTTGCATCTTGTCGCGCTCCGCAGAAGACTTCTGATGAACACGTCCAAGCTCGATGAGGTCAGCACGCAACAAGTTAACCTGGCGCTCCAGTTGCCGGCATCGTTCTGCAAGCTCAGGGTGTTCGGCAGCACGCCGTCTGATAAGATCATCTGTTCGCCGATCTTTCTCCTGAAGAAGAGTAGAAACACCCCTCCATCGATCGACATCTTCTTTCAACGCCTTTATCTGACTCTGTATCACAACATCGTCAAGAGAGCAACCAAATACAATAAGATAAAATTACCTCAAACATGTGCTTGATCAGAGCGACTCCATCGCGTGCTTGACCTTCTGCAGTCTTGGCCTTCTGCTCCAGCTCAACATTCTCTGCTCTAGTGGCACTCACGAAACCAGAAGCCTGCGTATATTGATCACGGAAGAAGTCGCGGTCCTTTTCAGCTAGACTCTTGGAGCGAGTCAGGGCATCCAAAGAGGACTTTGATCTCGTCACGTCCGCAACAAGTGCCTCGTGCGCCTCGATCATAGAGGTGCGCTCCGCAGACCACTTTTCGCGCTCGGTTTCCCAAAGTTCCTTGTCACGTACCCATTCGGTATGATCGGCTTCCCATTTAGTCCGTTGCAGTTCCATGGCTTCGCGATGAACGTCCCACAAAGCGCGTTCTCGGGCACTTGCTGTTTGTTGCTGTGCCCAACTCTCCCGTTCCGACACCCATGCAGCACGCTCCGTCGTGATAATAGTTTGTTCTTGTTCCCATTGAGCTCGTGCTGCTTTAAAGGTGGCGCCAGTCTCCGTCAACGATTTGATCTGGGCAGCAAGACGATCACGTTCCTCCACCCATCCGATTTGCTCACCAAGCATTTCGGCCACTTGGAGATCCAACTTCTTGCGTTCATTCTCCCATAGCTCGCGTTCTCGCCGGAAAGTCGCTTGGTCTGCATCCCAAGAAGCTCTAAGCTCGTCAACTGGGCGCGCGTTGGTTTCAAAGCGATCTCGCTCAGCGGTGAGTCTCAAGATTTCCTCCTCCAAATTACGGCGCCCCGCCTCCCAAACTTCGCGCTCTTGGTTCCACTTGACCCTCATGTCGGCAAGCTCGGAAACGGCTGAATTGGTCTGCATTGCGCCTACGGGTTGAGCGCTTGATGCGATTCCTTCCTGAGTAGTCGTGCTTGGGGATTGCCAGGCTACCTTTACCTCGGCTTCGAGCTTTGAAGTTTTCTCGCGCTCAAGTGCCAATGCAGCTTGCAACGCTTGAATCTCATCGGACTTCTTGTGGAGGGTGGACAGTGCCTGATTGAGCCGTCTCACAGTCGCGTCGCTCTGTGAAAAAAGGTAAAGGGGTTAGTTGGTCTAGTCTATCAGTAAAGTTGGGCTGTAATGCAGTACATACATCATGCTGCGGTACGCTTCGTGTTGGTGAACTGTTCAAGATATTTGATGTATCAAAATCTTCATCATCCCTGCCTTGCCGTTGACCCTGACTCGGGTTGGCGATCATACTGGCAACTTGTAAGTCATCTATATGTGTTGAAGGCTGGTTTGATTTGTGTTTACTTCCACCTGGCTCGGCAGGTATAGGGGACGGCTAAACGAAATGAGGTGGGAGCCAACAAAATATATTAGCGACAAACCTGAACACCATCATCATTATTGCCCATGTCTGTATCGTCGATGGCTAGCTCCTGCCGTCGCGCTTCGAAATTTTCCACAACATCTACCTTTGGCACCAGAAGCGCCGGATTACCACTGAGCAAGGCCTCCTGCGTACATTCCTCCTCCTCCTCACGAAGAAGGATACGCTGAGCCTCTTTGTCTTGGGGACCACTTTGTGTGAAAGTGTCGATAGTTGTGCTATTTCCTCCGCTGAGGTCAACGTAAGCATCCTCCATTTGCTGAACGATTTCGAGGTCTCCCTCGTGAGCCCCCTTGTTAGACGCGAATGGGTGAGTGTCTGGTCCCGACTGTTTGCCTTTGCTTGTCATAGCCAGAGGCACGCGTGATCGTACAAGGTCATTGATAGTTTTTTTAGGTGGTTTATCGGTAACTTGGAGAAGCTCCTTCTTCCGCAAAGCCCGCTCATACAGTGCTTTCCCTCTAGCTTTCAGTTCCGCGTCCGTGACGCTAGGAACACGATCTTCGTCGCTTGAACGTTCATCAGGACCAGAGTATCGTTGCTTTCCCTTATCTTTCCGCGGAGATGGGAAGCTTTCAATGGAGCTCATCGGAGGCTCGTTATCGCGTTCTGTAGTAAGCGATTCAACCGTCTTACGAAAAGTATGGGGAGAGATACGTGGAATTGGCCCTGTGGGTGGTTTCCGCGGCCGAAGTGACACTTCACTGCTTGAAGCGACGGTAGGTAAGACTGATGCTGCATTGGACTTCCTTGAAGTAGATCTTGGGAGAGAAGGTTGTTTGGGTGGCGGCGGTTGATCAATGCGCTTTCCATTCGTCATGTGGTTGGGAAGTGAAGGCTGGGACTGCGAAGACTCTGTCTCCGGGACAATCCCAGAAAATGGCGAATCGCCAGTAGGTTCCTTGCGACCTGCCGTAGTAGCAATCGTGGGTGGGGGTGTTGAAAATTTAGGAGGCGGACTAAGAGGTGTGTCGTAAGGATCTGCAGCACCATAATCTGTATTCTCGCCCATATTTGCATAGGGATCTCCGTCGCCATTATCCGAACCGATGCCCATCATGCAGTCAAATATTTCTAACCGAGCTCGGGCGCCAGGAGATAATGATGGTTGGCGTCGCAAAGGAGGGGGGGAAACTGGAGATGACTTCTTGGAATGAAGTATTGCGGGAGTAGATATGTGTGATCTGACTGAGGATTGAGCCACAACATGTTTGGCAGCAGTCTCTTGTGGTGTGGTCTTTGAGGTTGTCTTCCTGTCAGCGAAGCGGGATATAGGTGGCTTTTTCGATTTGGGTAATAAGTCGGCCTCCTCTGTAGATGACAACACGATGACATCGTGTTGGTTCTTCGAAAAAGGCTGCCCATTTCGACTTGGGCCACTGGATTGTTCAGGCTTTTGGATGGTTGTTGTGGTTGTGACGCGACGATGATCAGTGACGGACGAGAGGACGTCGTCCTTGGGCTTAGGTACAGGGCGTTTTCTAGTAGGTGGACCAACCCTGGTGACTGGAATTCCATCGCCTACTCCGCCTGCTGCAACGACGCTATCATCGGCGTCTGACTCGATAGATTGACTGTGGCTAGCGGGGGTGCGCTGTGTAGCCTTGCGCTTCGATTTCGTACTAGTTGGTTCACCAGTGACGAGTTTCTTCTTCTTCCTTGGATGTTCCGGCTCTGAAGGATCCGCCGAGTTGCTTAGATTTGATGGCTCCTTTGCCATATCTGCACGTTTACGCTTCGAAGATGAAGACTGTGCCTTTGACGTTGACGGCTGAGCACGAGGAGGTTCATCATAGTCTGTTAGAACAGGGACGCTTTCTTCCGCCAGAGAGCGCGATTTTCGGGAAGTAGAAGTCGTAGAAACCTTTGAAATCGTCGAGGCGCGTGAAGAGGTTTTCTGGCCACCTAATAAAAGGAATGATGTATCAGACTCATTGCTGTTACAATAGCACTTACCAGTCTTATTCGATCGACGTCGTCCCTTCACGGCCTTTTTCCTCTTCCACTCTTCCACAAGATGATCCGTGCAGTCATGCTTAGGTACCCAGTCCAACGGCCATGGCCTCCCCGTCTTGGGATCATTGCCCGCCCACCTAACCCGATACTTCTTACCCCGCTCGGCAACAATTTCTATGACTTCCCATAGAGCATCGTCATCGTTAGACCGAGGCTCAAATTGCGTCTCGAACTCGGACAACTCTCCCGCGGGGGATTCCCCTTCAGTAGACATGATTCAAACAAGGTACAAAACCATTCAAAATTGTTGAAGGGGGTGACCAAGGGGTGACACTAGTAGGAAGAAAGCAATTGACGATTACATAATCACCACTATGATAGACTACTGATAGAATGTTAGGAATACAGTCTAATACAGTATCCCTCATCTTTTGGGTAAGGATTATCATCTCTGGTTCAACCAAGTCTGACGACCGATAATTCATTGACATTAAGTAGGAATGGTCCACATATAGGTCAATCCAGAAGCATAACCAGCGCAAAGGCGTTCACTAGTAGAAAAAGTTACCTCTGTCAGCAAGCTCTCTTAAGAATAGAACGAACTGTTCGCGTACCCAATAAACTTGAGCGCAGTGACAGATCCTAAAGCAATATCAGATACCCCCTCTCCAGAATTCATCCGACGAACTTCAACAAACTCCCATTGCGCTTGCATTCCAGCTGGAGTCCCATCTGCGTTCCATGTCCATAGCGTGATGGAACCATCGTCGTGACCCGTGGCAAGGATATCCAAATGCGAATATTCACGTTCATGGAACGCCAGAGACGTGATTGGCGCGCGCACAGTGTCGAGTCTGGCAATTGGTCTCGCGTTGATTGTGTGCAACATTAAGTGGGAAACGGAACAAGTAGCGATGTATCCCGTAGACTCGTTGATGGCAGATAGATACACTTCTGCGCCTAGGATTTCATTGCCGTGCCAAATTGAATGTCGGTAAGACCCTCTGTTCAGGTCCCAAACGATGGCACTCCCGTCCTCGCTGCCACTAACAATAACGGACCATGTACGCGATGTTGCAATACACACCACACGTTGAGTGTGTCCTCTGAGGAGATGTGTCATCGACAGCGTTGAAGATGCATGCCTGCGAGACCGTCCCGAAGCTCCAACAAAGCCCGAAGGCGCCACTTGACCTTGGTTGACGCGCCAAACACGCACAATATTATCACCAGAACCCGTGACTAGAGTGTCCTGGTCCGCGAAGGCAGCACATGCGAGTGCTGCTTGTTCAATAACTTGTGTAACCTGAGAGGACTACATTAGTTGAGACCATCGTCGTCAAAAAAATGAGTACTTTTCCGTGGGATACCAATCGCAGTGAGCGATCACTTGAGTCCTGATCCCATTCGATTTGTTCATGACCAATCGAAGGGAGGCCGATCGCTCCACGAGGCAACGGACGCACACCGCCATATTTCCCATCAAACAGGTCGGCAGAGATATTCGACACAGCACTATCCAACACGACTGCGTCAAACAGTTAAAGACTTGAAACGAACGAAACAAAATTGGGATACTTGCCCTTGAAAGGCTCCGGATCTCTTACTAAGGCAAGTGCGTCCTCAGGGACACCACGGGTTATCGTGACAGGGAGACTCAGGAACCCTTCAAGATTTCGAGGTGGATGTGGCGAAATAAAGAGCTCCTTGGGAGTCTGCCCGACTGCATTGCTATTAATTGACTGTTTCAGGTGACTGGGACAGGGGCTAACGCACAATTGTGGATGATTCCAACAGTAGCTTGTCGCTCCAGATCGCTGGTGATCATGTCCAGATCTGGACATACCCATCAACGAAGAGTAAATTCAGACAGCGAAACCTACCAATTGCGCCTTCGTAACTGAGAGGGTGAAAAACGTTCGCAGAATCCACGTCTCGTTGTTTGCATCCCCATATGAGATCTATCCAAGCAGGAAGATTCTCGCTGACGTAGTGGCTCTCAAGAACCTGTTTACGCACCAGAACAAAGTTGTTTAATCAAAATAATATTGTATCGTAAAACTTACACGGCGATGCATTACGATGAACAGGAGCGGGTCTCCTTTCGCCCACGCAGGCAGTTTAACATTGTGAATTCGTTCTCCGGTAGTTTGAGAGATACCGAAGTCGAGATTTGATGAATTCTCGAGGAATCTGAACACGGTAATATCAAATTGAACGAGACACAGTGCAGTCAGAGGACTTACTCTGGACAAGTAAAGAATTCGGGTATTAATTCACGCACATCCCCACGGATATCATGCGATGCCAAGGAATATGCTTTCCTGATATCACTAAAGTATAATCATTACACGTTGCCCCACATCCTGGTTCCAACTGAAAACTAACCTGAAAAGCCTATCGGGCAAATCCCAGTCTCCTCCCTGTGGGAGATAAATGAATGTTCTTCGACACCAAAAAGGAACACACCTGGAGCGTCTTGAACATACTGGTAAACGGCTGCATGCGAATATTGAAGTGGCAAACGATCATCGACCTGTACTCGGTGTCAAGAAAAAAATATGGGCAAATAGAATAGACTTACGAGCTGAAGTGTGTTCCGTAGTGGAATGGCTCTTCATCAACACTGCCCAGGTTAGCATAGCGAGCTTCCGCATCCTCACGACGCTCGACCGTCAAAGCCCCCATAGGCTTCGTGAGGCTGAAACAATGTGTTAACTTGGAGTTTACGATCTCAGGGAGTGTGCGAACTCACTCTCTGAACACATTAGGAGATGACAGATCCAGCACCTCTGAAACATAATCATTAAGAACCCAAGCTAAAAGTTGCCGTGAGTTTCCTTGTGAATAAGGAATTAAGAATCACTGACGAAAAACGGGGTATTGAGTTGCATCGTTTGGGGTACGTCCCGACAGTTGGTTAAGAATACTCAAATAACCAAACTAGCTCAAAATAAGTACTGAAATAAGAAATGTGAACATCACACACATTGCTTAGCTCTCTATTCTGCCACCGCCGTTGCGCTGATTGGAGTTCCTTCTCTACTGCGCTAGTGGATGATCTACTTTTCAAAAGCGATTTGGGTATAATAGATCCAGGTGTTAGGCTGGGTTCGAACGTCCTCATTTTCAAGGCTATCGACGAGAGCATCTGGGAAGCCGCTTGGCGACGTGTCCCATCAAGGAAAATAACCAGCAGTGTGCGGCTATCTTTGAAAAAGATCTCGACCCTGACGACCGAGTTAGTAAGGTTACATGCGGTGAGCGACCCATCTCACCCTACGTCCTGGAAAAGGAACATCCTGTCAGAGAAGCCTGATACTTGCTCTAATGACCTGTCACAGAAGATATTCAGTGTCACAAAGCTAGAACAGAAAAATGTTCTCTATGTACCATCGTTGAGCCCGTTGCGAGTTCCGAACGTCCGCGGCACTTCCGGATATAAGGAACAATCCTTCCGGCGCATTAGCTGCGTCAATAACTTCGCCCTCACTATTCTCTACGAGGCCTTCCAACATGTACAGGTGGGTACGCCCGAAGATCAACATGCCAACTAGGGATCAATGATTGAGACTGCCAGTGATCAAGTCAGCAGTTTGACCGCTTACGAAAAGAATCGACGCCGGCTATTCGGCAGACAGTGCTAACAGCTTCAATGACATCCCCAGGCTCGAGTTGATGCCTCACTCTCCTCAGTTTGTCCTCGGTTATGTCTTCAGCGAGCTGATGATCGCCTGGAAATAATGTTAGTCAAAGTTGATAAAGCATCGAAAGTAAAGAAGAACCGTCTTCGCCTGTCCAAGATGGAACAACCACTGTATTCGGAGAAGTAAGTTCTGACTGGGATGGCGACAATAACTCTGAATCGAAAGCTGACGAAGCTTCCTCGTGACTAGCAGACCTCGAATCCTGCACAAGCATTTCCAGGAGGTTCTCCATCTTTATCCTGGTTGATGTCATTGTTTGGCTTCTGACAACGAAAAGTTCACTGACCTGACTCTATGCGGTCCTTCAGTCTCGTCCAATTTCCATACGCGTTTCCGAGCTAAATGGGGCCAAATATCACGTTCGGTCGTTGACGCAGACACACTTTCTTCAAAAGATGCGGCTCTACGTCGCCTTTCCTGCCTATATCAACAGTCAGTACATCTCAAGGTCGCTGTAGCATGGATAGTTAGGCACAAGTCTAATAGAGTCTGTCTGAAGTGTTTGCGCTCCGAAACAAGAATCGTCTTTCGCCATTCTTCAAGATGTGCAGATGCTTTACGGACCGTGTCTGCCTGAGCAAGACTGAGTTGTGACCCAGAAGTGTCTGCAAAATCAGGTCGTCCTTTTGACTGAGCGCCAGGGCGAACGATACCAAGAATCTGTGCATATAGTCTGAGAAGCCTTATCATATGACAAAGGAGTAGAATACCTGTTGTTTTTGAGACGTAGATATGTGCTTGCCCATCGCTACAAGTAATCCGAAGTGCGTTAGCTTGACGGATATTTTGGCATCCAGGACCCCGGCAGGCTGCCTCATGGTAGAGAATATATTGAGGCCATCAAGAAGTAGCTGAGCAGTGCTCTGGGACCTGAAGACGCGGCGGAACGGTGAACTTGACTCGTGCAGCTTTGTTAAGTCATCGAGAATCCAGATGATAGCATCTTTTGAAGGAGCTGCACGAAAGATTAAACGGAATATCAAGGCAGTAGACAGATAGCCCACCTTCATCGGATTCAGCATTGTTGTTCCCGATTGAAAGTCCTTGATATAACGCAAAGAGAAACACGGACAACATTTGAGGGGATCCTGAGTCATCACTGGATCTATCTCCAGGGCGCCCAGGCAGGATGTCTAAGGCTGCATCATGTACACTGCGATCCCAGACTCGAGGTAACACAGTTTTGAGAATGCCCCAACCACCGGCCGAGTCGAAGTTTTTGCCAGATGACAATGAGGCTTTCAGGCTGAGGCCAAGCATGCCAAGCACTTGGCAGGCAGTATGTGCGGAAGGTTGGCTCCCAAGCAACAGTAAACAAATGCGTGGCATAGGAAGTGTACCAGCAAGCTTAGAGTGAAGCGAAGGGATGCGCATCATGGAAACAAGGGCTTCAAGGACTTGCTCGGCTTTATCCCTGGTGCTATATCTTAGCAAGTCCCCACGGGAGGTTGTTGATTGAGGTGACGATGAAGATGATGATCGGGACTCTGGGAGACGTTTGATGGGACGAAAAGAGGTTGAAGATGAGATTGCCCACCTTCAGCAAGGGTGGCAGCTATGTATGAAACAATTGGTTTGATCGCTTCCTCCGCTGTAAATGATGATTGTGCAACAAGCACCAGCGTGTTGACGACAAGTGATATAGATTCTTGCGGGTACCAGGCTGACTGAATGGCGAATAATAACTTGCGCACGATGCTTAGTTTCGACAATCGCATCTTGATGGTGAACTGTCTATATCGACTGGCACGCAACAGGAAGGCGAAATGCTCGAGATGAGCCCGTTGGATGTCGGCACTGGTTTTTGACCACAGCTCAAAGTCGAGTGCCACGGCTCTGTATGCGATGGTGTTGACAACAGTGGATAAACTGATGGAATGTCAGTGCCTTGCATGTTAAGATAGAAGGCAGGCATACTCAGGAGAACGGAAATTTAGACCAAGGAATTCAAACAATATTTCAAAGCTGGTCATGTTTATGAGATGACTTCGAGCTCTAAGCGTGCTTGCAAGAACATCATAACCGTCTATACGAAAATCAACTACAAGCAAGATCTCGCATATTCTGTACTCACGTAACCTTTCCATGTCATCAGAGTTTTGCCAACTGTTGCGAAGACAGTCAGAAAAGACGCTCAATGCTCTGGAAAGTTCATGCGGCGTTTGAGCAAGTGCTACTAGGCGCAGCAATAGAGCCGCCCCGCCAATTTTCCACACCGCAAGGTCCATCGTCTGACAGCATATTGTAAATACATCGCCTCGAGTTACAATTTGGTCCTTTTTATCGTGCGGTTGTGGGACGACACGAAATATAATCGATGAATCGCTAATAATCGAATCTCCGCGAATAACCTTCTTGAGCTGCGAATTCTCAGGTAGTGATGCACCTTGAGTTGTGATATGCATGCTGAGCGAAGTCGACGCTTCGTACGTCAGGAACCTGATGAGACTCTGATCTTGGAATGAATCAGAATATCGGGGGCCCAGGTGGTGTATAAATCTCGGAAAGTCATCATCTACATGTATTAAAGAAATTAGAGTCCTTTGTTGATAGAAAATGCTTACCGAGAGCGACCGAAAGCAGGTAGGCAGAAGCCACGCACCAGCTAGATTCAACTGTGGCAACGTCATCTCCTACCATGAAAGTTGCGGGCGACATATTATGGAACTTCGGATATGCCCATTGCAATGAGTCACTTAGAATGCCATCAACGAACAAGCCTAAAACACGGCCGGTCAGAATATTAAAGGGGCATATCCGAGGCACGTACAGACGGAAGGATGCGACGATCTATGGTTATGATGCACAAGGGTGACGTGAGTCCATCGAGAAGTTGTCAATTTCGACTTTGGAAGCATTTCAACTTTTTGAACGGCACGTGATCGCAAGGCTAATACCCCGTTACTACCGACAGAGAGAGCCACGGCTTCACTGGACCCAAAAGATATGCTGAGCAACTTGTGTGGCCCTGATGGCATCCTTTCGAACCAAATCCAGGCCTGCCCGCGATTTAGACACAATTGCGATTTTGCAGATCAAATGGCCTACCATGAATGTAAAGCCATGGGCAGGAAGAGTCTTCATTTCTGTAGACGGCATTGCGAGTGCAGAAGAGCCATCAAGTGAGAAGTGCTGTGGCCACCTCGACTTTGCACTTGAGCGTAGAAGTTCGAGCATATCTGCATCTACAGCTCCATCTTGCTTCGCAGTGCACTGCAGCAAATCTCTGGAGTTTTGGGTACTAGCACCCATTTCGAAAAGACGGCGAAGGATCTTTGCTAGGATACGGTGCTCCTTATCGTCATCTCCGGCGCTACTCGTATTAGCCTTCCACGATTTGAAAAGATGCGGCAAGATATTTTGCATGCTTAGGACGGCGAGATTTCTATGCGTGCTATGTGTCAGATGCTCTAGAAGCCGGTAAACGATGAGCCTCAAGGCGCGGTCCGTGTTCATGGTTCGCAGAATGAAGCTCCAAAGAACATTGAATGCTCCGGGAAGGCTGATACTGGCTAGACCGGGTGCAAATTCCAGGAAGTGGATGTGCATCGCTTCGGTCTCAGGCAATTTTGTTCGTAACGAGCTGAAAAATTCCACAAGAAAGACATCACCAAATGAAAGAGCTAGCAAGCACCCGAGTGTCGCATCCGCAGTCAGCGCATTACAGACCAGCGGGTCCACAGCATCAGAAAGCGAAGCGTAACCAATGAATTCCTTGGGTTTCAAGGTCACGATGGTATTACGACCAGGTGCAAAGAAACGCACCTCGAAGAACTCAAGATTCACTGCATGTTCCTTCAAAGCCTCGGATGCCAACGTAAAAACTGACTTGATACAAGCCGCAACATCACGCGTCGATTGGGATCCTCGTCGTCCGATCGTCGTCGAGAGTGTAGAGAGCACGTGAACTAGTAAGAGAAACCCGTCTGAACTGCGAAACGCGTCTTTCGTTTCGGGTACTTCACGAACGAGAGTAGCAATTCGTTGCAGGAGCTACAGGATGCGATTATGGGTATCCCACTGAACATAGAACGATACGCAGCTCACAGTCGTCTTCGCGACTACTGTCTCTGTTACTTTCAAGTCCTCTACCATATCTCGCATCCGTCTTGCCGCACGTTCACCACCGTTGCTGGGATCTGAGGCTTCGCCGCCAGTGATGTTAATTGCAGGCAAAGTGGGCGCGAGGTCTTCGTGACTTTGCCATGGTGCAAGCAGTGACCGAAACATCCCGACAGGAACTGTGCTCTATCAGACTCAAGTCCCAATCAGTTAGAACGCGACCTAGAGAATGACGATGGGGGTATGTTGAATAGTGTTGAAGTACGTACATGCGAGAGCCAACTTGGCTGGGAAATTGTTATTACATCATGATCATCAACAGAAGTTCCGACCAAATACTGCCAGCATGTCAAACCTAGCTATCAATATCTCTGAATATACTCATACGCCATGTACAGTGATCTTATTCTTTTCGCAAGTCTAAGTAGCATAATCGGCGAGTTCATCTGAATATCAAACGGGACTATACATCACACCCTCTAATTCCTCGCATTGATGATATTGACAAACTCTGGCTTCAATGAAGCTCCTCCGACAAGGAAACCATCTACGTCGGATTGAGTAGCTAAAATGGAGAGTCAGTATCTCCTTCTTAGTCTTCTGCCGTATACGTACAAAGATCTTTGGAGTTTGCAGCGGTAACACTGCCTCCATAGATAATCCTGGTGTTCTCCGCTACAGCAGGGGACACTGCCTGAGTGAGGAACGTGCGAATGTCCAGATGAGCCTGCTGAGCTTGAGCGGATGTGGCGACTCTGCCTGTGCCAATCGCCCACACAGGTTCGTATGCGATCACAACACCACTGAAACATTGCCAATCAGCACAGCACAGTACGACTGTATAAGTTCGCACCTCCAGTCACTCTCCTGCAGTACATCGACGACGGCCTGCAACTGATTCTGAACGACTGCTGCAGTCTGCCCTGTTTCACGCTCCGGAAGGGTTTCACCAACGCAAAGGATGACTTTCAATGTCGCATTTAAAGCAGCCTTGGTCTTCTGGGCAACGAACTCAGACGTTTCGTGGAAAAGGGTTCGGCGTTCAGAGTGGCCTGAAAGAATTCAGTCGACATCTATGGAAGTTCATAAACCACTCACCTAGAATCACATAGGGGATATTGGCATCGACGAGTTGCGCAGGACTAATGATGAAAAAAGGTCAAGATTGAGTCAACTCAGGCTGTTTGTCAACTCGCCTGAGTTCACCAGTGAATGCTCCTGAATCTTTATAATAGCAGTTTTGAGCAGAGAGCTGTAGTTCCGATCGCACCGTGGCTTTGAGTGGGATGAGATAAAGCGACGGAGGCGCAATGACGATCTCTGCAGTAATCTCTGTGAGCTGAAGATCTCGTACATATAAGAAAAATACGCGCCAGTTGTGCCGTCCAGATCAGCAGAGTTAAGGACACTGATGATAGATCCCAGTTGACCCGATGAGGTGGGGTTCATCTTGAAATTTCCGCCGACGAAGAATTGACGAGGCATATCGAATAAAAGTCAAGGTATATGGTGGAAGACAAAAGATTTAAATTCAAAGACGGCGTCGAGCAGAGGAGAATAGCGGCGTTGGTAGGTGTTCAGCCTTGAGTAGAGCTAGTCCATATCTAATCTTTATCGAGAGTCCGACGCTAAATCCGATCATACGACGAGATCATACGAGAAATTTCAAACGTGGGTCGCAAATATTGGTACGTGATCCTGACGCAACGACCTGCAACGACGCAACTCGTACGACTCAGATTCTATTGACCATGTAGAATCTAAATAGTAATTCGGTTTGTCTTCAGACACTATAGTTCCGACCAGTATAAGATCTTTCTTGTCCCTCATAGCACCTCAAACCATGACTCCAGCAGCCTAAGTAAAGAAGAGCCCTCCATCTACAGAAACCTGTCTCGAGAAAATCAACAGGTTTAACCAGATTCCCATTCAGTGCTAGTGCACTTACGCTCTGCCCTATATAACATTAGGTATCCGATAAGCCCTGATGTTCCACTGGATGGGACTCGAAACTCACCAGTTATAAAGTGCGCCTCCTTTGATACGAGGTAGGAGACTATACTTGCGATATCGTCTGGAGTACCCTCGTACCCAACTGTCGTCTGCACCTGATGCGAAAAACCATGAGAATGTATGACTCCGTACAGTCAAGAATTTGCATCTTACTCGTTGAATTGAACCAGGATCATGTCCCTGTTCAGCTACCCATCGCTCCCTTTGTTCTCTCAAGGTCCGCACTGAAGGTGGGTCGGGACATTATTGGAACTACGAAAACATTCTAATGCGCACACATTTCTGTCTGGATGGGCCCTGGAGCATAGCAGTTCACAGTGATACCGTGATGACCAAACTCCATAGCTGCGGAGGATTAAGGGTATCGGTTATCCATTATTCGTTCTATGCCCACCACCATCTCACCTGCAGCCTGAGTCAGCCCTCTCACAGCAAATTTGCTGCTGCTATACACAATAAAATCCTTAGTGCCTTCGTATCACAGGTAAGTCGGAATACTACTTGAACAGGCAATTCAAACACCGTACCTTTCTTCCCAAGCACTGATGATGCGCCTATAATTCTTCCTCCCCGTCCTTGCTCGATCATCTGCCGGGCAGCATGCTTGTAACAGAGGAGCGTCCCTCGGACATTCACAGAGAAAGTGGCGTCGAAACTTTCTACGTCGGCTGGGCACAGGTATAACTGCAGTGAACGTTAGTACCACATAAAGGCCACTTACCGTCCAAGACATTGCCAAATGTGATTATCCCGGCGTTAGCTATCATCTGCTCAATATTAGCTAATGCTATTAGAAGTGTGTCAAGCAGGACTTGCTACATCGACGCCACCCAGAACACGAACAGTGGTTGCAATCATCCCTTTGACCTCATCCTCCACTGATACATCTGCTGGAACAACGATAGTTCGTCGTCCCTTACCATTAATGTCACTTGCTACAGCCTCCAACTCGATGCTCTTGGTCGCAATGTCGTTCAGAGCGATATCAAAACCATCATCAGCAAGGCGAAGTGCGATGGCACGGCCAATTCCCCGACTAGCTCCTGTGACAATAGCAGTGCCTTTAGGTTGCGACATGGAAGAAAGACGAATTTCAATGTTAGCGAGAGTGTAGGCAGGTCTCGAACACGCTTGACACTGAGCGGCAGACTCTAAATATCCCAAACCTCTGATCTATCCGAATGTAGCCTTTTAGTTTTGCCAGTTTTACCACAGATCCGGAAGAAGTTCTTGCGCTCAAGTTTATGTAACAATAGTATCTGCGAGTAAGAATAGATTCTTTTCAGGACCTTTTCTCAGGTCATGAGGCCATGCTGTTTCTCCCATCGACTGAGATCTGGGAGTAAATCAGACCAACTGTGTGCAGCAAACCAACTTATTGACCTGAAGACATTACATGCTACGTGAGAAAGAGATGGGCTCAATGAAGCTATGAACTTACCGGCAATGAAGTGCGCTTCCTTCGATCCGAGATAGCTTACCGGTTGTCCAGTGTGCTTGATAGGAACATTCCCAAGTAACTTGTCGAGGTTTTAAAGAAAACGAGTGTTCAGTATCTGGATTTTGGACAAGGTTTGCAATCGTGCCATACTCACCGACATTACCCACTTTCTTGAGACAGGATCGTCGACGATTGTTGCCAGATCCAAATTCCCAGAGTCTGGGGCTTCCTAAAGTCCAGAAAATAACTGCAGATGAGCCAGAATCTCAACAGTACTTGAGCATGCAAAGGCATACATCTCATTTCACTGCAGAAGTGCGATAGCAATTAGAAGGCGCTAATCTAATTCAAGTCTCACCAAAAACCATCTGTGGTCGAACAGAAACCTTACGTATCTGGAGCGCCCAGTAGAATGTAACCAGGAGCTACGTCTCACCGGGTGCTCGAAACACATAAACTAAGTGACCATATTGGTGGGTAGTGAAATGTCGTTGATATCTGGGCTGGGTTCAATCCTGAGGATCTAGGTGGAAGACCGACTGTGCACACACCTGCTACGCGTTTTAACCAGCTAGGTTCAATTTTGTCCAGACGTGCACCTCGTTTCTATGGGTATTATCGCAGTGAAAAATGGGCCGTTAGGCGGGAATGGTGTGACATACTGCGTTCAACAGTACAATGGCTCCTTTGGTTGATACTGAAGCTTGAATTCGGGGCTACAACTCATCTCAAGCTATAGCTAAAGAGTCATGGCATCAGAACTCCGAAGAGATGGGTCTCCTTCAGACAAGTTCCAGAACTCGACGGTTGTGTCACACATGTGACATGTGATGTTGACCCTTTGGCCGTACACCATGAGGATGGTTGCCCTGATTGCAGACGAGGATCTCCATTCCCGATCGCGCCATGCGATACTGAACAAGCCTGTGGATATCGCATACAACGAGGAACACAAACCCACCTGTGACAAGCTACTCGCTTGCGCATCGGACAGCAGAGAAATGCTTATTACAACGGAGCGCGCCGCGGCGTCTTCAAGTCTTGTGATTGTGCGTCTGTATTTGAACCAGTCTGACTCTTGAAGGTTTCGGGCACTGATCAAACACCGGATTCCGTTGGCCGAGGCAAGTTCTTCATGAAGGTGTGTCTGATGCTTCCGAATCACTGTAAGACCGCTGCCCGTGGCACTGACCTACCTAATCATTCCTCGGGTCGCCGGTTCATTGTTCTCGCACATCCCTAAATGTTGAACAACTCCTTCTTACCCCGCCGCATCCCCATTTCAAACAGGGGTAAAAGCAGAGCGACAGGCTGTCTCCCGTCCGAAAATTCTCGGTTCCCAGAAGTTGCGTCACTTCAAGGTACGAGCATTGGCAATTGCTCCTTCGAGCCTATGCAAGACCCCGAGGAACCCATGTTCTTTAGTTCCAACAGTTATTATTTCGCTGACGTCTGCCGCATCTCTTGCCTCCTAACGCTTCACCTACAGCTCACTCCTCTGAATATCCATGTACGTTCCAAGTCAGTTCAACGCCTTCGTTCGGCAAAACTCATCTCTCTTTGGGCAGTCCAAATTCTAACGTATTCAAGCGCCCACTGTTCACACCGCTTCGCCCGTTCAATATGAACCCTGCGAACGCTTCGACGCTGCCGCTTATGAAGGACCGTTGAACTTTATAAAAAAATATTTTATATCATCACATCACAGAGCTACACCTTCCCTGCCTTTCGTCGTTACCACAACTTACTACTCCACCCAGATAACTTCATGTGGAAGGCCTTTATGGCCCAGGCAGAATGACGGCGTATGTGAGTCGGCGGTTCATCAGGTGTCACGGCATGTCGTCTTTGATGGGTTGGGCACCCACCTCCTCTCGGGAAGATTGCTTGGTATGTCTGCGGTACAGGATAATGAGTTGCATTAATTGGCAGCTGCAGTACTCGGTACGTGGTTCTGGTATTTATCATCACTTTGGGATCTCAAGTTACCAGCATTTTATATCAGCAGAGGCTCGAAGAAAGACAGTAATCGGAACAAGCCAGCGGAGTTGGGAACTGGCGCGTACGCGGCGCTACTATGCTTGTATTTGAACAGAGAGCAGCGAAAATAATCGGCGGCTCGCCGCCGCTGTGATACTGATAAGCGACCTCATCGAAAGTCGTACAAATGCAAGCCACCCGGACAAGCAGTGACATCAATTTATGACGTAGTCCACAAAATACAAGTGAGTCAAATATTTATTGAAGGGGGGGAGGGGAGGACTTTGGCACATTGAATTCGTCACCTATTTACAACGATCGACACCCAAACAAGACGAGGCCCCTATGATCAATAATCAGTATCGCAAAGACAAACGGTATGATATTGGCGTCACCTAGCAATCGGAGTTGGAGGACTGCCCCTTCACAACCTCAACGGGAGCTTCCTCGGGCAGACACAACTTGCGCGCAAGGGCCTGGATGTGATCAAGTTGTGTGTCAGTAACCACGAAGGATGCAAGATCGTGACTATGTGCCCCAACACTGAAGTCCATGCTAGCTTCAAGCTCCTGCTTGTTGCCTCCAGCCAAATACCTTTGGAAGTATGAAGCATCCGCAATGCTACGAGCATATTCGTGAGCATTTTGCTCGAGAATGGATTCAAGAAGCTTGATGCGTTGCAGATTTGCCTCAATCTCCCAGGTCGTTGTCAGAACACGTAAGCGCATGGATTCGCGAGTAGCTTGCTTCGCGATAACAGCTTGAGTGACAGTCTTATGAGACATGCCTCTCAAGCCACGCTCGAAGATATCTTTGCCCTGGTACAACGATTATCACTGTGAAGTGGTGTATGCATGGTTGGTTGACATACCTCTTGGACGTCAGGTAGACTCATCTCAGTCTCGCTAGCATATTTCCCAACAGACCTGTGAACAAGACGAAGTTCTATTGCGTTTGGCGCATGGCTATGGTGCGGGTCATAGGGCTTGAACTGTCTTTGTGCACGAGTCACAAGCCGAGACAGGTTGCGCATGATGCCAGAAGGAGGGCTCGGAAGTGCACGAAGCTCATCTTCAAGTGATGAATCATTGCTGGTGTCATCGGAAGATGGTGATAGTTGACGAGGGTACGTCGTTGTGTGTTTGGACTGTGTTTTTGTACTTTGAATATCATGATGCATCCGACTGTCACGGAATGGAGAGCAGAGGTTCTGAACGGGCCTCAATTGGCGAGGCTCATCCGTATCACGGGTAGGACTCGGTTGTCCCACAGAACTTGGTGGAGGAGTAATACAGGCGTGCATGCTGGACGTTGTTCGGAAACATCACGATGCCCTGGGGGAATGTTATAAACCAGGTAGCGGAGTTGCAAAGACGTTAGGTGAAGTTTGTAAATGTCAAAACGGGATTGATATTTCCTCCGTATCAGGGTGTAGTATAACTCGCAGCAAAGTTGGTCCAATGTACTGGCGCACAACTGCCCGTATGGGATTGAAATTTCCTCCTCATTTGGTACTACTATCACTCCTGGGGTTCTGCAACATTTTCAATAAATCTTTTGTAACTCCTCAACCGCATCATATTATCTTCTACTGATTTGCACCATTATATATTCGTAGCTACTCTATATGAATATGATTTTTTCTGATTTTTCTGATTTTTTGGTGGAGTGTCGGATGAAGGCCGAGAAAACTCAGGGTCTGACTGGTATTCTGCAAAACATGGTCACGCTGTGTCACACGTCGGCACAGCAGCGGCACCGTCAACTTTCACTCTCCGAAGACTCTGAAGCTCGTCGTTGCGCATCGCATTGAAAATGAATATTATCGAGGATCGTGGTCTATATACTAATTATTGTGATTGTAATGGTACTGTTGATAGAGTCTTGACTCATACAGCTGACGGCCTGCATCACCAGAGCCCCCAATGTCATACATCTGCACTCCACCAACTCGAAAATCCTGAGACATACTAGCGCTACCAACCGGTGTGAAGGGAGGGTGAAGAACAGGTGGAGACCGAGGTACAGAATGGTGCATTGAATAATATGGAGGTGCGTAGCCGGGTGGGGGCAGATCCATGGCTGACATTGAGGAATGAGTGACAGGCAGCTGTGGTTGATACCTGGATGGTTGTTGAATCGAATTTGCGGGAATCATATCTTGCGGGAATTCAGGCGCCACACTATTGTCATTTTCGAGACAGCGCCTGCGAGAACGGGGGGGATTAAATAAACCATCATAGCGTTGATTTTTCTTGAGTTCCGGGTGGTCGTTGAAGTGCTGCAAAATTCGCTGTAACAATTCAGCCTTGAGTCCAGTCTCCGGCAATCGCAAGGCTGCGGCTACGTCTCGTAATTCCTCCAGCTTTTTGGTCTTGATTGCGCCTGTAAATGCAGCTTGAGAACGCTCCTGCTCTGCTCGCCGATCACGTTTTCCCTGTTCCTCTGCAACCTTCTTCTGTTTACTCGCTTCCTCCTGACGCTCGCGCTCAGCCTGATCAGCCTCCAATTCCCTCAGCTCCGCACGGCCTTCCTCTGATGTCAGCACCCTTGAATAGGGCTTCATTCGTTTCTTGCCCGATCCCTTGCGAGTTTTGTCGTCCAGCTTCTTGTTCAACCGTGCTTTGTAGTGGTCGGCCATCTGAGCTGAAAAATAGCAGTGAGTCTCCGCAGCATCTTTTTGGAACATCAATAATTCATTTTCTCGACGGAGCCATTCAATCTCCTCCTCGGCCTGTTGGAGACGTTCCACAATCATTTTCGATCGCTCGACTGGTGTTGCACTTCGTGAGAGCAGGCAGTTTCGTACTTGCAGACACTGATCGAGTGTGGCGCCGAAGTGTGTTTGCGGGATGAGTCGTCTGAGTCGTGCTGGGATCTGTTTCTGGCACTAATGACAGTGAACCGGAAAAATTGGAGGGGCCTGCTTCCGGCACTGATGAAGACTCAAGGGACTGGGCTCCTGACCACTGCGGGGGTAAGTTTCCTTGTCCTATTATTCTAGGGGTATGACTCGGATCACTGCCATTATCAGATTCTGACGAGTCTGAACCCGATTCTGAACCGTCAGAGTCGGATGAAGTTTCTTGTGGTGGCTCGTATGTTGGATCAGTGTCGGAAAGGGGATCAGAGAATGTGTGATTAGCCTGAGGGAAGGTGGCAGGGAGGTGCAACTGGGTGGATGACTCGTAACTTGGTGCGTAATCCTCTTCTGTAAATATTCCTGGGTTTATCGGTCTAATTCCACTTTTTTTCCATGCCTGCAGGATCGTCTCCTCTTTAAATGCGATATCTCTCGCCTTCATATACTCTCGAATCACGTTGCGCTTTTTGATCCCCTCCCCAGTCTCTTCCATCACAACCTCACTGCGTCTCTGCCATTGTTTCTGTAGGGGACCAAAAACGCCAACATCAAGGGGTTGTAAACGATGTGTCGTGTGTGGGGGGAGACAAAAAAGGTGAATGCCATGTTCTTCTGCTGCTTGACGAAGTTTGATGGTCTCGTGTGAGCGGTGTCCATCATATATTAGGAGGATCGGTTGACCGGATGAATTTCGTGCTTTGGCTTGCGGCACGAAGCTTTTCACAAACCACTCAGTGCCAATAAAGTCACTCGTCCAACCATTTTCGGATGTTGCAACTCTATAATTGAGTGAGTTTCGTTCTACCTATCATCGAGCAGAGACTCACATTATACCATCTTCTTCATAGTATTCCGGGTATATTTGTGACCCAGAAAATACAAAGCCGGGCTTCAGATTGGAGCCGTCTGCACACACTGCACTCGATCACGGTCACCAGCTCAAGTTGGTCACTCTTTGCCCTGACCCTGGCTTTTGCGTTCCGTGAAAACAGGTACTTCGTGTTATCACATTTCCTCCCTCCCCCAAGTTGTATCCCCTTCTCATCCATGTTATACACGTTCTCCCAGGGAATGTTCTCCGATTTCAAGAAGTTGTCAAGGAGTTTGAAGTGGTGATTAACAGTTGTGTAATTGAACATTTGCATGCGCTTCGGATCAATTCCAGTAGGGCGTCCCAGCTTGATTTCCGGATGGCGAGCAAGAAAATAGCTGATCCACATTTTTGAAGGCCCCTTATCTTTACCAGTCAGCTTCTTCTTTGCCTTTAACTTCTCGCTCAGCTCTGACACCTTTGCACGAAGGCTGCGCTTGGAGAGAGGGTGACCTGTCATTGCCAGGTACTGGGCCCAGTGACATAATGTTTCTTCCTGTCCTTCGGTGAGTAGCTGTTGGTTTTTGTGGGCTTTCGAATGAGGTTTGGTCAGGTTCAGTGCCCGTCGACGAAGAGTGTCATATGGCACTTTGAACTGTGCAGCTGCTGTCCGGAGGTTCTTGGTCTTTTTGTCTTTGACAGCCTGGATAGCAGCTGTGAATTTGGCCTCACGAGTTGCATCTTCTTCAGCTTTCTTCTGAAGGTTACACCGGCGGTTTGGAGGCATTGCGAGAATACGAGACCGAGACAATGCAATGTGAATGCGACTGACTGGACAGTGCCGTGTATCAAGCCGAGTGTGCCATAGAGGAGATTGAATTTCTTACACACTCTCCTATCTGTTGTCACGCTTTCATACATGTCCACAATCCTCCGTCTATAGCATCTTAAAACAAGAGAATGACCTCTATCGAAATTGTGTTCTGACACCCTGACAAGGTGCTTGATATACCCCGGGTGTAATTTTTTGAATATCTCTCTAGGATCTATGGGATCTGGATCATTTATGATTATACAAGGTTGCAAATTACCACTATTCCGTCTCTCACAGCTGCAACACTCAAGAAATTTTTATTCTACTTGGACAGTACATCATCTCTAAGTAGCCTACATGCATCTAAATTTTTTTGAGGTGATTCAAGCAGCGCATTGAGGTGTTTTGCACATTTTGCATATTACATGCCAGTTGCAGATTCCCAGGAATGATAGTAGGCCAGCCGGGACGACCGGCCATCAGATTTTGGACCCGTTGAAAAACGATCGTTGAACGGACCACATTGAGCAAGGCACTTTGCCAAAAACACCAAACCGAAAGTTACAAAAGCGAGAATAAGTGAGAGCCGCCGATTGCCATTATCAAGGTTGATATGATCACAATTAAAGATTTTACCCAGATACAAAGTAGTACTACTGAGCTCAGCTGAGCATCAGTTGCTGCTGTACTGCATTAAACCGAGCGCTCACTGAGTCATCTGACCAGTGGCACAGATCGTAAGTGTCCGTAATGCGCTCAAGTTAAGCGTTCATTTCAGCTGTTTTACCGATCATAGGGTCGGGCCTAACCATCAAATAATTTGGCCGAGGCCACCAACTTCCATTTGTTGTTCCACCGCTTTGGCATGCAAATTCCAATGCAAGACTGAGCTCAGGTTGCCATTTCAAACTTCTGTTTTAGAACAGAATTTTGATTATGTTAGTTTAACTCCAGAGCTGGACCGTATGGACTCGCCAGGCTATCGGAAGCAGTCGCCATTATCCTGATTGTCAAATTATTTGACGCCGTCGTCGCTGGACAACTGGAGCACCTGGGGATCGGTGAAGCCTTTGACTTTACCGTCCTACGATTTCACGCTGTTAGCAATCTCGCATCTGTTAACACCAGGCAGACTTACTATCTGGTCGATCCCAAGGTACAGGTTTGTCTCAGTATCATAGAGAGTCGCAAGATGCTGAACCACGTCCTTGACATTGACTTGGATCTATGGGCATTGATGAGCACGGGAAGTGCGTTGCTGTAACGATGCACGCGTATGATTTGAGCAACGTCGTGGCCGACGAACTCCTTGTTTCCTGACATGTGGACGTACCGGTCTACATACAAGACATTCCTGATCTTGTATGGTCCGGAGGGGATCATGTGGCTCATGGTTGATTGAAGATCCCGTTGAGTACTGATTGAGAGAAGGTTGTTGATAGAAACTGACGACAGCCTGAGGACATGATGATGCTGCGACCTTTATACCTGGCCGAAAGCTCCATTGCTAGTTCCAGTCTTCCAGATAAGCCCCAAAGTCAGCATCACCCTCCGTCTATGTCTTGGTCTTGGGGTCACGACTCACATAACTTCGGGTACTGATCAAACATCGATTCCCGAATTCCGTTGGAGACAAGTTCTTGATGAAGGTGCGCCAACTTCCGAATTATTGTGACCAACATTATTGATCTAATCATTCCTCGGGTCGCGTCCGGTTCATTGTTCTCCGAGTCGTACATTCCGAGTCGAACGGCTCCCCGCAGCATCCCATTTCAAACAGGGGTACAAGCAGAGTCACCAGTTTCCCGTTATTCGTCCGAAAATTCTCGGTTCCCAGAAGTTGTGTCACGAAGTTCAAGGGACGCCTTCGAGCTTATGCAAGACCCCGAGCAGCGGCCATGTTCGTTAGTTCCAACAGAGGGTGCTTGACACTGCCGAAAATACTTGGTGTCGCTCGGGCCCAACCTCGACGAGTGTTAATTAGATGAACGACAGTTTGACCGGAAGATTCGCTGCACCCCTGAATGCTACTCATGGGACCAACTCAAATGCCCTGCTTGTATGAGTATATCATCCCCTGTTATTCGTCCTCGCCGGTCCAGGTTCCCTGGAATTGCATCACTTCAAGTACAGGCAAATTAATCACTGTTCAAACTATGTGTGCACTGGCCGTCCCATTACCTCAGAACAGCAGAACAGCAAATCAAACAATTTTATTGACACAAGATACACAAGACCGTTCTTGCTCGTAGTTCCCCGTCTTGTAGTGAGGCACTTCCTGCTACATCCACAGTACAACTGCGCATCTATCCCACTCGAGATCGACTGAGCAATTTCAGTGTCTTGCATGGAGCTGTACAGTAGTGTGTAATGGATGATACAATGCCCGGCGGGGCAATTTTTATTAACAAACGTGAAGAACGCCTGTCACTACCCTACATATCATCCTGGTGCCTGTTCGCGCAGCGCAGCATTCCATCCTTTTCTCGCACGAGATCAGTTGGTTTGCGCGGTCACTTTGTCGATGAGTTTCCTCAGCACAAGCCTGTAGTCGGTGCTGTCAGCAACGACGACGCAAATCAGTATCATTGGTGAAAGGCGAGTGACGTGCATGGGGGATGCAGAGCAGCGCTAACCTTCGGTGTGCAGAAATTGAGGATGCAGAAGATGTCACCACGAAGATGTTGCGCGATGCTACGAAGGCTGTGAAGGCATACAGAGATGCCGTTGCATGGTTCCCCGCAGAGGAGGAGAAAGAATGGCTTGGCTGAGCACGAGGAATTTTTAAAGCATGGGTGCAGCCTTCGGTCCCAGTTGTATCGAGAATTCATTTATCACCTTTATCTGCAGGATCCATCCAAAGGACGTGGACGAAGTGTGGTATCTCAAAGATGGCGGAAACTGGACCTTTGTTTGTTTTCATCGCTGACCTTTTTTGACTTGATTTATGACCAACTTCACTCTAGATCACTGTTCAGCCAGCTCCTGCCTCGGAGGCGAAGTACTGGACGTTCGAAAAGGCGAAATAAATGTTTTGAAATGCAAGGATACCTAAGTAGCAGCTGCCAGCTGCTGTTGCTCTGATCTGTATGTCTGTCGGAGAATGCTTGTATGATTAGCTTATGATTGTGATGTATGCAAGATATGTTTGTGACTTTCCGTGACTGGACAGTGGGATGTCCAAATGTTTACCTGTCAGAGTTGTGTCACCTCTACCGACTTACGCACTGGTGTTATTGTTATCTGCTCTCTGCATTCACAGCCATGTCTTCCTCCCACTCGCCTTAGTGGGTAACAACTGAGCTCCCGTAAGTCTCGCTTGATTGTGCGCTTGATGGTCCCTTCCTCGCTGAGAAATACTGCGCTGTACGACCGGTAAGATGATGTCAACGTCGCTTGATCAATCACTGGGAGCAATTCTGCGCAGACTCCTTACCAACGACTCCCCTTGATGGGTGCTGGCGGTGCTGGACTAGGTTCAATACCTGGGAAGATAGCATCGTCTGGAACCAGGTGTTCGTCAACTACGGCATGGTGTTCCCTTCAGTATTTCCGCTCCATCCAACATCGCTTGATGAGACACTGGTCGTTCTCACTGAGAGTGTGATTTATGCTCAGTTGGATGTCATCATGTCACCCGCTTCAATAAAGCACGGCATAAAATAGTGTAAAACGCACGACAATACAGGTATTAACACCACTAATTCGATCCAGGGGGGTCCATTCGTTCGGATGCAGCACGTGCCGTCCACGCCGTCCAAAATATGAAGACACATGCTAGACTCTATGTGTAGCTGCCGATTTTCGTGATGGCAGGAAGAAGGTCAGCTATATTAACCGGTTGATGCTATCTGACTTGTACAAATAGTAGCAAAGATATTTGTGGAGCTATTTGGGCTTAAAACCCGCAGGGTTTTATGACCCGAAACACCGTTTCGAACCTGTGGAGAAAGTCCAGGATGAGCCGTGATTCCCAAATTCAAGGAGCCCTGCGATGCGTCAGGCGCAGCATGGACTCCCAATTCGAAGGAGGAGGGCGGATTGGTGTGTGCTTACCTTGTTAACGCGTCAGTGGCATGGTGTAGCGGGCGAACGGCTCCAATGCTGGTGACGCTTGCAGGTAAGGCGCTAAAATTAATGCGTGTTTGCGCAGATAGATCGTGAACGCCTCGCTTGACCATCTACCCATAGATTTGACTACGTCAAACGGAACTCCCCGCAGCAAATATTCCAGGGTCCCTCCAATGCGTAGGCCATGCCCCTTCAAATTGCCTAGTCCCGCTCTCTTGACTATTCCTCCGATTCGTTTCCAGAATTCGGACCTCGTCAAAGGCCTCATGCCTTTTTTGTGTTTCCACGCAAAAAGATGACTGTCTCGCGGTGGGTCGTTGACCGCGAAATGATTGAGCATGGCTGCTTTGGGTTCGGAGAGATCCTGTTGTTGCGCCCAGTGTACTCCTTCTCCGTTCCCTGCTGCCTTGGTCCTCGGTAAGAAAATCTTGGTTACTCTAAGTTCGTGCCTGTCCTCAGCGTCCATTTCTAGATTAGAACACTTTACATGCTTCTCCGGTTCGAAGGTTTTCATGGATTTGACGGTCAACTCTCCTACGCGGCATAATGCGTAAAAGGCACTCGTTAAGCATGCGTAGACTGCTGCATTGAGAGGAGCTGATGGGTTTAGGTGAGCGCGGATATCGATAATGAGTTTTATGGTGAAAGGTTCGTGTTTGGGACGTTTTGATTTGTCTGGAGTTAGTTCTGAAGCCCTGTCTAATGATGCTTTCAGTTCATCCTGCTGTACGTTCCAAGGCTGACCATGTAACGTGTGCCACGCTCTAATTGTATACACATAGTTTGTTACAGTCTTCCCCGAATACGATCCAGCGCAGCTTGAGACAAAATTCAGCATGGTTCGCGTGTCGACTGGACATCGCTGCTCCTCAGGTATGTTTCTTTCATCACAAAAGACATGGAACACTAAGAGACTGGCCCCGTAGCATTCTCTCATTCCCGTTGCCCATGATAGGTTCATCACGGTCATGACCCTCTGTAAGTCTTCATCCGAGATGGCCAGAAAACGACCGTCTGCTCCCGAAGCTACTCTGGTTTCAACCGGGAACCAGAGTTTCAACCTGTCTCAGCGCTAAACAGTGTGGACGAAGCTGCGAAGGTATCAGGATGAGTCCCGTCTTGTATGGAAGAGGCTTTGCTACAGGATCTGGTGGGAGAGATGCGCTAAAGTGCGTGTTGTTCGCTGGTATGCCCCTGCCTCTGGTGGATATGATAGAGCGCGTCACTGATGACTCTTGCACCCTCATCGATGTCGGCACTGATACTGTTGAGAGAAGATTTCTTGGGGGTACCTGGTTGGATCCGTTCTGAGCTGTATTCTCTTGGGTCCGTGGAGATGATGAATGGATCAAGGATGAACTGTTCGAGTGCACTTGGGATGGGGAGCATTGGTAGTAGGTGCTCTGTGCTACCATAGATTCCTCTGGAGGGATCATCTGCAGGGTTTTCTTTGCTAGAGATGTATGCAGGATAGAATGAGTATGACACTGCAGAATTGTCGATAAAAGTGAAGATGCGATGGAAGACTTCATTGACGGCTGAGTTCCTGCTTCGTCCGTTCCTCCACCCTTCAATGACACCCTGGTTGTCTCTGAATACTTTGAAATTTCTCTGCAATCCTCCCATGCTGACAAGGTGGTGAATAAGTAGCTCGAACCCGACTGCTTCCGCCCATCCGATGTCCTTTTTTCTGTTAAGAGTTCGCCATCCTTTGCGCAGACACCATGCTCGCCATTTGACTCCAATAGTGATTGCGATCCCAACGCCGGAGCTGGCATCCAAATAGGCCTCCGGGTCAGATAATTTGAGAGGTCTAGGGATGGCGCGTCCAACAAAAGCACTCTGCAACAGAGACTTCCACCAGTGTAGGTCAAAATCGAGGCTTTTGACAGGCCTCCGTGGGATAAAAGGCTTATCAAACGCGAGGCACAGCATCGCTTCGAGCGACATAAGATATGCTCTTCCCTTCGGTACAACAAGTGTGGTATGCAGCAACTTACCGTAAAGTTGTTGTATGTCAATAAGCACGTGCGTGTTACGGTTCTGCCAGGTGTCAATTGCTGACAAGTACTTCTTCTTCTTTTCCTTGTCGAGATAGACTGTACCTTGGGCCAGATCCCACATGATACCAATGTAAGGGTTAGCATACGCGAAGTCTTTGTCCTTGAGAGGCTCCCAAGGAACATCCAGTTCTGCTGAAGCGTCGTCAATGTCAGACAAGTTACATGAGAACTTGGCGTCTTCGGTTGATCTCGGTGACGCCTCTGAGAGATCAGTGATTGGAAATCTGCAGTCTTTATCAAACTCTTCAAGAGTGCCGTCTTCAAACACGAAGCCGCCAAACCACACTCTGCCCCGGTCCTGATGCATACCTCTCTTAATGATATCTTGGTGCCAAGCTCGCCTCTTTTCGTTGTATGCTTCAATGTACTGCTTAAGAATTCGTATGAACAGGTGATCATCGACCCATCTCGATGCGGGCCCGATTCCCCGCGAACGAAAAAGGTCCAGACCAGCATCAGCCAAGCAGCCATAAGCTCCCGCTGATGGTCGTAAGCCGAAGCACATGCAAGTATCGATGCAAAACAGGTCTTCCAAGATACAGGCAACCGACCCTGGCCATTGGGAAGGGTGAATGGGTACGGTTCGGTATGCTTCCAATACGTCCCTGATAGCAATTTGAGACCCGGGGGGTAGGCGACTGATTGTGAGTGCAACGACGTGAAAGGTGCCCCAGGTGCTGGGAAAATTATCCAGATTAATGTATGAATTGATAGAAGCATTAGGGAATTGTGTAGATGCGGCGTGAGGAAAAGAGTAATTTTGAATGATGCGATAATGCCCGGGGCGACCCGGCTTAGGAATAATGGAGAATGGAGATGATTGAAACGGGCCGATGAGATCCTCGACCTCTTTTGCTCTAAGTGGCCTGATGTACCTTCCTTTCTTAAGCTCAATTTGGATGATAGCAAGGAACTCTTTTTGATATGACACAATGGATTGCTTGTTGGGTGGCGTTTGTGTAACGTTAATACTAGGAATATCCAGATGAAAACCCTTCCGCAGACCCTCTGGAATGTGTGGGTATCTGTCAATGAGCCCTGTCGACGCGAGCCTCGATGCCCATGCTTCCGGGTTGTACAGCGTGAGTGCTTCAAGCTCTCTGCGCTCAAGAGCACGTTTGAGCTCCGTGAGATGCAGCACCGCATCCAGAACAGAAGTGTCTTCGGTCATGAGTGACCTCCGAGCACCCTGCTGACCCGCTGCCAGTCGCTGCAAACTGGTTTGCCGTCCCGCATTGTGAGGACTCTCCCAATGTGGGAGCAGAGAGTATTGAATGCATCGTCCCAGGTTTTGAGGGCCTTGCATTCGATAATCCTGTGTGGGTTGCGTCCAAGGCATACGGCACAAGCGGAGAGGACTCCCCCATTTGCGCCCGTCCGAAAATCCTGATGCGGCTTCTTTCCCCTGCCCGAGCGTTCAGGAGACGCTGAACACTTGCGTGACTCCTTCCAGTCTCGCTGCCTCGATGAGGACGAGCCACGATGGTCAGACTGTGATGAGGAATGTGGCGTGTCATGTGGCATGTTGCATGTGGCATGTAGCATGTGGCAGATAGCATGTGGCATGTAGCATGAGGCGGGTGTGGCATGGTTAATTTGTTTCGTAAAGTGAGAATGCGCGAAACGAATTGATTAGTTCAAGAACTTCATTATCTCTTTAGTAGACGCTGACCTTGTAGTCCTGCTCGTTGTCTCTCTTGTTGCGATCTTCCCAATACACTCGGTCTCTTGTGGCCTTCAAAACTTTCTCATTAACGATAGAGATGTTGTATGGCCCTACTGAGGACTTTGCAGCTGCATGCCAGGATCTGCGCTGCTCCGCTTGATAGACGAGGAGAGCTTTTTGGGCTAATGGATCTCTTAATGCACGAAATTCGTGGACTTGTATATTCATCCAAAAACGCGCCATCATTTGAACTCTGTCCTCTGGCCAGTCCACTTCTTCTACCGCTTTCAGAAAGCGAGGACAGGCTTGACAAAACTCCTCGAAGGGTAAGTTTTCGTCATTGACTACTGCACGTGCGCTTCTGGTCGATGCTGACGATACCCACGCCATTGACCCATTCGCTAGAGTTGACAGTATCATAGTGTCATCGTCGACGGTCTTCTTGAGATTAGCCTCATCCAGACCGTCATTGGTAAAATACCATAACTCCACGTAGTCACCTTTGTCCAACTTCTTAAGAGCGTAAGAGCACGGCGTGTTGGCAGGATCGTCGGGGATGCCGGCCTCGAGAATCGGAATAAACTTGTGTTTATTTTTCTTCCTTTCTTCTTTGCGTGCTACTTCTTCCTCGTCGATCCTCTCTTGATTGAGTCTTTCTTGTTCCTCTTTGTCTAGCCTTTGACGTTGTTCTTCTCGTTCCTCGTCCTCATCTACTTGTCATTGCCATAACACTTTGACTGCATTGTTGTTGGCCTCCCAAATGTTCCTAAGCAACTGCATGGCTTGAATTTCGGTCGTGTTCTCGTTGACCAATTGTGCGCGAATGTTGTCGAAGACCTCAGACGCATAGTCCGGACAGATATTGAGGTTCGGGTTGTTTCTAATTCTCAGCATGTTGAAAATTAGTCTATGCTGACAATCAACTGCTGGTATGTGACAGAGAAGCGACGAAACGAGAGTGTCGTCGAGGAGTGGATGAGTTGCAAGTACTAACGTGGTAGTACGAAGCAAGAAGGTGGGAAACACGAAAAATCGTGTCGCCACATAGACCTAATTCTATCTTCGTTCTCGTGCCTCGAACTCATATAGAATACAACACCAGTCACGGTGGCGCTGAAAGCGCTTTGTGTCACGGGCGAAAGTTCGGCGTTATCCGGCGGCTGGAGTGTAGTCCCGTGATCCGCAGGCTAATTTTAGCCCATCTGGGCTGAATGCACTAAGGCGCATAGACCGCGTCAAAATAGCTACGCCCCTATCACTGTCCTAAGCCACCATACAAGTTCTTAAATCTTTACCACCTCCGTGAGCAGGACGTGACTCAGTCATTCGTCTCCCCAACCCTCCAAAAATAACATCCTTAATACATAACTTGTTTCGATTGAAAATTTGAAGCAAGCCAAACCAACGCTAATCGGTGGGTGTGATCATTTAGAGTGATCATTTAATAAATTACTTTTACTTACATCCTGCATGCAAGATATTTCAACCTTACCGTGTATTCATCAGCCTATGTTCAGCACAGACAACACGAAGTGGTACAGACTGTCATATGCTACGCACCAGGCAGTTGTGCAGCGTTACACCCTCTCAGGATCTCCTGTCAATGAGACAGACCCGAATTCGGTCCTCCACTGCTGGAAGATATTTGTGCAGTGTACACTTCCAGATGATAATTCTCGGATTGTCACGCTGGACATGATGCCCGGCCAGGACAGTAGAACCGGTGCCCTGGCTGTGACAGAAGCCCCTGACGAGTCATCTCAATCAAGTGTTGCTGACGTTCCAGAGGACGCTGCTACTGATATCACAGTTAAATCTCTTTTGGATTTACTGGAATATAATGGGCGCAACCGTTTCTTATATGACAGCACCGCTCTGGATGCCGGTTCTGGTGCCACACGGTTCTTGGTGATCTGGAGAGAAGAAGATTGGTTTGCGGTGGTGCCATCTCCAGGTTTGATGCATACGTCGCAGAACAAAGCCAAGAAAACCCCACGTGGTTCCCACTACCGACCCGTGAAGGCACCTTTTACTAGTAAAAGCCGATTTAGGGTATTATTACATGTCAATTTAAAGATATGAATGAAGTCTCGTCAGAATTCTACATTCTTCGAAATGCATACGACTATAATATCTCTACCGTTCTGACGTTCAACATGTCGCGAATAGCAGACACGTCCTTGACACGTGCGATGATGTCATGATCCGATGCGATTCTTTTGTATTCCCCACCACGCTGCTGCGCTAATAAAAGTGCGCCGAAAGGCTGTCCAAGGCGAACGATCAACCTCAACGCTCGCGACTGAGACTCCACATCAACTAGGCCAACTTCTTTAGGGTAGCCCCAAGATAAATCGTCTAGTGGAGACGCAGGCACTGGTCTGCATATCGTCTGAGAAATCAGACAGCCCGACGTCATGACGATTCCAGGGACGGACAAGTAAGAATCTCTGCCGAAAAGGTCTCGCCTGCGAGAACTGAGTCAGCTTGTTTTCGGTGGTGATTAACAAGTCTTGAAGTCCGTCTGCTTTGACGTCATATGTGAAACATGTCTCCCGGTGTAGACCGTGCCTCCTTCTGACTCCTGTGACAAGAAAGGTGATGCAAGGAAGGAGTATTCTGCGGTTCGCGAAACGAGGAGCGCGCAGGTTGTCAAGCTGGGTATACAATGCCACAGCCAACTCTACATCCGCGACACTTCGAAGGTTGGCGACTGACGCCTGCATCTCATCTTCGGATAGCGATGGTGGTATGCATGGCGGCGCTTCGTACAAGGCAATGTCGGCTGGCAGACAGCTATTGAACTCCGACGATTTTCCGACCCAGTCCAGGGCAGTGATGTCACCCGACTGAGCCACAATCGCCTGCAACAGTCGCCCGAGAGCGTGATGCTTCTTCTCGCCGTAGATTACAGGCAGGTGGACCCCAAAGATGCCAAACAATGAGTACGCAATATCTTCCTGCAATGTCGTGACACGTGTCGACGCCCATTGAAGTTTCTCTCGTGCACCTCTCATCCCCGGACAGAAGGCCACGAGGGCCTGGGCGTTTATGCCTGTTGCATCCTCTAACTCATGCATGATAGCGACAGACTCCTTGTGGTTGGGAGAGCGGTCATTGAGATATGGGGTCCAATCTGCTTGGTAGAAGAGAATGACTTTGGGAGCCAGAAACTCTTGGACAGTCCATCCTCGTGTGTTCCAAGCGCTCTTTGCGAGTGCGCCAGACTTCGATGATGGCGCAACGTCGGATAGGTAGACAATCGTAAGAGGTGAATGGCGATACCAGACAAACATAGAGTTGATCGATCGCTGGAGCTCAGCATTGTTACTTTGATCGATGCAACATGTATCGCTCCATGCCCAGCGATACCCTGCATCACGGGAAGTTTTGCAGAACATCTGCAGCTTCAGCATGGTTCCGACTGGATCCAAATCGTATACGGCCTTGTTCTGGATGTCGAGTAGCAGCGGCTCCTTCGTTTCCCACCTATGCGATAACATCACCCAACGGAAGTACATCACCACCACCTCTTTGATGCACTCCATTTGAAGGTGCCCATGGGTCATCAATGAAGACATAAGTCTCTCGTATTCTGTGCTCTCCATGAAGGCATTTGTCTGTGCCTGTTGATCGCACAGATATCCAGTGGAGGTGTCGAGTAAACGAAGTGGAGCGGTATCCAGGTGAGCACGAATCGCTTCTCGAATAGCATGTTCTGCTTCACAAGGAGTGACATAATGATATTGCCGACGTAGTTCTGGAAAGAAACGTGATTATGTTCATGTTGAGTCATGAAAGATTCAGGACTTACGTTGTATCTGCGCGTCGGAAGCATTTTCCAACTTGGAGAGCATGATATTGAAGGTCACGACTGCTTCATCATAGCGATGTACCCCATAGAGCGCTTCGTGCTTTAGTTCGTACCCAGTATAAGACGATGGGTCGAGTTCGATCACCTATGCATCGACAATGTCAACACAATGCTAAAAATTATGCATGTCATCTGCACCTGTTCCGCGTCGGAGAGGGCTTCCGCATACAGGTTCTGTCCCAAATTCTCCTTACCGCGGCGTACAAAAAGGGGTTCGTATGAGGGATCTAGCCCGATCCCTGCCGAATAAAGCTCGATAGCTCTTGCATGATCGTTTGTAACAACAGCGTCTTCTCCCTTGGCCACACAGCGTGCAATGCAGTCTTGCTTGAAGGCTAATCAACCTCGGGGTCAATATCGATGCTCGAGTTGTCTAAGGTCATAAGACACTCACTGGTAGACCATCCGAGACAGCTGGTCTTCTCAGTCCCATCAATCATGCGCATCATGTATTGATACGATTCGACCGCTTCGATCACTTGATCCGCGCGGAGGAACGCGTCACACCGTTGTTGGTGGACGGTTCGCCATAACGAATCCAAGTCCCAACCGAAGAGCTGCAAAGCGCATATCGTCAATTATTGGAAGTGCTGTGACGTTGTAGTGACGCACCACGGTGAATATCTTTAATCTAGGTTCGCAGAGTGCCGTGCGCAAGGACAAACCAGTCAGGGTCGTAATGAGGACCTCCGTGGATTGTTCAGCAGCTTTGAGGTACTGCCCATTCTCAAAAGAGATGTTTGCAAGTTGTACATGTAGATATGACTAGCGAGTGCATTTCAGGAAGACGGACGACACTCTGTGAATCCTGACATAAGACTCACGTTTACGACGCTGCACGGAAGTGTATCTAAATGCTGACAAGTAATGGTTAGGTCTTGAACTCGCCGGACTGCCTCGTCGTGACGACCTGCATTGAAAAGCGCGACAGCCTGAAAAGGTGGAGACTGAGACTGAGACTGACCAACTCAAATGGTATGAAGAGTACCTTGATCAACAGTAAGAGATTGGTGGTCATCGAATCATGAGTGGCAAATGTGAAAGCGAGATCAAAAGCTTCCATGGCATCCCAAAGTTGCCCCTTGCCGCAAAGGGCAATGCCTTTAGAGATGCAGCCCATCAATGAGGGTTGGATAGCAATCGACTAGATCACCAAAGGAGTCAAATCAACAGTCATGATAGGCTGAGTGTCTTACGTTGTCTGCATCTCGAAGTGCCTGGTCCCAATCTGAATTCCGTGCCATCACAACTGAGCGACTGGCATGAGAATCGCAGTTGTCACCATGAGTGTCGATCTCCTGGGTCAGAATCTCTTCAGCAGCATGCAAGTCCCCAGTGATGCATGCATTGCGAACCGTCGTGTTCATAGGGAGATTCTGCATAATAAAACACGCTCACATTCCGTAACAAGCAGATGCACCGAAGGGAAACAACCCACATCGAATAATGAAGGAAATGTGCGTGTGCTAGAGGCTACGTGAGTTTCCGAAGAATGATTGCTCGTAATGTCGCAATTGTCAGAGGATTCAGATTCGTTGCGTGACTGTGCCATAGTGCGGAAGAAATAAGCTGAGTGAGGAACAAAGTGGAAAATCATGCGTAAGAGCGTACCTGGATGTCACTTTGAGCGATGTCCTTCATTTATTGTCATTAACAGTATATGATACCGCAGTAAGAAGAGAACTTACTGGTAAAAGAGGTGTCGACAGAGCATCATGATTCTGGTTTGAAAGGTCGCCGGTCAGGACTGACTATAGGATTCAGAACGGCAATACAGGCTTACGGCACTGTCTAGCTCTTCCTTCAGCCTATCCTCCGCACTATGATATTCCTCGAGTATGTTCTTGATGGACCAGAGTCGAACCTTCCCATCTCCATCTCCACTCATGAGCAGTTCTCCATTGGGAGAAATTACGACGCAGCCGACCCAGGTGGTATGTTCAAGTGCCTGCCCTATCTGTTGGTGTGTTTTTGTGCTCCACAGTCGCACAGTATCGTCACAAGATGCAGTGGCAATGAAGGAGTCGTCAAAAGAGATGGCGAGCGAATAGATCCAGGCAGTGTGACCAGCGCAAGGTTGACCAATCTGGTCTGCATCTGACGAGTTCCAAAACTTGACTGTTTGGTCGTACGACGCGGAGACAAGTTGCTGGCCGTCATGCGACCACACAACGTTTCGGATCCGATCTTGGTGAGCGTTAAACTTGAGAAGAACCTCGGCGTCATTGGTGTGCCAAACGCGAATGGTATTGTCTTTTGATCCCGAGGCTAATTTCAACCCGTCGGGGCTGAATACCACAGTCAACACCAAACTGTCGTGACGAAGTGTTGCGAGGACAGCGCCAGTCTCTACATCCCATACAACAACCGTGCAATCAGATGACCCGCTTGCCAGTCTTTTACCATCGGGGGAGAAGCACACCGAGTTCACATCGCGCGTATGCTTCGCCAGCGGTTCCAAAATCATCTGCTTGTTCTCCGCATTCCAAAAGATAATGGTTTTGTCCTCTCCACCGCTCGCAATTCTCCTATCGTCTGGGGATATGGCGACTGATCGCACCCAGCCCTTGTGTCCCTTGAATGGTGCTCCTACCAATGCTCCTGTCTGCACATCCCAAATTCGCAGGGTTTTGTCCGATGAACTCGTGACAACCCTTCGACCGTCTTTGAAGAACGCAGCTGCCAACACTGACGATGTGTGTCCTAGCATTATTCGTGGCTGCGTTGAGCGCTCTTTCACAACAAGGTCTGCGTTTCTTGCCACATCCGAAAGCTCGACTGACATATTGTACTGGTCTAGAGAGAGAAACAGATAGTCAGTAGCAAATGACAGGTACGTTTTGTGGACATGTTTATATTGTAAATTTGATGTGGGGTGAGAAGCATCGTTCTTATGCCCACAACCCACCTCATGTAGGCGCTTTTCTAGTGTTCCTGGTGGCTCCCCACCTCGCCGTTACAACGTGGATCTCATTTCGTTTCATCACCACTACCGCCTGTGCACAGCTAAATGCTCGTCGTATGTGGTATCTCCTTAATTGGTGTGCAGCACTACCCATTCGAAAGAGCTTATATCTGGAACCCTATTTCTGCAATCTTTTCCAACTGAAGTCCTCTTTCATTATCAGTTACCACGCCTCGCCACGAGACGATAGATAATTGCTAGGCTCTAATGTCTTCACATTTACGGAAGTTCCAAAATCGAGGCGATGTCTACTGAGGTTTCGTGATCTTAACAGCGCCGTTATGTCCAATATATCCTATGTCTATGACCCCAAAGGACTTCATTCTGAAGGAGAGGAAGAAACAGTAATAATGACTACAATCGATAAGGATGTGGCACGGGGATATTTTTGGATACAGGTACGGCCAAGGTATGGATGAAAACACATCTGATATCTGTCATTTGAATTACAATATTTATCTCTAATGTCCTAACATCCATCGTGTCATGATCAGCAGCCGAGTACCTAACATGTGCAATGATATTGTGATCTAACGCGATTATGTTGTACTCTCCACCACGCTGCCTCGCCACTAAAAGTGCGCCGAAAGGTTGTCCTGAACGATCAGCGTTGCAGGCTCAATTCTCGCAATTGAGACTCTGTATCAACCGGTCCATCTTCTCCGGTGTACCCGCCGAACGAATACTATTTCAACGGAGACTCGGACTCGGCGGACCAATCATCCACGCTCCACGTATCATCTCCAAATCCAGGCAGCCCGGGAACCACAACGCATCCACGGACAGATAAACAAGAACATCTGCTGAGTGAGCTGTGCCGGCTACAATTGAATCGACTTGTCGTCTGTAGTGATCAGCAGATCGTCAAGCCGTTTTTTTTTTTTTGTATCCATTTGTGTCCATTGAGAGAGTAACTCTATGTAGGACAGTACTTGCTAGTCTAAGGGCCCCGGTGCCCTGTCGCATCTCTGGAGTCACGAATGCCCTGATGTGAGACGTGCTCCATCAGTCCGCCGTTCCTGCCGGCCGTTTTAGACGTGCCCTCCTTCGAAGATGAGATGACTGTAATTATACATGCGGTGGTGTGTGTCTTTTCAGTGTAGTATATATGGCTATGCGCGAGCTCGACCGCGAGTGCGGAGGTATAAGAATTCTGTGGATAGAGGTATGAGTAATGAGGTTTGGGGTTGGCGGTTGGCCTCTGTATTCTCATGTGGTCTGGTCCGTGGGGGCGGGAATTCTTGATGGCGAGCGTGGGAAGGAGGGGGTTTATTAGGTGTCGGTGGTATGGGGTGGGGATTATAGGTGCTGTATGGTATTGGGTAGGAGTGATGGTGAGGCATAGTTTCGTGGTGTTGCATAGATGTTCATAGGTGTTCATGGGTGGGATTGGGACTGGCATGGGTCGGGCATGTATCTGACTTGGCGGTTTATCCGTCAAGCCGTTGTCTTGTGCAAGGCCCACACATTATCAACTTAATTCCATCAAGACTAGTCGTGTTCTCGTGGATTGAGTATAGAGAAAACCGAAAAAAATATTGCATATTCAATCATAAACGACGACAGCTCGATTCCTCTGGATTTCACGGAGCTTCTCCTGAACCAAACCTACAAAGTGACAATTCCTTAGCTTGCGGGTTCCTGCTGTGATTCTATTATTCGACAATTGGAGGATTCATGTCAAGACAGCATCAAACCACCGTCAACGGAAATCTGCGTGACCGGTTCCTTATCTCAGTTACTGAACATACCAGTGGCTCAAATGAACTTACGCATTGTCCTAACACATAGAAATACAGGTTAGCTCTCATACAGCCCTTGTGGGATGGAAAACTTGCCTGTAATGAAATGGGCCTCCTTAGAAGAAAGGTATGCAACAGCGCTGGCGACATCTTCCGGCTGTCCGACGTATCCGACTGCAGAGGTGTCAATCGTCTGTGCGGCAATTTAGCCAAGACATCTTATGGTGGATACGAATCTCCTGGTCGCACCTTTTGAAAGTAGTCGTCCTTGTCACCTCGCTTTGCAACTTGAGCCTTTGATGCGACAACTGTCCGTGATTTTACAGTGACGGAACGCAAACAAAATACTTGTAGCACTTACCCATGGGTGTTGCTATGATGCCCGGAGCATAGGAATTGACTGTGATTCCATATTGTCCGAGTTGCAGTGCTTAATGCGGTCGTCAGTACTAATGCATATGCATAGTTAACGACCTTACCAGCCGCTTGCGTTATGCCTCTAACAGCAAATTTACTTGCACTGTACGACAACAGGGGGGATGTGGCTTCATAATAGACATAGCGTTTTCAGGCGCCACACTCGAATCAGGGAAAGCCTCTCACCCTGTATTCCTACCATGGAGCTGGCACCGATGATGCGTCCGCCACGTCCCTGTTTTATCATCTGGATTGCGGCGTATTTATAGCACAGGAACGCAGAGGTGGCGTTGATTCTCATCATGCGGTCCCAGCCTTCTAGAGTTTCTGCATGAAAAAGTGAGTATGCCAGGGTTTGTTCACGATCGATCTACGCACCACTTAAGATATCTATCATGGCACTAATTCCAGCATTCGCGACCATCTGCGGTAGTATGTCATGAGTCAAACGATCACGCATTCTGCGTCGCTACTCACGACGTCCAAGCTCCCTAGAACGTCAATTACAGAATCAATCATGCTCTTCACCTCGTCCTCTTTACTGACATCGCAAGTCACAATGCATGTCCTAGGATGGTAGGAGCCCTCCTGATTCTCCGCCTCGCCGAAGTTCGGCTGCGAAGTCTTCCAATACCTCTTTCTTTCCGGGTAGATCATTGAGCGCTAGATCGAAGCCATCTTGGGCTAATCTGATTGCTATCGCACGGCCGATTCCTTGTGCTGAGCCGGTTACGAGGGCGACACCTTTAGATTGAGACATCGCGGATATCGATTGAACAGTCCCAAGATAATCTATGGACATTAAATACCTTTTGAAATGTTTGAAGTACATGCACTTATCATTATCTCAGGCTACTGGTATCCAGTAGCCTGAGATAAAGGTCCAAAGGGGATAAAACGCACTTGCAAGCCTTCAACGTCATCGTATCAAAAAATTATGACGTGGGTCTCCCCAGGGTGCTTTACGTTGATTGCGGTGAGTTTCCGACGTTATAGATGGCTTTATACAACTTTATATGCCAATATAACGAAAACCTTTTCTGTATATGATCATATGTCAGTATATGTGACGATATCTACGGCTCACCAGTCCTCTGATCAGCGCCCACCCGTCAGTTTTCTTGACAGCGCGCTTCGATCGAGTCGGTGGTCATTGTGTTCTACGTGAGAAATAACGCGTCGTAATATTGGCTCGCCCAATCGCAGAGGACGTGCGAGGCCTGCCGGTCAAGGAACGGTTGCCCTGACTATTCTCAGCAGGGTATCCTAAAGTTTCTAAGTATGAAGCCATGTCATAGCGAATACGGTCTTCTTAGTTGAACGTACCGAGTAATCGAAGCTAAACTGACAGCCTGCAGCAGGGTTGCGGATCACAAGAAAACTCTCCCTTCCTGGGACAGAAGGAAACGGCCAGCTTCGCCCAAGAGGTACCCGCAAACCTCGGGGAAAATGTACATGAGGTTGACTTAAGACCCAGGGGCCAGTGCTTTCAGAGTGATATCTGGAAAGTAGGCTGGAGGCCATCCTTTCCGCACTCCGACTTTTAAGGTTTTCAAGTTAAGTAAGGGTTCTAGAACTTACCTCCGAGTCCGATGGCAGATCGATGATAAAGTTCAAGTCGGAGTGAGTCTGCTGACTCGGAACAAATAGATAACGGGTCCAGGGATGCCCTTGCCAAGGAATGCCCTGTCCAAGGGCTGTCCGGGAGAGTTGCACGAAAGCAGTCTAGTTGAACCAATATCATACTGAGCGTTTTGGGAAGCGCCCGAAAGATAATATTGTTGTGGTTGGTAAAAGGAAAATTGCTAAATTTGGCAACCCTCTTAGATGGGCGGCATATTACATGTTACAGGTGGCGTCAAGAGTTACGCACTCGGGAAAGGACCTAGGGGGTATCAAAATGGTTCCTATTGGGTTCAAAATTTGAGCATCAAATGTATAGATGATCTTAGATTGTGGAAAGTGATGACATATGCCAATCGAGACTTGGTCGAGAGGCGAGGCCAATTGGAAACTCTCCGATTTCCAGTCTGACGCCATTGACGATGAGGTGGATGAACATTGAACAATCATCAGCTGTTCCATATTGTACATCACATGTGTCTAGCGGTGACGTAGCATTGACATTGACATTGATCCCCGAGTCTAAGATCTCAATCAATACAGACGCCTGTCGTTCAATATGCAATCGTCATCCGCTGTATCGCTCGGTTATTAGTACTACGCGTCCGTCTGACGCGAGTGGTAGCCGAGATACGATACCTTCTGTACTAAACCCTCGTTTGACCATCAAAATTCGTCCATCCGCAGCACACCTTAACTCACTTCAAGTGTTATTTCATCTCCGCACATCATGGACTCGGAACAGGGTTCATGAACTTCGAATGCAGACACTCTGAGTCAGAGTCCAGACCAAGATAGATATTGCTGGTGTCGAAGGCCGGAATCCGGAGAAAGGATCAAATGCAGCTTCAATAGCTGCAACCGATGGGAACTTGTCTTTATTTCAACGTTCCTCTATCACCGCAGTTGATTCCATTTGTGATAGTTTCATTGGTTTGCTTGATTGCTTCCGAGGTAGATTGGTTCTGCAGCAACATATGCAGTGTTAGTAGTACCAGCGCTGATAGGAACAGAGAAATCCAAAAGTTATATCCGCTCGTTTGTACGATGCCTAGGATGTTTTTTTTGGCAATACATGTTCATGAATGTTCATCGACATCGCTTGGTAGTACATACCCCTAGGATGTGGGAAATTCACACGGGAGGGGGGTCTGGTCTGGGAGGGCATAAGGTGGCCTCATGTCTCCTCATCGTGCGGACTTGCAAAATACTAACGTGACTGCGGCACATCAGCAGAACTTTATAACAGAATGAAATGTACGAAATTGGTATGATACGTGATACTTGGACTTCGGTTTGAACCAAACGGCGGTCAACCTAACCGGTAACCCGGTATTTCTCGAGCGAGGACCTCTTGAAGACACATTTGTTTCTTCTTTTAGTACATTGTATTCGGAAGACGTCTGGCTTGCTAAGATAAAACGACACCTCCGTCAACAGAAATCTGTAGTGTAGTGAATACCTTGAAAGTTAGGGGGTCAGCACTGTGCACTTACGCATTGCCCTGTTGCAGCGTCAGACAAGCTGCAAGAAATGAACAGCAAAATAAGAACTCACCTGTAATGAAATGCGCCTCTTTTGATGCCAAATAACTGACAATGCTTGCAATATCCTCTGGTTGACCATTATGTTTGATCGGCCGGTTCCCGATTAGCTGCGCGACGTGAGCCAACGGTACAGAGACGTGTGAGCATGAAGGGAACAACAGACCTGAGCAAGGTAATTCGTCGAATCTTCGTCTGCCAGGCTGACATTTCCTGATTGGTCAGAAATGCTATCCACTGAGTTCACGAAAGCGATCAGCTTCGAGTACAGACTGTGTTCACATGAAACGCACGTATCTGGGTTTGTATGACACCCGGCGCATAGGCATTGACTGTAATATTATATTTTCCAAGCTCAAGAGCTTGGCCAGATTCAGTGATTATTCACTCAAAGACGTTCCTGCTCACCAGCCGTCTGCGTCAATCCGCGGACAGCGAACTTGCTAGCGCAGTATGCAGCAGCTGATGGAAATCCTGCAGAAAGCGCTCATGTCAGCCCTTCGAGCTCGGCTCAACGCGGAATATCAGTCACCGATCTTTCCGGCGATGGAACTTGCGCCAATGATCCTACCGCCGCGGCCTTGAGATATCATCTGTACTGCGGCGTGTTTATAGCACAGGAAGACTCCGCGGGCGTTAACGGTGAATGTACGCTCCCAGTCTTCAACAGTGGCTACACCACGTCATGAGATTGCAGCGCATACTCAAACACAACATCCGAGCTTACTTGCCAAAACAGTGTTGGCTCCTGGAATACCAGCATTGGCGACCATCTGTGGAAACATCATAAGCAAGCTTCCAGGAATGAAAGCTCAGGGTCCTACCACATCCAATCCACCCAGCTCTTTTACGGTGTCGTTGATCATATTCTTGACTTCCTCCTCATTTGTCACATCCGCGGTCACGATACACGCTTTGCATCCCAATGCCTCGATTTCACTAGCGACAGCAGCCAGTTGGTCACTTTTCATAGGGAGGTCGTTCAAGGCAATGTCGAAGCCATCCCTCGCAAGCCGCAGAGCGATACTGCGACCGATGCCCTGAGCAGATCCTGTGATGAGTGCGGTCCCTTGTTGAGGCGACATGATTATGGTAGAAGGTGATGGGCTTGCTAGAATGATAAAGTGGTACAGTCGGATTATATATGCCACAGGAATGCTAGCTCCTTTCATATCGCTTGGAGGTGGAAGACACTAACTACTCTTGGACTATCCCTTGCCATAGAAGTTAATCGCAATGTCAATGATTACGACGTTAGCTTGCGTGAGTTGTGTCATGAATGGTCCGGAAACTTGTGCTCCATCGGTGCCGTTAAGAGTGGCAAAAGTTATATGCTACCGGTGATTTCAAGCTGTTCCGAGGTGTAAGTTATTGCCAAAAGGTTGGTCTCCGACGGTAATGGACGAAGCCTTGTCTGAAAGGTGTAAAATGGCTGTAATACGTAAACATCTCATGGATATCACCTCTGCCATCACGACCAGTTACCAAACCTTGCGAGAATTTTTGTTATTCCTGCTTCGAAAATAGGCTATAGTTGCTGTTGTGCACCCACAATCAACGAGTATAGCAGGCTTCTGCTCATGAGCTTCCACACTACCTGAGTGGACCAACGATTTTCAGCAGCCAAAAGTGAGTATTCAAACACGTACCAGAGAGATTTATCATAGGATCATCCAATGACACGGGAAACCACGACAAGGACGACATCTCCGTCTATTGAGATCTGGAGGTTCAATCAGCATATAGTTTTATCAATACAAATCGTTCCTACGTATTAAGTCCTATGGATTCGGACCGAATTAGCTACGTCCCGATTTATCGTGACAAAGGACTCACCAGGAATGAAGTGTGCTTCTTTCTATGCAGGGTAGCTTACGATACCCGTGATATGCTCCAGCAGACCATCGTGTTTTTGGTTTCCAATCATCTGTACGTGTTACATCGATGATACAACGAACAATCTCGTACTTGAGCGTTGTGGATCTGGTGTTCTTTCTCCATCTCATTCAATGCCAATGTTCCAGAACGATCCACGAGATCCGTTTTAATGCGTGACGTCCATTCGCAATACATTGGTGTCGACGCTAACGCACACATCGGACCTGCTTACATACAAATTTACAGTGATGTCGTATTTACCGAGTTCGAGAGCTGGAAATTTCTTGGCCACGGTAACCCGATTGAGAGCATCGAATACCTATGTACCAGCGGATTGCGTTAAACCAAGTCAAATCGCAAACGCCTAATTTGCTGGTGCAATCCGCGGCGGCGGTGAGTATACCTGAAACCCAAAATTATGGCAGGTGAAATGGGCTGCCCGGTCGAAGACATCACCCGCTGAAGCAACGTAGGAAGGGCGGTGGAAAAACGCACACACTTGACAGGAACGAATTGCGACCATCTGATGAATAGGTCAGCACGAAATCAATCCAGTTGTACTCATGGAGACTAGACATACAGCATACAACCTCCTAAGTATGGTCTACAGCAGAGGCGACCATTTTCTTGACTTGCGTCCTCCTCGGAGACGATGAATGTCTTTCTCCTACGGCTCTCAATTCCTATTGCAATAAGTTGATAACATTCGGTGGCGACATCATTAAGAGCGACATCGAAGCTTCTGGTTAGACGGAGCGCAATTCTCGGACCAATGCTTTGAGCAGAACCACTGATGAGAGCAAGGCCCTTTTAAATGGTCATGTCGATGGTGTCTTGATGTAGCTTGTCGCAGACGCGCCAAATTATATACCTACATGATGATCACATCCACTGAGAAACTTAACCAGACGAACCCACAGATCACTTGCGCAGTGCAATGCAACTATAGAATCTGCAAAAGGTTTGGTCATCCAGTCTTGTGGCAAGGGGCAATGACAGGTGCACTTACAGTGCAAGGTTTTTTGTATCTTTCAATTCTCTTTTTTCTTGGAATGAACACTGAGGTGCGGCTGAAACCAAGACAAAGAAAATCTTAGTACAGGCTATTCATGTTCGGCAGAGCCTGATCAAGGTGATCCAGCCTCAACTTCATCACGTAAGGCAAGATTTTGTTTGAATGACTCGAAGATTCATGCACATGGAGAATACTAGTGGACCAGGTCTGCGGGAAGGTAACAGTCTATTGCCTTGATGCATCATGGATAAATGTTGTGAGTACACCCGAAGTTCAAATGCGTTGGAGAAGAAACACATTGTTGTACAGTTTCCCACGCTAGCTTTCCTTCACAATCATTCCTTCCATGTCTTCGTCACGAACTACAGAAGACACTTATGAAGCACAGAATGACCAGCGACTAGATGAGTTACATTCGAAGATACGCACACTTCGTGGAGTATGATTCATATCGCCTTATTTCTACAAATCTCTGAACAGTCTTCCAGGTTACCACGGACATCTACGACGATGCCGAAAGACAACATCTGACTCTGGATGATACAGTACCTTAATGGTTCTCCTCTTCGCTTTGAAATATTAATATTCGCACATAGGGAAACTCTTTCTCTAGCCTTTCAACCTCCTTGTCTCAATCCTCTCGACGAGCTGCGCAAGCATTTGGCCTCTCTGGCGCAGGCGGCGTCAGACAGATGCGGATAATATTGTATATCGTTGGCTCTTTGCTGGCATTCTGGCTCGTTTGGAAAACGAAAGAGATCTGGTGGGTCAGCGAAAGCGCATGAGCCGCTGTAGTTACCCGTGAGTACTTTTCCGTGATTGACACTATTCCCGACGCTAAATCGAACAAGAATTGGGACAAGTGACACTCCGTATATATATAGGATAATCCGTATAATATCTATGCCCTCGCATGAATCAGCCATAAAAGCAACAGGGGTATCGGAAAGGGACCCCTCCCGCTAAGTAAGTGCATCTCCTGTTATACAGAAATTTGTCACGCAGACCTTCAATACGATTCCCATCTGCAGATGCCTAGATATGTCGGCCACAAAGTGGCGACCCTGCGTGCAGCTTAGCAGCGTCGACTTTCTAAATTTCCAGTAGGAAGTTTTGTCCTGCTCGAATACTGCGCACGCTCTGTGGCGTGGGACTCCCGGGTATCGAAATAACGGATTTGTGTGTGCATTGCAGTTCTTCCGAGTTCTCTTCTCGCGCTGATCACCTTTCTGCATTATATGAGATTATACTAGACATGCTGATTATAGATTCAATAAGTATTATTCTTTGCGTAATCCATTACTTGAATCTTGAAGGCAACGACTAGACTTGCAACGATTCGACTCCAGTCTTCAGGAATATTACTGCGGAACCTCGGAACCTCGAAACTAACGCCTTGCCCGATAAAACTCAGGCGGCCAGATCTGCGCTGCAGGGCAGAGATGGCACGCTTGAAAATGAGTTATACAGCACCAACCTTGTATAGTCTGTCATGCAGTTCTATCGTCATGCCAGGCTCGTGCGCGTGACACGATGTAGGATCTGCACAGGTTTTATGATTGTTCCATACGAGAACCGAGATCTTTCTTAGCCTCAGGTTAGAACCTACATTCGAAACTGCGTTTAGCGAATACCCGCTCTTCTGAGATAAACGTTCTGTTTAAGTCAGGGGTCTGGATGGACGACGGTAAGCACCAGCTAGATTTTTGTTTATACGGACTCTCATACGAAGTTTCTTCTAGTTTGCTAGCAGTAGAGGGCATGGGCCTGCATGGACAAACAACGCCACTTACACATACTCGAAGTGTTCTGATCCTCAAGCTTAAGGCCTTACTGGCAAGTCGATCAGCACCACCACTGACCAGTCCAGCGAAGAAATCCTCATTTTAATATTGTAATCACGCCATAGCATCTGCGAGGTGTAAGAACATAACTGTTCACAAGGCCTTCTCAGCTCATAGTGGCTCCCCCATCGACAGAAATCTGGGAGTAGAATCAGACCAGCTGTATACGGCAAACTAAATTGACCTACACATTGACCTGGAGACGTAGCATGCTAAGTGAGCAAGAGACAGGCGTAAGGAAGGCATGAGCTTACCAGTAATGAAGTGCGCTTCCTTCGATGCGAGATAGCTTACAATGCTAGCTATATCTTCGGGCTGTCCAATGTGCTTGATAGGAACATTCTCAAGTAACTTATCGAGGTTGTGAAGAAAGCAGGTATTCAGTATCTGAATAAGGTTTGTCATCGTGTTGTGCTCACCGACATCATCCACTTCCTCGAGCAAGGATCGTCGACAAGTCGTGTATAATCTGCGTTCCCAGACTCGTCCATCATGATCTTGGCTAACTAGGAGTTAACTAGGAAATCGGAAATTGGTTCGACCTTACTCATAGGAGTCTCTATCGCGCCTGGAGCATATGAATTTACAGTAATGCCATATTGACCGAGCTCAATAGCTGTCAAGAGGTCTTTATCAAAGGCTGTTCATACGAGTATCTCAGCAATCACCTGCAGCTTGAGTTAGCCCTCGAATTGCAAATTTGCTCGCTGTATATGAGGAGTTGTAGGGAAAGCCTGTCTGGTCGATTAGATAAAAATACTCGAGCAAATTCATATCTATACGACGCACCTATTTTGCCCGCGATCGAGCTCGCACCAATGATTCGACCGCCACGCCCCTGTTCAATCATCCGCATGGCAGCATACTTATAACACAGATAAGGTCCACGGGCGTTTACTGAGAATGTATGATCCCATGACTCTACAGTCGCTAGTGGAGGACATGAGAAAACGTCAATCGTAGACTTTGACCCAGATCGTACATGATACAAGCGAGGCAAGCGTTACTACTCCAGCATTAGCAACCATCTGTGTACGATATACATTCAGGGAACACGTCTAGTGAGATAAGAAGAGTCACTAACGACGTCCAGTCCACCAAGTTTTGTAACAGCATCATCGACCATCTCTTTGACTTGTTTGTTGACGGACACGTCGGCAGGAACGATGCAGACTTGTCTCCCAAGGCTCTCGATTTCAGTCGCTACCAGCTCCAGCTTGGCATCCTTGCTGGGTAAATCATTGAGAGCAACGTTAAAGCCATCCCGTGCAAGCCGAAGAGCGATGCTGCGACCGATTCCTTGAGCAGACCCAGTTATCAATGCGACACCTTTTGAGATAGACATGAGCGTGGCGATTCAGCGTAACGCAACTCTTGTTGGCCTATTATAAGACTTCTATCACATACTCCATGGGAATTGGACGTGCCATATTCAGATGAGCGCTGAGCCTTGAGGTCCCGAGTTAGGGGTCATGCGTTGTCAGATATGTGTTATGCGATTAATACATAATTCATTCTGACTTCTCTGGAGGAGGCCCAGCAACATCTAGGGCTGAGTTCACCTATAACATTGTCGACAAGAATTTGAAATTGCCGGAGTACTTTAGGTGGGTGAGTGACGCGCCAGTGGATCTGAGAAACTTTCATCCAGATCTTGGAGTAACAGAGTCACGATGTAATTGTAAATTTGCTTGTTCCATGTTTGTACTTCTGACGTGTGCAATAGGTTCGCTTAGGCTATATCGATGACAATTATACTATGCAGCACGCACCGTGCGGTTTGCAAGACGTCTGTGTTAGTCATTGACATAGTCCTTGTCCGACTTCCTTCCGGCACTGTACTGCCAGTATGGTCGCACTATCTGCTGGTTTGGAAATGTAGCAGCGCACTCAGCTGCGTGACAACCATACTGGCAAAGATCGAGGTACTTCCGACTCAAAGATCGTGCCTGAGGCTGTAGCACCAGGTGACGAGCGTGGAGGATTCAGAGGAACTGATGAGGCTCGTATTGAAGCATAGGTTTTCATCTGGCAAGAAATACGTTCCTGAAGGCTATTGTATTGCTACAGATGGGTCGCTTCTCGTTGATACAACAGTTACAACTGCAGAACCTGAGGAAATAGGAAGAGGCAAGCGGAGACGGCGTACCCCAACCTCCAATAATATGGTGGATCTTTGGTGATGATTCGATTTGCCGTGCTGCCGTGTATATTTTCGAGGTCCGTTGTATTTACTGTTGTATTTACCAAGAACGCATCTCAAACGTCACAGTCACCACATATGGTGTTGGGCAGCATCTGCCTTTGTATACACGCGTCGTCTATAGGGCTCGGTGAGAAATACGGATGTAGCAACGCCAGCCACCGACTTGCTTATTCCTCAGGCTAGCATGTCTTGTGTCAAACTAGTCTTTTTATTTTATTTTGCGCTGGCAAATGACTGCTAATCCTATGCGACTTCAACCCGTCCCCGCTCACTATATCGGCGTGGATGTTCATGCCCAGCCTCGCAGTCACATCTCATCTGGTACACCATTCAGGGCATTAGTGGATGGGAGTGGACCAGATCGGGCTGTCAATGTACAAAGGTGGATTGTGGCCTTTGTCACTGTAGCGGTTGCCCAGGAACCGTTGACACTCGGGCTGCACTGCTCGGAGTCAAAGGCTTAACTTCATTCAAGATGAAAGACAGTGGAGAAGCACAAACAGAAGGGGAGGACTTCAAGCGACGACAATCCCACTGAAGCAGGTTTTCACTGATCCCCGTCGTTTTGTGCTTTTCTTCGCGAAGCCTCTACTAAGTGAGTCATTGTCGTCTAGCCTTTTTTATATATGTTCATTATTAATGATATAGACTGGACGTTCGGGCTTTCATTCTTTTTGTGTAACGTGGCCGACGATGAGTCAATCCCAGCGGTTCAGATATATATATTATCCACGCAGGTTCTGATTCTAGGGCTCCAATAGATTCATCCTAAATCATCCGTCGTGAAGTTCTGCCATCCAGGCGCAACCAATTTTCCAAATCAATAGAACTTCAAGTTTTTGCCCGCAATAGTGTTTTAATTCCAGGATATAAAAGCAAGCTCTGTCTACCTTAGTAGTTCAGAGTCCCCTTTGGGAAGCTTCTATCACTTTGTATATATCATGCATTTCTCCTCCTCGTCGTTACTACTTTGGCAGCATGCATGTCTGTCACTGCCGCACAGTGCAAACCTTCCTTAAAGGGCTGCGATACGAACGATGATTGCTGCAGTCACCACTGTGCTCCAGTGAAAGTGAGTATGAATAGCTTGCTTTGCATCCAGTATTCGACCCTGTTGCTCACCCCTTGCACCTTGCAATATCAATGGCGCGGCGGTCTGAAAATCTGCCAGTAAGACTGCTTACCGATGAGCTGGCAGCCCGTCCATGAGCACATCTGGACAGTGAGTCGTGTTTCCGCTTTCGCATTGGTGCTGTGGCTGAAGGCACAATATATAGTTCGTTGCTGACTTGGTCAATGTGGTTGTTCCTGGAGTCTGTTATTTTCCCTGCTTCATGGGCAATAGAGGCGCCTTTTTGATTAATCTGAACACTCATTATTGACTACTTGAGGAGCGATTTCAATGTCCAGAATTGTGCTGCGTCATTCAGAGCTTGAATATTCATTGCCGAAGTCTGCATTATGTGTATAGCGGCTGTAGCAGTCGAGGCGGGAATTTTGACCGCCGCTGCGGCTGACGGGCGCGTCAAACTTTGGACATTTTCAATATCCATTCAACATCGTCTCACCACCCAACTTTGTTTGCAGGTTTTCACGCTTGTTCTTGCTGAACATTCACTTATGGATGGATCCTTCAAGGTCTATCTTAAGTAGTCATAGCCGACTGGCACCAGAACATTAGAAATATTGGTGGTGCGGATTCAATATTCAATATTCAATGCCGACACATGTCTTATCGCACCCTTGACATTCATGGACAGCTCTTCGGAGTTCATCTCAACCTCTGAAGTGTACTGGCCAAAGTGATCACCACAACGGAATCCAAATCTATTTCTCTTGGACTGTGCAGGTTCGAAACCTGCCGATAAGTCATGAACACCCTGTATCAATATTCACTCATAGATGGTTTCGTCAGAGGCTCATCTAACTGGTCTTAGCTAAGAGGTTACCACAACAGAATCAAAATCTGTTTCTCTTGAACTACGCAGTTTCCAAACCTGCCGACAAGTTATTTTTATCTCGGAACACCCTGACATTCACTCATGGATGGTTTCGTCAGAGGTTCGTCTAACTGGTCTTACTAAGTGATTATCACAAAGTGAAGCTCACAGCGGAAGTGGGTTCTGAGTCCTGACGGACCCGAACCACACAGTTAAAGCTGAACAACGATGTTAGCAAGAATGCGACAGATAATATTCATACGGGGCCCGTAAGATAAGCTTGATGGACAGGTAAGGATTAAGTAGATGGGACAGCAAGAGAATGATGATGATGACGAGCAAACGAGTTCGTAACGCGGTCAAGCTCTAGCAAACGCTCCGTGTTGGCAGAGGAGGCGATGAAAAGAGGCAATATGGTATTGGGGCACCCGATTGGATACCTTGATTCGCTGACGGACTGGACGTCGTGTAGCATCAACCTACATATGTTGATAAAGATCTGTGATGAAAGTGTCACGTACAGCGAGTAGCGACTTGTCGCGCTGATCCAACAAAAGTTCATCGAGGCCAACCTCTTACTATCGCAGAAATATCACAAGTGTACGCATTTTGTCCTCAAGGGCGGTGGCTAGTGGCTTTCCATCTGCTCAAAACGACACAGATTGCATGTCAGATACATGATGGAGGGGCGAACTGATGCACTGGTTGTTGCCGAGGTTCCATAATCGCGCTGTGTCGTCGTACGGTGCGCTTGCGAGGATGCGGCCATTCCGGTATGGTGAATCTTTGGTGACGGTTCAATTTGGCGTCATGACATCCCATACTCCCGCACTTGGCGGCCCTCAGCTGCCGGACGCGTCGTAGGCATTTGCATATATTGCAGTACAAGGTGGTCACATTCCGCAGTCTTGAGAGAGCTGTGTACAGTTGGAGTTATCATTGATCAAAGAGTACCAAAACCTTGGCCTTAAGTGGAGCGCACACATGGCGTCGATGCGAATCTGCCGTCGGATTCGCGACCAGCACTATACACGCTGGACAACGGGTAGCACGAAGTGGTGCTGCCGTAGTCGAGCTCACCGTTGCTCACAACGAGCACGAACGTTTCGGCAATGTCACCGGTCACCAGTGTCGACTCAGAAACCTGGTGTGACATACAAGTGACATGATTTATATCATTGTTAGGTGTGCTCTGTATACAGAATAATAAATACGGCGGACTATGAAAAATATATGCGCGTCACCAGAGATCCACCATACAATAGATACTGTCCGCGAGAACCAAACATGAGCGCTTGAGCTTTGATTATCACTGCCTTTTGGCGTAACTGTTAAACGTTAAGGGACGACAGTCTTGACTACTTACACGTAGTCAGCCAATCATTGAAAATCGTTCCGATCGTTCAAGATTCGCAACGGCCCTCCAGGCATTCCAGGACCTTCCCTTTCTCTTTTGCATTCGGTATTGCAGTCGTTCAGGATGGAACGCAATCGGATTCAATTCCACTTTTTTCGACAATATCAACGATAAATACTTGATTCAGACGCGATGTCCTCAGTCTCCATGACACATCGCTGTAGCTGACCGCTGACCAGTCCAACGAAGAAATCCTCAATTTAATATTGTAATCACACCATACCAACTGCGAAGTGTAAGAACATAACTGTTTACAAGGGCTTCTCAGCTCATAGTGATTCCCCCATCGACAGAAATCTGGGAGTAGAATCAGACCAGCTGTATGCGGCAAACCAAATTAACCTACACATTGACCTGGGGACATAACTACGTGAGCAAGAGACAGGCGCAATGAAGGCATGAACTGACCAGTAATGAAGTGCGCTTCCTTCGATGCGAGATAGCTTACAATGCTAGCTATATCTTCGGGCTGTCCATTGTGCTTGATAGGAACATTCTCACGTAACTTATCGAGGTTGTGAAGAAAGCAGGTATTCAGTATCTGAATAAGGTTTGTCATCGTGTTGTGCTCACCGACATCATCCACTTCCTCGAGCAAGGATCGTCGATAAGTCGTGTAAAATCTACGTTCCCAGACTCGTCCATCATGTTCTTGGCTAACTAGGAGTTAGCTAGGAAATCGGAAATTGATTCGACCTTACTCATAGGAGTCTGTATCGCGCCTGGAGCATATGAATTTACAGTAATGCCATATTGACCGAGCTCAATAGCTGTCAAGCAGTCTTTATCAAAGGTTGTTCATACGAGTATCTCAGCAATCACCTGCAGCTTGAGTTAGCCCTCGAATTGCAAATTTGCTCGCTGTATATGAGGAGTTGTGAGGAAAGCCTGTCTGGTCGATTAGATAAAAATACTCGAGCAAATTCATATCTATACGACGCACCTATTTTGCCCGCGATCGAGCTCGCACCAATGATTCGACCGCCACGCCCCTGTTCAATCATCCGCATGGCAGCATACTTATAACACAGATAAGGTCCACGGGCGTTTACTGAGAATGTATGGTCCCATGACTCCACAGTCGCTAGTGGAGGACATGAGAAAGCGTCAATCGTAGACTTTGACCCAGATCGTACATGATACAAGCGAGGCAGGCGTTACTACTCCAGCATTAGCAACCATCTGTATACGATATACATTCAGGGAACACGTCTAGTGAGATAAGAAGAGCCACTAACGACGTCCAGTCCACCAAGTTTTGTAACAGCATCATCGACCATCTCTTTGACTTGTTTGTTGACGGACACGTCGGCGGGAACGATGCAGACTTGTCTCCCAAGACTCTCGATTTCAGTCGCTACCAGCTCCAGCTTGGCATCCTTGTCGGGTAAATCATTGAGAGCAACGTTAAAGCCATCCCGTGCAAGCCGAAGAGCGATGCTGCGACCGATTCCCTGAGCAGACCCAGTTATCAATGCGACACCTTTTGAGATAGACATGAACGTGGCGATTCAGCGTAACCTGGCGTAACGCAACTCTCGTGGGCCTATTATAAGACTTCTGCCACGTACTCGATGGGAATTGGACGGTCCATATTCAGATTTGAAGGCTGAGCGCTGAGCCTTGAGGTCCCGAGTTGAGGGACATGCGTTGTCAGATATGTGTTATACGATTAATACATACAACTTGAAGCTGTCATAGTTCGAACGTTCATTCTCTGACTTCTCCGGAGGAGGCCCGGCAACATCTAGGGCTGGGTTCACCTATAACGTCGTCGACGGGAATTTGAAATTGACGGAGTACTTCAGGTGGGTGAGTGACGCGCCAGTACTAGTGCCACGTGGATCTGAAAAAACTTTCATCCAGATCTTCCGGAGTGACATCATGATGTAAATGTAAATTTGCGTGTTCCATGTTTGTACCTCTGACGTCAAACGAGATTGCACGAAATGAGGATGTGGCGAGAACCTCAAGATTCGAACCAAATGTTTGCCACATTCTGAGGGGATGACGAAGAAATGAAAATGCAAATAGAACGCGTGTGCAATAGGTTCGCTTAGGTTATATCGACGACAATTATACTATGCAGCACGCACCGTGCGGTTTGGACGTCTGTCTCAGTCGTTGACATGGTCCTTGTCCGACTTCTTTCCGGCACTGTACTGCCAGTATTGTCGCACTATCTGCTTTTTTGGAAATGTAGGAGCGCACTCAGCCGCGCAGCAACGATACTGGCAAAGATCGTGCCTGAGGCTGTAGCACCAGGTGAGGAGCATGGAGAAAGTGATGAGGCTCGTATTGGAGCATCTTTCATCTGGCAAGAAATACGTTCCTGCAGGTTACTGTATTGCTACAGATGGTTCGCTTCTCGTTGGTACAACTGCTGACGTGCATGAGGAAACTGTTGTCCGGGCATAACCTGAGGAAACAGGAAGAGGCAAGCGGAGACGGCGTACCGGTACCGCAACCTGGTATGAAATTTGGAAATGTCGAGCCAAGGCTATTACTAGTACGATCCAATAATAGTTCATTAGTCAGCAGTACATAATTTGCCTTTCAAAATGGTAGCGTAGTCAGCCAATGAAAATCGTTCCGATCGTTCAAGTTTCGCAACTTAACAATTCAGCAAGGTCTTCAAGTTCAGTCGGCCAGACGCTAACAGCCACATCGTCACTTGCCACTGCTCCAGTGGTTCCAATCAAATGCCTAGTAGCCAAGAGTATATGTGCATGGTACATTCGACTCGTAACTTGAAGGTGCTGGAAAACTAGGTGCAAATATTAAAACTACTGACATAATGTAGAAGAAACATCATGGAAGGCAACGTATCAGTTGGTACAGGGTCCAGCCCAATGGTATGCAGTGCGTAGTGTCATGAAGAGAAAGTGATTGCATAGACAGACGGCATAAAGGCATACCTAGACTCGCATACATCAACATACCGAAACATCAAGATCCCCGAAGCATACAATTGCTCCATGCGAGCGCGCTGTATATGCATATATCCACCATGAGCACATGGTAGAGGCTCAAGAGTCAAGAGCCTAGAGTAAGGCCTAAAAACCACCCATGAACCCAACCATCTCTACTTCACCGAAGCCGTCCCGTTTGGCGCGTCTTGCGGCCTTGAAATCCGCACCGCCGATTTTAGAGCCTGCCGCTGTCTTTGCTCTCGCGCCCAATAGGCCCGCCTCGTCCGAGATGCGGGGATGCTTGGGCTTGAGCAACGGTGGTAGCCCAGTCATAGGCAATGGCGGCGGGCGATGTGCGGATTTATGCGGATGGTGGGAACGATGAGGTGAGTGAGCCTGATTAGCTCGTGTGGTTGTTTTCAGGACGACAGTGTGATGATCTATCGAGAATGTGACAGTGTCGTCGTGTGATGGGTGCACAGGCCGCGAGCGGCTATGATTATGCGAGCGTTCGGGCATCGCGGTGTGTGGGACGGCTGTCCTCGGGCTGGCAGGGGTGGATGGGAAAACGGCTTCTACTGGAACCTCTTCACCTAGCCTCCTCCGTAGCCTTTCCATTTTGCTGCGCTTGTGCGCAGCCTCCCTGGATGGAGTGAGAAGCTGTTCTTGAATAGAAGATTTGCTAGAGGAAGTTGATACGATGCTAGGGCGCCGTGCAGGTGCAGTACGTGGGGGCATGGGCGGGGAGTTAGAGTCCATGGCAATGCCACCAGAGAGTTTCATAAGCGGGGGAAGGTGAGTCGGTTTACGATTCCTCCATGTGTCTTCTTTGGAGGGTTCAACTGGAGTGGGTGGTCTTGGAGGCGTTACCATGACGAACTCTGTACCTCATCAGCATTATCCAGGTGAGTGAAAGGAACGATAAACTCACGATCATCAATATCATCGACAAACCGCGGGATATCGCCGAGCATGCGTCCTATCTTCTTGGTCGAGCGCACTAGTGCAGAGCGCTCCTTCGACGAAAGGGTGTTGTTGGTTGGGGGTGCAAAGGTGCGAGGTTCAGGGGGAGGGTATGTATGTGATGCCATAATGGATGCTAACTGATGATGGTTTGGGTATTAAGGTACTATGTGCTACAGATAGTGGGGTGTAGGGCGAGGTTCGTAGGTGCCAGACGCTACAGAAAGATAGGTACAAAGTGCAGGTAAGTGTCTGACAAAGGGACTCCAGGACCCAACGGATGAGAGAGGAGTCGCTGTGAACTCGAGTTATTCATACGGCTCTTAAACAAAAAGGGTTATCAATGTGGGCGAGGGATCCCCGTCCTTGAATGCCGTACATGCTCTCCCATTTCTCGGGTTGACATGGCGAATCCGGGAGTGCGTTTATTGTATTTGTGGTATAGCACCGAAGCTCGTCTGATCAAGCCAGGGAATGTAAGACAATAAAGACCTAACCGATATTGGATGAAAGGAACGCCTAATTTTGGACATGGACGCTTTAAGGGCACGCCGCAGTGTTCAAAGGGTGGTAGCTGCTTCTGCCAAGCTTCCTGATAGAGATCTGCACTTGTGCTGCATTCATAAATGTCCCTTGTAATTGTCGGCTCGCGGTTACGGTGATGATAGCATTCGGGACTGGCTCGGAAGCAAGTTTTAACGACGTCACGGTCGCCCACACGTGGAGCTAAGCTTGAGAACCAAACATCCGACCCTTGAGTAACTGAGATCCGACGTGCAGACGGGCTCAAGGCTTCATTTTATCGCGCACGCTAGCAGACATTATGGACCCGCCGGAAGCACTGAACGACCAAGTAATTTCATCGCCGAGGGCAAGTATGTGATAGAGCTCGAGAGGTTATGATCCTTGTCCTGTGGGAGAGTATAATAGGCTAATTGTAAGTTGCCAGCTAATTATGGCCGCAGCTGTGAATTTGCGAAGAAAATATGAACAAGTTGGTCGACTCAAGGTCAGCTGCCTGGGTTTTCAGTGCTTATCGATTGTCGCATTCATCTCGACGATTAATATTGTCACATTGTTGTCTTTTTTGCTAATCGCCTAGTACATAGTGCCAGTCAGGACTCCGTAACTACTCCTACGAAGGATATCGTGACAGTTCCTGATCTGATGTCGATCTGGTGGACATGCCTATCATCTCTCTCAACTAAAGCACGATCATCCCACTGTGCTTCTATCGCGAATAAAGGCACCCTCCTGCTATATTCTGGCGAGTTCCAGCCACGCAAGCCTGTTGATGGAGATGTTCACGTATTTGATCTGAACAACGCCATCCAGCAATCCGTAGCGGATAATGCTGGCTTGTGGCGCACCTTGTCCGCATCGTTGAAGCCGGAGCCCCGAGTGGGCGCGACAACGGTGTTCGATGGGGGAAATCTGTACATGTGGGGCGGAAGGGGGGGCATTGATATGGCGCCTCTAGACCCCAAGCAGTCAGGCATATGGAAGGGGCAGATATTGCAAAATGAGGTGATATGGGAGAGGCTGGAAGGTATGGGCGACGAGCCCGTCACAAGAAGCTTCCATGCTTCCGTCATGGCTAATGTGAGCGTCCGCAAATGCGCCTTACAACCTGAGCGCTCAGCGTTTCATCAATTTACAATTCGTTATCTTCCTGAAAGTTGTTCTCGTACTGATCGGGATTTGTATACAGGGACAATTGTACATCCATGCGGGTTGTCCTGCTTCTGGTCGCCTCTCTACTCTTCATTCTTATGATCTGCAATCCTCTCGGTGGTCTCTCTGCGCAGATGCTCCCGATCCTGCGCGTGGTGGAACTGCTATCGCTTCTGTAAAAATTCCAATGTCTTCCTCCGATGAGGAGGTGATCATTCGATTTGGTGGTATGTTGTTCTTTTATGTCTGATGTGCGCTCTACCTACGACATTCGTGATCCCCGCTTCGTAACCTTATCAAACAGACAAAGTCTGATAGCATTCACGCTCTTTTTGTTTTCCCCTTCATATGCGCCCGACTTCTGTTCATTCTCTCCTTTTTATCGTGGTTGACAGCCTGGTATTCACCATCGTTCCAGCCTTCCTTATCTCTAAATTAACTAATATCTCACATTTTTTCAGGTTTCGCTGGGTACCAACTCCCCACCTCAACACCACCACCCTTGGATATTTACACACCGAGTACCAATTCCTGGTCAACCGTTGTACCGTCTGGCGACCCGCAACAGGGATATCCCGGAGCGCGCTCTGTCCACGGTCTCGTTCCTCTTTCCACACTTGATGGCACTGGAATCGCATTGCTATACCACGGCGAGTGTGAGGCATCCAACTTGGGCCATGCGGGTGCCGGGAAATTCTATGATGATGCTTGGGCGCTGGTGTGGCACGAGGGTGCGCTAAGGTGGAAGAAGCTAATCCTGGAAGGTAAGTCAACCTTGGTTCGCGATTCATCGTGCCTGCGCCACAGCCATGTAAACATCCATCGGCTGATCTCATTCACAGGTGATTCAACTCCGGAGGGCCGTGGCTGGATCCCTTCAACGTCTTATACCACCCCTGGAGGTAATACTCGAGTAGTTCTCTCAGGTGGTCTCCTTAGTTCGAACGAGCGCAGTGGGGAAGTGTGGGTTGGCGATGTCCAACTCTGAGCTCTGATTTCATTCCGAAAGGTACGTGCGCTCCGAATCGTTCGAAATATACTTATAGTTGTGATAAGCATGGGAGTTATGACTCCACAATTTCGTGTTTCTTCTCCAAGCCTTCATTTCAGAATATTCAAATTTGAAACTATGATTTATCTTTTCTTTTGCTCTAGCGAATCAGGTTGACTGCAAGTCTGGGCGTCCTTTGTAAACAATAACTAACTCCCGTTTCATACAACTTAATGATGATCAATGATCGATGATCTCTGAACCTGAGGCCTGAAAATTCATCCGTTGGATCGATTGTGGACAGGGTGAGGGGCTTATTGAATTCTAGGTACTGAGCTTCAAGTGAACGAGGCTGAAGGTTGAACATGTCACCCCTACTAACATGCGGAACGCTGCACATCACATCACAAACTCAAGATAGCAGAGCAATCCTTAATGGAGATTAGGCAGACCCAAAGCCGATCAGAACCCGGTAACGAGGCACTGGTGTCCTTGAAAGCTTCTATTAAAGACAGTTGAGTTTACTCTTAGCAAGGTTTGGAATGCTTCAAGCAGAATACTGTAGATCGCAGTCGGCTAGATTACTGCCCAGCTAGAGTTAAAAGGGTTGGATTGCACATTACATATTTGATTGTGAATAAGCAAAATTAACATAACAACAGGACAAATGAAAAAGAAAAAGAACATACATAATCAATAGTTCATTTGCATCTAGAGCAATACAGTCCCAAGTTCAAACAAAGGCAAGCTTTCGTTTTGATCATCGAGTTTCAAGGTCACTAACATATTTCCCCTGCCCATATCCCCCACTCTGCCGGGCCTGCGTGACCCGCGACTCGTCTCCCCCCGTGTATGCTGATATGTAGTCGAACTCATCTTCATCGGGTTGGACTGGGTCTGGGTTGATTACAGACAGCCTTCGCATTGCCCCGGACTTCCGTGACATCGAAGGTGCAAGCGACGCAGAAGGGCGGGGGAGGGATAGAGGTGAGGTATCTGCCGGCCCACTGTACCCTGCCGGAGTCAACGATGACCCAGACTCGCTTCCAGAGCGGCCAGGCCTGCGGAACGCAGCAGCTGAGATCATTCGCGGTGAACCACCGGGAGCACCCGAGGTCAGTGAAGATGTGGACTTCGCCATGAGAGGAGACGAGAACGGCGGCGACGGGCGTGGGTATTCAGGCGGCGACCTGTAGGGAGCGGAAGCCGGTGATTGCATAGAGGACAAAGAAGATGGCGGGAGTCGAGGTGATGTGGAACGAGGCGAACTACTCCTCGAAGTAATTATGTTTGGTAGAGGACGTGATTCGCCTGGGTCAACCCCGATATGAGGATGAGGCGAAGTGGGACGGTGAGCGAATGGTGCATTAGGTGGTGCAAGGGGTGAAGGCGGCTGAGAGGTCTGATTAGGCACTTGCTGAGGTGCATGAATCTGCAGCTGTTGGTGTGGTTGAGGTGGGTAAGCCTGCCCTGACATGTAAGAACCTTGTGGTGGGGCTCGGGATTGAGTTGGATGAGTGGAGTACGTCACTGGTGCGGGTGTGCTAAATGCTAGCGCATCCAATTCACGAGTGACCTCACGTGCAGCTGCTGCGTTGCGTGCGTGCTCGTCGTCGCCGTCTTCTGAATGACCTTTCGCTTGAGTCTGCAAGGGGGAAGTAGACTGTTGTGAAAGCGGAGACACGATCCTGGTATGCTCTGGTGGCGTTGGTGCCTCGGTATCTACGGAGGGCGGAGGCACACGCGGGATACGTCTCTGACTTTCCGTCGTCTCGGGCGAAGGTCTGCGTTCTACCTCTGTTTCATCCTCCTCCGTCCCGAGCCCCACTCTTCGGTCCATCTTTTCCAGTACATTTTCATTCGATTGGTAATCTTCGGGCTCCTCATCACGGTCATACGGCATCCCACCCACCGACTCCTGTGATGTTCGTCTGTCGCTCAGTCCAGTAATGCTCGTCGTCCGTTCATTTCCACTCATGACGCTCATCGCATTGTCGTTGCTTTCGCTCACGGTACGCTGCTCCTCAATTTCAGCGCCCAAACCGTCGTCCCAAGCCTGGATTGCAGCAGGAGCTGCTCCAGGTGGCAAACTTGGACTCTTGCTTCTGCGTGTGTCTCCAATACCAGTGTATGGAGCACTTGATCCGGGCACGAACGGCTCATACTTTGGCGCAGGATCATCAACTGAGGGATGATTTAGGCTTAATGATTTGGAATCGCTGCGAGCCAGGGCGTCGGCGATAGAGCTGGTCAAAGAGCCCGAGGTATCATGCGCGGGAAGGGCCGAGGAACCACAAGCTATTGTATCTGCTTGCCGCGAGTAGGAGAGGGGAGGGATTGAATGAGTCAATCCGTCATGTGACAGGACGCCTAGGCTTGGGCCCCTGGTAGGAAAAGAGGAAAATTGACTGGTGTGTGTTGACGTCGGTGTAGAGACGCCAAGTTCATCCGCGGACGCTGTGCGCTGGCTTGGATGTGGAGGAGACTGTAAATGACAAAAATGATAAGATATCTTGGGGCAGGTCGAGCTCATTAAAGTCCCACCAGAGGTTCACTCCCAAAGCTGCCCAGGTGGAGCCCGCTTCCTACCCGCGGAGCAGGTAAATAGGGAGAACCCGACAACAATGTCCGTTGTGATCGCATCTGTGGCGAGGTCTGAGTCGAGGATGTATGCTCATACTCTCCTTGGCTGACGCGGTCAGATGCGACAGCCGTAAAGGCCACTTGCGCAATACTACGTTGTGCCTCAGATGCAAGGGCGCTGACACGTGGGTGAGCGCTGTAATACGCTCGAGGAAGTCCTGGTTGCGTCACGTCTTCGGGAATCTCCTACAAATGAAGGTCATAATGAGACCTGCGGGCATACACCAGAACATACTGCAACGATTGCTTTGCCTATATCGCCAACGATCTGAGTAAAAAATGAGGCGGAGAATGAGCGAAAAAAAATCAGAACGACTGACCACACCCTTCTCACAGCACTCTACAAGACCTCCAAACTTGGCCTGCATCCAGCTCTTCGCACATTTTCTCTTGAAATCGCTTAGCTCAGTTTCCTCGCGAACAATCTCGCCATCTATTGCGCGCATCTCTTCACGCAGTCGATTGAGAGCGTCAGTCTGCGCTGTGAGATTTTTGTGTTCGGGGCTCATCTTGTTGAGCTTCTTTTCGGCACTGTCTGCAGAGGCTCCAACACGCCGTCGTCGGCGCCGTAGGTCATCGAGTGCTTCCTCGCGCGTTCGCACAGACTTCATGGTGTCGCGGATTCCATGATGTGTGCTGGCGTACGCACTCAGCGCCGCAGCAAAGTTAACAAGAAGGGTAGTAGATGTACCGAGGATATCCTATAGTTTCGTTGTCAGAAGGCGGATATTAAAACATGGCGGGTGCACATAGAGCCGTTGGTCTCGGACGAAATGCTCCGTCCAGTCGCGTAAGTATATACTGTACTCAGCTCCACATAGCAAGATGAGGAGCTTGTCTACGCGTTATTGAGCGTCACAGAATATGCGAGGCATCCCATGGAGCTTTGCGTGAACGTTACGGAATGAAGTGCAACTGCACCACGTACACCCAGGCAAAAGCATCACTCACTGCGAGGTCATCACCCTCACCAACCCCCCACGTTCTGAGGGACTCCGCAGCCTTGGTTATATCAACGCCCAGTCTCTGAATTCTGCATAATAATGCGGCAAGAACGTTAACAGGGTATATGCGGTTTCTAAAGCACACTCACGAGACCAGAACAACCTTCTCCGCGTTAATGAGATCCTGAAACTGTCTCAGGTCGCTATTACCCGCAAGTGCCGGGATCGTTGAATTATGCGCAATTTTTGCTGCTGCCGTCTTGAACATGGCTCGTCGTGGCAATTATGTCAGGTAGTTGTTGTGAGTAAACCTTGGCGACCTCGCGGAAGAGAGGGGGGTAATTGTGCGTGAAGTGGTGCATAGGAATGCCACGATTCGCATAGCCACAGTTTGCTACATATAGTATGCCTAAGGCTGTACAGCCTGAGTAAATATAACCGCAGCTCGACCGCAGCAAAGACTTCACGAACCGAGCACCGGCAACTGACTTTTGAAAGAAATCCTTTGATAATCAACAGACAGCCACATGAATGTTGTACAACGTGAATAAGTTATGTATATGAGGGGGTATCTCGGCATATCGAGCATCTGAGTCCTTCGGTCCTAATTTCACGTCCACGGATTTTGTTCGTCCTCCTCTGGACTCTTGGTTCCATAGATTCCAAGTCCGAGCATATGAAGGCGGCGTCTCAAGGCGTACTACTTCCTCTGGATCGTGCCCGTCCGGAACATTAGGTTCCTCCTTCCGTATATCATGCTCCTTGTCGATTTCACTAGGGACGACGCGACGGTCATTAGACCACCTGTCATTTTCTTCTTCTAACCCAACCGAGGATTCAACATGGATGTCCCTTTTCTGATCCCAGACACGTTTTAAGCCTGTTGCGCGCAGAGAAGTATGAGCAGCATGCGAACTTGAGGGCACCGGGAGCGTATCGGTAGACACAACAAGGTCTACAGCATCTGGCTCGGCGAGTGGAGGATGAGAAGGAGATGGGTGGGAATGTAATCCAGAAGGAAGTAAGCGGGGTGATGGAGTACCGAGGTTTGATCGCGAGTGTGAAGGCGAAGAATGAAGGTATGGAGACGACGCGCGAACGTTAACATTGCTTCCAGAGAGCAGTCTCGGGCGTGATGCATGAGATGTCTGTGAGTTGTGTCGGGATGAAGACCCTGAGCGCAGATGATTCCCTGAACCTGATCCACTCGCAGATGAGCTTAACGAGCCGGAAATCGGTGATGATGGAGCTCCATTAGTTCTGGTATCCGACCACCTCAACTTCCTCGATGCATTTACTTCTGCCCTCTGACTGCCTTCCTCAGGGGCAACCACACGTTCTTCCGAAGCGAACACTTCGTCCTTACCGTCATCGTACTTGCGTATTTGACCAGCTCGAGTGCCCGTTGCACCATAGCCTCTGCTACCCGCTTGTACCAATGTGGACATTGACGTGCATCCCTTCTCTAACAATCCTCTCTTCAGCAGCCCACATCGCATGACGCGCTTCTTCAGAGCTGACATCTACAACAGGGTACGCGTAGTCGCCGAAGACATAATTCTTCGCGTGCTCATAGAGTGAATCATCCGCGGTGACCAGGCCATCATTGAAGTGCAGTGCATATTCATCGTCGTCTTCCACGTACACGTCATCGCCGGGCATTCGTATGGTCTGCCGTTGTTCCTGATATTGCATGTCGGGCGCAGAGTGAACAACGTTCTCTGCATGTTCCGCGAGTAGTGGAGCGGCGACGTCTCCATCGTCGCCGGTGACTCGACCTAAACCAGCCCCTGTGGTCACCTTCGGCATTTCCATCACCTAGACCCGTCACCTCTGGGAGCCAATACTTCCGCTTTCCGCCTGCGGAATAGCGCAAGCCGGCACGTATCCTTCGCTCCCTCGCTGCTCCAATGTGCATTCCACCCTCGCTTGGCTCGAATGCACGATAATTGATGCCTTCTCCACGCAAAGTTGCCTTGGTGTCCTCAGCAAGGTCCTTCAGGCCAAATGCATCCCGAACGGCATACCCTATGCGCATCCGTGCCACGTGGACTTTGGCAGAAGGTGATGATTTGACAAAGTCTCTATAGGAAAATGCATACATATGCGCGATAGCGAAGAATGGCATCTCGACGCAAATTAAAGTGTCAGTGAGTCCGAGGGAGATATGTTCGCTGTCCGTGTATGGTCCAAGTTTGGATATGACATTGGCCGCGACGAGAGTTGATACAGCAATAGATTGCCAGAATGAAAAGAAGAGGATTCCTTTAACACAAAGGAATTTTGGTACAGGGCTAAGCCGGAACAATGAATTTTAGATAGCTAAGCAAACGTCTGTTGACCCACCGAAATGGCTTCAAATCATCGCTTACACACATCCAGAAGACTGCAAGGCAATACAATGCAAGGCAAATGGACACGTTGTACACGATCGAAACATACAGGTACCCGGACCGGGCCCGGAAATCACCCTCGTGATATGTTCCAGTTGCTTTCATGATGAGGCTGGCAACTGCTAACACGGGTTTGACTTGCACATATTCTGGAAACGTGTCAACATGACCATTTAAAAAGACGGCGACAACTGACGCAGAATGCCTCGTTTAATGAAGAGAAACGTGTATGGATCGCTAACATCCACTTCGTGTCTCCAAAGACTGACAGGAAATATGGCTGGGATAGGTGGTCGTCCGTGAAGTTGAATGAGAAGCGAACGCTCGCCGCCCAAATAATCAAGTAGAAGAACGAAGAAGCAGTAAATGACGAAAGCCTAAATCGGTGTTCATAGTTCACAAGAGAGATACTCGTGCATAGACAGTACATACCTCGTATACATCTCGTATCACATCAATGAAGAACGCTGCGTCCAGCGAGAAAAGGGAAATCAGGGATGACAAGGCGTAGATTGGGACCATGAGCATAATTCGGATGACCATCCTGAAAACATCATGGCTCAGCAAATAGTCGTTAGAATTCAAGCCCTCATAAGTGGAATTACCTTTGCAGGAGGGGCTTCCTATAGTTTCTTAGCTGCAGCCATATCGACAATCCACTGACAGTCACCGCTACTAAGGTCGATACTCCGGCAAGAAGGAGAACAGGAAGTGGCAAGCCAGAGCCCGCACCACGCCCATGGTTCAAGTCCGGGAGAAGCCCCATATTACCTGCAACATGCAACAAATTATTGTTGAATGATGACAAGTTGGCTGCCGCGGCGCAGTACTCTGAGGCGGCAGCATTATGTAAGAATTTAGAAATATTAAGTAATTCATTAACATTTGCAATAATTAAAATTTTAATGTTGGTGCAAAGCTTCAAGCTTCAAAGTTGCTTGTCGGCCCATGTCTTGTCATGCCCGCCACCTTCTTGCAGGTCGCAGGTATAATATTCGCACTTCCATGTTGCGTGCTACTTTTCTCGGCGCATGCCACCTTCCCGTAGGCCACACAGGATTCTAGTATGATATTTCCCCTTCTGTTAGCCCAAATCAAATTCGCACGCGCCGCGCTCGAACAACAGCAGGCGCAGGAGTTACTTTACATTCCGTACGACCTAACTGGCTCAGCCATCACACTTCAGCTAGCAGTCACGACGAGGATCTTGCTAGTCACTTGAAGTTCTCTTGTTAGTAGGAGATTATCGATCTCGAGCAATGGCTACCTGGCACTGTGGCGCCTTCTCGCATGACTCACGGGGATGCAGTGATGATGATCTAAACTGACATCGAACCACAAGATTACGACCTTGTCTGCTGCGCTGGATTCTGCATTGCCCGCATACAATTCATTCTCCGCACAGCGCTAGCATACGTCATCTACTACCAATCTCCGTCGGATCCAGCAAACTCCTCGGTGTTGCCTTGAGCCCCACTGGCAGTGACTCCCGCCAATGCGTTTGTTGCCAGACTTAGTAATTCGTGGTTATTAGCTTACGTGCGCTAATTTAAAAAGAGACTACCAATGCTTGAGCTTGCGTTTCAACTACCTGATGAGGAGAGCATCAGGGGTTGAGTAAGGAATTAAAAAAATCACACACGGCCTTGTCTGCAGCGGGGAACTGCTCCCAGTATGCTTTGAATGTGGCCGCTCAGTGCTTGTCGCCTCGCGGGGGGGGGGGCTGTAACTGGGTTACTGGGCAGACGGCGCTAGTAGGTGCGTTGTGTTCATTTTCGCTTTCGTCATTTGTCGCTCTGCATCGTCGTGTAGCGATACTATCACCCGATTCATGTGTTTCATTGTCTATTAATGTGGCTCAATTGCGAATGTAAAAACTACCTGAAATGAGATCGAACGCGTATCGATCGGTAAATAATACTCGTTCAATCTTTATCAATAAAATCGATAAAAGTTTCGTTTTTCACGATACACGTTGATTCACATCGAACTACCAATTTCTATCAACAGTTATCGATACACATTGTCCTCTATTTTGCTTGTTTTCACCGAGCTTCGAGCTTCAAATGCTGTGGAAAAATCGCCAATAGCCAGGGAGTAAGTGCGCAAGGGTAAACCAGAGCTAAAGTAATGAATTAGCGAGAAGAAACTTTTAACTCTCTGAGATCACTGACACTGTACAATTTGCAGGATTGTTTATCAGCGCTCGCAGTCCTATACACCATGAATCTCCCCCCTACGACTGCTCCATACGCTATAAAGGCAACAGAACAGACAAAATCCACGTTCCAGAGTCTGCTGAGCAAGAACGACCAAAGGGGGACGCCTAGCATCATCGAAATACGTGCAAAGGTAGGGAACAGAGTGACGAGAGTGCGTCTTCCTATAAAGCGATCCCCCTCCTCGTCTTTGAAATCTTGTGCATGAAGTGTCGTTGCAAACACTGCACAGCTCAAAGCAACTGCGCGCGCACTGATACTATCGAGGCATGAGCTGGACCCTGGTTATCAAGATATGGATCTCAGTTAACGACAAAGCTTGCTGTAGGTGGAATAGCCTACGTACCTGCAACAATCGTTGCGCCTGCTTCCAGGCACGTATATCCAACAGCTGTCAATAGATTCTTTGAAATACCAGCTTTGTGGCCTCCAAACTCATTATACCAGATACTGAGGGCTTCAAAACAAGCGCTAGAGGCGAAAGTCTGTCTGCCATACATCGCGGAAAACATCAGACAGACAGGAACTAGTAGCCAGCGCACGTCCGCCGCATTCTGGGCGGTTATGCGACCAGCAGGGAGAGGGCGATCAGGCTTGTTTCTTTTGTCCTCTTCTGGATCCTGAATCTGATTAGATATGTCGAATTTCAGGAGGTGGATCCATATCCATATTATGATGTCCAGAATGCGGATTGCGTGGACATGGGGAGTATTCGCCAAGGCAAACAAAGTCTAATGCACAAGGTCGTGTCAAAGAACATAGAACCAATTTTTGGGACACTCACGACAGGCAACAGAGTGGTCAAGATGTCAGACTTCGTGAATAACAACAGTGTTATGATATGCCCACTGATACGGCGACCACTATCTAAAGCTTGGGACAACATGGTCTGATTGTTTGCTCATTTTGAGCCAGTTAAATAGCCTGAAATCGACTTTCCATATCGACATGGCTATTCAGACACGTATCATTGAAACGTCTATGGTGGCAGTTATTTATGAAACGAATAGGAACACCGGTGAGCTTGCCACCTCGAGCGGATGCCGTCATGAGTACAATGTCCACACAAATAGTTCAGAAGATACGTACTATTATGTTCTCAAGAAGCTAAATGAAGCTTTCTATCGCCCCAACGGGGCTGCTCATTAGGGGAGATCAAATCAGAAACAAAATATACCATGTCAATTTTGGCCGAGCACAGCCAGAATCCCGTTGAAATATGCCGCGGTGACAGCGATTGACCGCCTGGTTCGGAGACTCTAAATCTGACAAATATTGCAGTGCGATTAACCTTGATTTAGTCCCAGTGCAAGCGTGTCCTGCACCAAACGAGATTTGCTAAGCTGCACCAACTTGACTTAAAGCGTAAATAAAGGAATGATTCAAAGTGGGAAACTCTTTCCACGGAGGGAGCAGAGAGCGTACCTCCTCCCTTGAATTACGTTACCACAGGATAAAAGGATCTCCACGGGAACTATTCTGCATACGAGCTCAAGCTATTACTGAAAGGTGGGTGACGATCGAGCGCGGGCGTGCAACGTGATGAGAGTCGTGTGGGCCTTGTTGGTGCAATGGGGCGTGAAGACTTGCCGGTGATAGAACGGAATGCCGGGGAAGGTGTCCAAGATGTTTCACTTCAGTACTAACCCCCTATTGTCCACTATGCTTCCTTAGAATCAAAAGCCAAGCATCGCCATTACGCTGCGGAACGAATGCAGGAGGCGCTTGAGGTTTTTCTTGTGGTAGATTTTCCAAAAATAATGACATGTAGGCGACCTCCTTTCCGAGTAATGTCACAGTCGCATAGAACAGCAAATAAAAACGGTATGGTCAGAATTTTCATGCCATCATGAAACTGCCACCCACCCACACATCATTCCAAGGGAGCGAAATTCAACTTCAGATGACAGTTCAAGTTACGTTGACTCCTCTTCACAGGGTGGCCGCTGGTGCCACTGGAGGAACGTAGAAGACGGTCATGCAATACGACTCGTGCAAGCAAGCACTTACCGGTCATTGTTGTCCGTACGTATCATAATCAAGATCTTGCCAGGCGCCATGTAGCTCAGTCACAGAAGACAGACAGCGTTGTTGCTTGGTTCCAACGCTGACAAATATATCTATTAGTACTACCTGGATATAAAATCGAAGCCTTATTAGGAAGTGGTGCACGACCCAACGTACCTTGATCTAGTCTCCTAGAAGCTGCATCCCGTTCTGAGAACGAAACCAGGATGCTGAACGTTGTGCAAATAAGACTTAGCGTGATTGTTACGATAAAAATAATTGGGATGGTGCGACTCAAGTTCAGGAGGTAGTAATCAGCCGGAAGAAGAACTTGAACACCCATCTGTCAACCATGGGTATTCTCCTACTGGATCCACTATCACTTCTGTACCTGGCTGCGCAAGGTACGTGTATTGTCTTCTTATCCGTTAGCTCGTGCACACATGGTTTGTATCTTTAAGTCATGTCATCTTCGAAGGATGGCACGTCTAAAATGGCCGAGAGTAACAGCGGACTGGTGGGGGTACGCCTCACACCAAGGCATTCGCACGCCCAGAGATGTGACGGGGACACTGGGGTCCCCTAGACTAGATCACCAGTACCGTACTGTCCTCCTTAGAGAACAACTCTCCATAGGACATGAATTTGAGTCGAAAAAAATCCAGGAGACGACCGACGTCATTCAGATTCTAATTTTTTTTTGTGAAAGTCAGTACTCACTATGGAAAATCCAGGGCAGGGACTACGACAGAACTCTGGAGATAATATCCAGGTCCAGCCCGAGTTTGCCAACCGCTCGGCTCGGAGTTTTAATACGCCCATAACGTTAGAGGCTCGGTGGGCCGGCTTCAGACGGTCGACAGTAGCTGCCGAGCTAGCCCCGCCTGAGTCTCTCATCGTCATCCTCGATCTTTCCTAATAATATTGCTGAAATGAAGAAGGACGACACGAAAAGGAGAAAAGGGACCAATACGTACTTGAATCGTGGTCCGGGCGAAACTCGGCCCATCGACGATGATCTTTGACAATAATGCTCTCACGCCTACATTTGGTCTCTTGATGTGGCAACGTTCCCCTTTCTTTTCGCTGGTACTTATTCCTAGCGGCTCCGTCAATGCAAAGTGATCGTTCCGGCTTCTTGTCATGCGAGCGTAGTTGTATGACGATTAGAATTGACGATTCGTATCCCACTAACGCAGAGATTAACTTTTTTTAAAAGTCCGTAATAATGATCTACTATTACCTACCACCAATCTGTGCACGGTTAGTGTTGCAGCAGAGGCGAATCGAATCGAGGTTGATAATCAACACTTACACAAATCGGTACTAACGAGTTGAAACGAAGCGACGCTACCCTCGTTTGCCTCGCGATGTGAGATGAGTTCGGGAGTGATATACGGACCGGCCGGTAGTCCAGCCAATGAGAAGCTAGGGATAATGGCCTGTGTATATATATGGAGTTCGAGCTCTCAAGCCGCAAGCATGACAAAAAGCCCTTGTCACCGCCTCAAGACAATCTCATTGATTTCTTGTCAGATGGCATTCATTCGAGGCCATTTGGGAGCATCATGATTTAGTCTTGTTCAAGTAGCTTTAAGATTTGTGCCAGACAAAATGTGGTTATTGAGAATGCACGAACTGGTGGTAGGTAATAGTATTCTGTATCATTTTGTTTACGGATAGTCATCCATGTCATCCATTAAGTAGTACATCATCAGAACGGGGAAAATGCAGCTTTCAACTCCGGATACTCAAACACCATAAAAGAAACGCCAGTAACCCGGAAGTAAATGGCCGAGCGAGTACCACAACTAGTATGAGTACATTGTCAGCTTCACCTCGATGTGCTCCCAAGTAATATTTCGACTCACGCTATAAAATTTGCAGGACTGCTTGTCGGCGCCTACTGTGTTGTACATCACAAATCGGGTTCCCACAAATGCGCCGTAAGCTACAAATGCGGCGGTAGAGAGCGCATCTAGCTTCCAGACACGGCTCAAGACAAATGACCAGAGGGGAATGCCGACCATCATTGAAAAGCGCGCGGCTTTGGGGAAGATTGTAGGTAGCGTGCGCCTGCCAGTGAGGCGGTCACCTTCTTCATCCTTGAAGTCTTGTGCATGAAGTGTAGTCGCAAAGGCTGTCGAGCTAAGTGCGACCGCCAAAGCACCAGCCTTATCGATGCATGAGTTGCAAGAACCTGTACACTAGATCAGCAAAATGATAGATTTTCTGCGACTGGATAGTTTTACCGGCAGCAATGGTTCCTCCGACCTCCAGGCACCCGTAGAGGATGGCTGTGAGTACATTCTTCGACAATCCCATTTTATCACCGTTAAGTTCGTTGTACCAGATCGTCAACACTGCAAAAACGGTGCTTGCAAGCAGAGCCTGAGTGCCGTACCACAGCGACAGCATCAAGCAGACTGGGACCATCACCCAGCGTATATCAGCTGCGCTGTCGACAGAAATGCGACCAGCAGGTATCGGACGGGAGGGCTTGTTCTTGCGGTCCTCCTCCGGATCCTGGATCTGGTTTGCAATGTTGAACTGCAATAAGTGGAGCCATATCCACAAAGGAGCCTGCCAAGCGTGGACGGGATCATATTTGTGAGCCGCGGATAGTGCGAATATGGTCTGAAAAGTGTAATTGAACAAAGGGGCAAGATGCGCAATGGATGTCACATACAACGGGTATCAGAGTGGTTCTGACATCATTCTTTGTAAAAAGGAAGACCGTCTCGAGATGACGAGCGATGCTATCAGCGCGAACAATGAGAGCTTGAGAGAACATAGTGAGTTGGTTGTTTGAATGTCCAGGTTGTGTGCCAGGTCCGGGTCTTTATATTCTGAATGCGGGCCTACAAGAAACGTGAACGACCGGCCGATAGCGAAACTCATACCGGAAGTATGAGCACTGCTCCCAAAAGTCCCGAAGGATGCAATGCTGATGTTTAATAATTCAAGGTTGGCCGACTAGACACCCGAACCCGATGTGTATTCGTGAGAAAAGCTCTCGGATTCCGTCATAACCGGACGTACATTGAAACCCACAACCGACAGGGATTCGAAAGAAAGAATCTATACGGGCCCTCAGGCCCAGGTGCCACCCGGTGAACACAGCCAAATATCAAGCGCAAGCCGCATACCGTTTGACCCATGGTGTGCCCACACTGCTATGCTATGACTATAGTGAATCAACGACAAAGCCTCTCAGGGTGCTAATGCACTCACTATCCAGGGAAGCCACGATAACGTTACTTGGCACACACCCGAAGACTGCGGGTAATGTAGTTGTACTGTAAGAGGTCATTGGATGAACGGGCGTTCGAAAAGTCACGAGCGTCACGATGAAGGTCTTTGACGCTACGAAATGACGCTCAACTTGAATTACCTACAGGCACCGTGATGTAATTACAGCCACGATAACGTCGAAGTTCACGTTTAACGTGAGATTGCAGTGAGCATAGTGCTGGCTTCCGAGTCCGACGGGACGCCGAACCACGGCTCGAGTTCCGAGGACTTGGCCTACTTGATAGGAACCATCATACAAAATAGACAATGAAAAGACATCGCTCCAAAGTCCTAGAGGATCATATCGGTCGGCCACTTCCTATTTGCGAAGTATTGTAAAATCCTGCTCATCAACGTGACTGCCCTAGCCTCTTTAGATTAGTGCGAGAATTGTAGCTATGCGAAGCTTGCGGATCAGCGATGCCACCTATTGCCCAGTGGATGATTGAGGACGAACATTTACTAATCTGCTGTTATGGTGTACCAGTGGTCAGTGACACTTCTTTGTGGCTCGATAACGGTCCCGCTTCTTGAAGTCCCGATATAACCCACCAATCGAAGGCCAACGCTAGATAACCGGCATGAAAGCGCGAGAACAAAGCAATGCACCATATTAACCTTCAAAGTTCAAACGACAAGGGAGTAAATCCTGAACGATCGGCAGTGGCGTCCCGGATCCCGGTCATGTGCCTACATAGTACCGCGTGCGTGACGACCTCCGGCTGGCAAGGGTGCCAGTCAAATACTAAAATATTTCCTTTCGCCGACGAAGGATCAAGTCAACGTTTACCATACTTATGTAACGTGAAGACTGACGCAAAGATTTGCGAAAGTATCTAACTCAGTAACTCATGAAATTGCATACTGGCATGATACGTATTACGAATACGAGCATTTCACTACCGACAGGAACGTTCAACGTTCCACCAAACAATGATGCCGTATGTGACGTACCTCAAACTCATGGACTTGAACAAGGCAGGCACTGCCCAGTTGATATTTCTTCGTAATTACCACCGCTCGATGATGAAGTGGTGTGTAGACTCGATGTACGCAGTTTGATCGGGTTCAGATAAGACCGTGTGTCTCCGATATCACTGGATATAGGTGAAGGTAATGGCTCATCACCTTCCGCGATGCTATCAAGTCTAAAGCCAGCAGATCTACTCCGCGCCAAAGTGGAGTAGCTTCTATTGCCAGAATTCCCTGTTGTCCTTCTACGGCTAGACAGAGCTGAAGATAGCTCAGAAGATAGCGGAGATAACTCTGCCTGATAGTCGTAATCTGGTGTGGAAGTTGTCGACGGGCCAATTTCAGAAAGCTATTCTCAAAGTTTCCATCAGCTCCTAATGAGATCGATCACGAGGACATACCACGTGCACAGCTGGCATCATATCATTGCCAATTGAGAATCGATTGCTGTTGGACGGGAGATAATCGACGGCAAAGGGCTCGTCACGAATCTCTGGAAGGTCTTTGAAGCAATTCGGACGGCTTCGGGAAATCGGTGAGCGCGGAGTTTCGTGCGTCTCGTAACCAGATGGCGTTCCAGAAAATACGACTTGCATGATGTGATGCTGGGCTTCAGATAGTAACGAGTTCATGTGCTTGTGCCCTACATATGGATGTTTGGGTGACTCCGAAAGTTCCTGATGAGTCCCGGCGCCTCTTAGAGAACTGAGCACTGGTAAGTAATAGGGCGTCACCCACGACTATCATTCGCTTCCCGATCTCCCCTACAATCTGTTCAGACATATATCAGGAAGTCGTGACCTGAATGGCGCCCAGAACATACCATGCCGGTCTCACAGAACTCCGCAAGACCTCCAAACTTTAGTGTCAGCCAGTTTTTTGTGCATTTACGTTTGAAAACGACGATCATCGATCGTTCGTGAGCGATTTTTGCATCCAAATGTCGCATGTCTTCGCATGAAGTGTTCAGTGCGTCCATCTGTGCACCGAATGCCTTGGTCTCCTGGTTCGTCCGAGTGAGCTTTTTCTTGATGCTCTCTACCGAGGCTGCAGTACGCCGCCGGCGTCTTTGAAGTTCATCAAGGGATTCTTCACGCGTACGCACGGCCTTCATGTTGTCTCGAACGATCTTTTGAATAGAGCTGTAGCGGTTGAGCGCCCCAGAGAAGTGCGCCAGGAGTGTTCTGGATGAATTCAGTATATCCTGAACCCCCATTCGATGTTGAGTTTATCTCGAGACAAGGCCAAGACTTACAGAAAGGTCGTCTCCTTCAGAAATTGCCCATGTCCTCATGGCATCAGCAGCTTTCGAAAAGTCCGAGCTCAATCTTTGTAGTCTACCTCGAGGTTTGATTGATAGTTGTATCAAACGCGAGTTGGACTCACGAAGCAAGTAACGTCTTCTCTGCTGCAATTAAATCTTGCAGAGGCCTACGCTCCTCATTTACCATCAGCGCAGGAACAGGGATCGTCGAACTATGGGCCATCTTCACAGTTGCGCTTCTAAACATCGTGGTAGGTCGATAAGTTCCGAGGATACTGTGGCGTTATTCGGCACCCGGTCTTCAGACTGTGCCAAAATGGATCACTTGGCGCTTTAAAGTAAAATAACAGCGACCCCCCTACCTTTGATCTACCTTTGATCTGTATCATATAGCTGTGTGAGACAGGGCAATTCTTGTTGGTAAAATGATGGCTTCACCTAACGAGTAGTACGTTCTTTCTCCTAGTAGTAATGTCGATATGTGACAGAGGCAGCGATCCTGACACAAGTACTTTGGATATTGGCAAGTCACTGGTCATAATGGAGATGACATGAGCATCACAAAGTAGCTATCAACCTACTTAATAGCATACAGATTGACCATGAATTAGTACCAGACAGCGCCTCAACTCTTTGAAGTAGAGACTTGAGCTCGAGGGCTGAATATTCAGGCGGCGGGAAAACCTTTCCTTTCTTGCACGCGTTTCTAGATTGTTCTCGCCCCTTGATATCTATTTGTGGTGCATGTGAGCATCCGTCTCGAGTGTTCTCTGAAGAGTATACTTACAAAATACTGGGCAGAAAAAGCACAAAGGGCAATCCCTGGGGGGAAGGGGCAACTGCATGCAGCCAAAGTGGCATTGCGAATTGGAGGTAGAAATGATTAAAGATTGGAACCGTTGATGAGTGGGACAGAAAGTATCGAGTAGGCGTTGGTCCCTGGAATGAGTTCTGAACTCCGCGAAATTGCACGCTAGATAACTATAGCGATCGCGATTTACCACGTCGCTTTCAAGTGTTTTTGCTTGACGTACTAGTACTCCAGCTCACTTATGGCATCCCTGAAGATCTCCGTCGGCGACACTATTCCCAAGGGTGACTTCGGTACCATCCCTTTCACTGAGGAGTTAGCTGATCATGTGAGACATATTGCTCTGAATCCTAACATTGTTGTTACTGATATGCCTGGTTACACAGTCAGTGTGTGGTATTCGTGCGTTTGTTTCCTGCCAGTACCCGTAGAATAAGGCTTATTAGAAGGATCACAAGCCACCACCCTCTCTACTGACAGTTGGAAGGGCAAGAAGGTTGTGCTCTTCTCAGTGCCTGGTGCTTTCACCGTATGTATTCTCAAGTGCATTCTGATCATTGAACTCACTCCATCCCGTTAGCCAACTTGTCACATCAACCACCTCCCGCCCTACCTTGCCAAGTACAACGAGTTCAAAGCCAAGAATGTCGATGTCATCGCTGTCATCGCTGCCAACGACCCGTTCGTCATGAGCGGATGGGGACGTGTTGAGGGACTGACAGACAAGGTAAATTACCCATACTATCAAGTCATTCTAGGAGCAAACGAAAGAGTTTGCGTGTGCAGATAATCACCCTCTCTGATCCCAATGCTGCGTGGTCAGGCAGCCTGGGATTAAGCATCGACCTCTCCGAACGCGGATTTGGAGTCCGTACTGCACGATACGCCATGATCATAGACGACTTGGTTGTCAAATACGCCGAGGTTCGTGTATTTCGAACACAATAATAACGGGAATCCTGATGATTGGTCTACGTAGGTCGAGCCTGGCCCCGGAGTGACTGTTTCTAGTGCTGACGCCGTATTGGCCAATCTGTGATCGAAGGTATCGTTTTTGTTCGCGTATTTAACGCATGTATTTGTGAGGCTGTCTCACTGGAACGAGCAGATACCTCTAAGTAGGTATTGTGTGTAAATCAATAAATCAATAGAGTGAAAAAGAATATGCTTACCTGTCTGCTGAGGAGGATTTTCTCAATCGAACAGTATCTCAATAACTTTAGACTCTAGAGGAAGCCGATTACTGTTTAAGCTTGGTTTAAGCCGATGTTGTAAGTTGCCTCGGCCAGGTTCGGGACCGTGCGCAGATTAATAGGTAGTTTGTTTGGAGTTGTATACGCGCTTTTGGTCAGGTGATCGAGTATTGTTTGTTGATGTCTAGATAAAGTTCAAAAGTAATAGGGTGTCGAGCGCGTCCACCCTCACTTTTCTTCACCCACAATCCATCAATCGCGATGCCCCGCAAAGCCGCTGCGACCGCCGCGCCTGCAGACGATTCCGTGCCCGCTGGCACTACCACAGCAGCTGTCGATGGTGATGCTAATCCTGCTCGCCGTTCATCCCGCCTTGCTGGTCGGGACAAGCCCCCAGCGCCCAAGAAAGCTCCCGCGAAACCGCGGGGGAGGAAACCTAAACCTACCGCAGACAGTGATAACCAAGAGGTTGAAGCTGAAGCCAAACCCAAGTCTGCCAGGGGAAAGAAGCGTACTGTTGCTGAGAAAACTGCAGAAGAGGGCGCTCAGCCAGAGAGCGAAGAGGCCCCTGCTGCCAAAAAGGTCATTTTATCTCTATTTTGTTTACTACGCGTCTCAGTATGTTGAACCGGTCGTCAGGCTAAACCCGACTCCAAGGCTGCGTCGAAGCCTACATCCAAGGCTGCTTCAAAGCCAGCCTCCCAGGTAGCCCCCGCAAAACCTGCCTCTAAGGCCGCGAAACCTGCGTCTCGAGCATCCGCCAAACCTGTTTCAACAACTGCCAAGAAACCCGCTTCAAGAGCAAGCTCCAAGAAGCCTGCGTCTAGGGTGGGACGTACCTCATTTGATTTACAGCCATGCTTATCTTGATTGTCAGGCTGAAGCCCCAACAAATGAGAACGAGGCCCCAGGCCCCGCTGCTGACACTATTGTAGAAGAGCTAGAGGAAGAAGCCGCTGCTGCTGAAGCCCCAGCTATTGAAACCGACGTAAGTTTTTTTGCTCGTTGGCGTTCAGAATATCAATAATATGCTTTTTAGGCTTAATTACCCTGTTTTGTAATCATCCATCCATGATGATGGATGCTTCCCGCTATATCCGCCGCAGACAAATGTATCTTTTTCCTATCATTATCTGCTATCACCGATTTGTATCCCTGTCTTTCCGCCCCAAACATCGATCGCGTCCCTTCGCAGTATTGTCCGTAATTTCGTTGTTGCTGTCCTTCACCCTTACTTTTAGCCTGTCCCAACGACTTTCATATCTTTAACCTTCTAGACCATCGCCGTACACTCTCTTGTCGGATGGAAACCTTATGCGTCAACGGTGCTAGCACCTCTTTTGTTTAGTTCAACTCCGTTACCATTTTATGTATGCGTACGTTGGTTATCCTAGGTTTTGTTGTGTGTATGTGATATCTACATTATGCAGGTATTGCATATTGCAGGGCTACTCTAGTCGGGACTGCAAGAGGCTACCTATTCTATCCGTATGTGTTCCAGAGAACAGACGAATAAAATATTTTGGCGGTTGCGCGACTCATGCACTCAGCAGAGCCTTTCCTCTGGAGGAATTTCCATTGATCACTCGTGCGCGATGGTTCCGCGAATCCGCGTGGGCATGTTAAGGTACCTTTCAGCCCCAATTCATTGGCTCAAGGTCTGCTCAAGTGCTCTTGATGTTGTGTTATTGTGCGCTGAACACTTCCAGCTTTCCAACTGGACTGACTCAACTGTTGGCGGGAGTATGCCCAAACCACTGCAGTCCTCAGCAGGCCCGGGCGATCGAACGTCTGGAAGTAATCGCTTCACTTCTACCCAGCCTGTTCACACATCGGATCTCTGGACAGGGAAAAACCAGCAACAGGTCTTCCGAGTCGATCCTCCGTAGATCCGTGACTAAGCGCCCTCAGACATGTCATTGAAATACGTCCTTCTCTCATGAGTTGTGGCCTACTACACATATGGTGTTCGCACTCGAATGGCATCAATGATATTTATCTCGACTTCGAGTCAGACCGGTTCAACTACAAACGTACAAGCACAAGACAAGACGCCCCGTTTTGCGACGAGCATTTCTCCGCTATCCGATGCGCAAGCGAGTAGCTTGTCACAGGTGGGTCTGTGTTCCTCGTTGCATGCGATGTCTGCAGGCTTGTTCAATATCGCATGGCGCAATTAGGCATGGAGATCCTCGTTTGCAACCTGGCAGGGCAAGCCACACTAGTGTCAATGGGCACAATATTGCATGACGCAATCAGGCATGGAGATCCTCGTGGCAACCAGGGCAAGCCCATTAGTGAATTGGGAAATTAGACGTAAGGAACTTTTATAATTACGAAGTTCCCCTTCCACTAACGTGGGAGTCGGGGATGGCTATCGTACATTGTATGCCGCGGTGTAAGTGATTTTTGCCTCGTTTCACTCCAGTCACTTACATCAGACTGCAAAACGCTCCGTGGACAACTTCGGTACACGACGTGCTCTATATTCTCCTCGCTTTATCTCAGACCATCTTGGCAGCATGGGCGGAATTCTTCAATTTTTGCGGGCAGCCTGCCTCGCGCACGTCTAAATTCTGACCAGACAATCTTTAACAAGCAAAAACCACAACATTCCAGATTGTATCCCTATGCCTCTTCCGTGCGCCGTATAACTACGTGAAGGCCATCGGGGTGGACAAAATAATCAATTGCGTCATCTTGATCTCTTTCAGAACGTACTTCCGACAAGAATGTAGCACCCGGTATTTGGAACAGAGTTGCTAGCTATCATATACAATCCTCCTTACGCACTTCTCATGTGGAGGTCAGCTACAGTGGATGATTGGCTTTAGGTGAAACTGACTGAGTATTTCCAGTACGTTGTTCTTGGTTTTCGCTTTTGCATGCATGGTATTCCGCTCGGTGACGCAAAGCGCTTTCAACGCCACTGGTGGTCTACCATGCATCTTCATATTTTGGACGGGGTGGACGACATGTGCTGCATCCGGACGAATGGACCCCCCTGGATCGAATTAGTGGTGTTGATACCTGTATTGTCGTGCGTTCTACACTATTTTATGCCGTGCTTCATTGAAGTGGGTGACATGATGACATCCAACCGAGCATAAATCACGTTCTTAGTGAGAACGACCAGTGACTCATCAAGCGATGTTGGATGGAGCGGAAATACCGAAGGGGACACCATGCCGTGGTTGACGAACACCTGGTTCCAGATGATGCTATCTTCCCAGGTATTGAACCTAGTCCAGCACCACCAGCACCCATCGAGGGGAGTCGTTGGTAAGGAGTCTGCGCAGAATTGCTCCCAGTGATTGATCAAGCGACATCGACACCATCTTGCCGGTCGTACAGCGCAGTATTTCTCAGTGAGGAAGGGGCCATCGAGCGCACGGTCAAGCGAGACTTGCGGGAGCTCAGTTGTTACCCACCGAGGCGAGTGAGAGGAAGATATGGCTGTGAATGCAGAGAGCAGATAACAATAACACCTGCCAGTGCGTAAGTTGGTAGAGGTGATACAACTCTGACAGGTAAACATTTGGACATCCCACTGTCCAGTCACGGAAAGTCACAAACCTATGTTGCATACATCACAATCATAAGCTAATCATACAAGCATTCTCCGGCAGACAGATCAGAGTAACAGCGGCTGGCAGCTGCTACTTAGGTATCCTTGCATTTCAAAACACTTATTTCGCCTTTCCGAACGTCCAGTACTTCGCCTCCGAGGCAGGAGCTGCCTGAACAGTGATCTGGAGTGAAGTTGGTCATAAATAGGTCAAAAAATATCAGCGATGAAAACAAACAAAGGTCCAGTTTCCGCCATCTTTGAGATACCACACGTCGTCCACGTCCTTTGGATGGATCCTGCAGATAAAGATAATAAATGAATTCTCGATACAACTGGGACCGAAGGCTGCACTCACTCAAATTTGACGCCGTCCTCGGTGGACAACTGGAGTACCTGGGGATCGGTGAAGCCTTTGACTTTGCCGTCCTACGATTTCACGCTGTTAGCAATGTTGCATCTGTTAACACCAGGCAGACTTACAATCTGGTCGATTCCGAGGTACAAGTTTGTCTCAGTATCATAGAGAGTCGCAAGATGCTGAACCACGTCCTTGACATCAACTTGAATCTATGGGCATTGATGAGCACGGGAAGCGCGTTGCTGCAACGATGCACGCGTACGATTTGAGCAACGTCGTGGCCGACGAACTCCTTGTTTCCTGACATGTGGACGTAGCGGTCTACATACAAGACATTCCTGATCTTGTATGGTCCGGAGGGGATCATGTGGCTCATGGTTGATTGAAGATGCTGTTGAGTACTGATTGAGAGAAGGTTGCTGATAGAAACTGACGACAGCCTGAGGACACCATGATGCTGCGACCTGTATACCTGGTCGAAAGCTCCATTGCTAGTTCCAGATGAACCCCAAAGTCAGCATCACCCTCCGTCTAAGTCTTGGTCTTGGGGTCACGACTCACATAACTTCGGGTACTGATCAAACACCGAATTCCGTTGGAGACAAGTTCTTGATGAAGGTGCGCCAACTGCTTCCGAATTATTGTGACCAACAATATTGATCTAATCATTCCTCGGGTCGCGTCCGGTTCACATGTGACTCCCACATAGGCCCTATAATTGGAGGTACCTGTGGACCGGGTGTGTGCCTATTCATTTATCACCTTTATCTGCAGGATCCATCCAAAGGACGTGGACGACATGTGGTATCTCAAAGATGGCGGAAACTGGACCTTTGTTTGTTTTCATCGCTGACCTTTATTGACTTTATTTATGACCAACTTCACTCTAGATCACTGTTCAGCCAGCTCCTGCCTCGGAGGCAAAGTACTGGACGTTCGAAAAGGCGAAATAGGTGTTTTGAAATGCAAGTATACCTGAGTAGCAGCTGCCAGCTACTGTTGCTCTGATCTGTCTGTCTGTCGGGGAATGCTTGTATGATTAGCTTATGATTATGATGTATGCAAGATATATTTGTGACTTTCCGTGACTGGACAGTGGGATGTCCAAATGTTTACCTGTCAGAGTTGTGTCACCTCTACCAACTTACGCACTGGCAGGTGTTATTGTTATCTGCTCTCTGCATTCACAGCCATGTCTTCATCCCACTCGCCTTAGTGGGTAATAACTGAGCTCCCGCAGGTCTCACTTGATCGTGCGCTTGATGGCCTCTTCCTCGCTGAGAAATACTGCGCTGTACGACCGGCAAGATGGTGTCGATGTCGCTTGATCAATCACTGGGAGCAATTCTGCGCAGACTCCTTACCAACGACTCCCCTCGATGGGTGCTGGTGGTGCTGGACTAGGTTCAATACCTGGGAAGATAGCATCATCTGGAACCAGGTGTTCGTCAACTACAGCATGGTGTTCCCTTCGGTATTTCCGCTCCATCCAACATCGCTTGATCAGTCATTGGTCATTCCCATTGAGAACGTGATTTATGCTAAGTTGGATGTCATCATGTCACCCGCTTCAATAAAGTATGGCATAAAATAGTATAAAACGCACGACAATACAGGTAGTAACACCACTAATTCGGTCTAGGGGGGTCCATTCGTCCGGATGCAGCACATGTCGTCCACGCCGTCCAAAATATGAAGACGCATGCTAGACCAACAGTGGCGCTGACAGCCTGAAAGCGCTTTGCGTCACCGAGCGGAATACCATGCATGCAAAGCGACAACCAAGAACACCGTACTGGAAGTAATCAGTCAATTTCTTTCACCTAAAGTCAATCATCGACTGTAGCTGACCTCTACATGAGAGGCGCATAAGGAAAACTGTATACGATAGCTAACGGCTTTGTTCCAAACACTAGGTGTGGCATTCTTGTCGGAAGTACGTTCCGAGAGAGATCATTAAGTCTCATAACACGAGAAGGATGAGAGCTGAATCATCATACCGCCTGCTCAGCCGAATGCTGACCCTTCCTCAGACTCTGGCGGACCAGTACTGTGAGTCCCAGGATCACCGCCCCAAACGCTGGTTATTGCCCTAGGTATGACTGAACGTTCTCAACAGGGCATGGTCAATAACAAGCGCAAGAAAAGCAACTGAACACCATGGTCGCCTGGTCAAAGCTTAGGTAATGGTACAGAAGATAAAACGTGCACGCACAGTTAGTGCCAAGCTAGACTAATCATCATTCAGCTCAGCTACAAACTACTTCCAGAGGACGCGATTGATCATTTTGTCCAACCTGGTGCCATCAAGCACCTTCGCATAGTTACACGGTGCGCAGAGGCATAAGGATACAATCTGGAATGTTGTGGCTTTTACTTGTTAAAGATTGCCCGGTCAGAGTTTAGATGTGCGCTGCCCGCAAAGATTGAAGAATTTGGCCCATGCTGTCTGTCAAGATGGTCCGAGAGAAAGCAAGGAGAATATAGAGCACGTCGCGTACCGAAGTTCTCCCTAAGGAAGCTGCAGTCTGATGTGGTCGCACTGAGGCAAAGTTCACCGCGGCATACGATGCACGCATCCCCGACTCCCACGTTATTATTGGAAGGGGGACTTTGTGAGTTCCTTACCAATTCCTTACGTCTAATTTCTCACTACCGCCTCTTGCTTTATCCACCTTGGCTGTATAGTTCTTAATGCTGTTCGCCCCGTTCGCCAGTCTCTAGCTCTAACTGCATCATTCGTCTCAACCCCGCTCTCTTAAGTTATTGCCCACTCCTCCCATCGCACAAACCCGGCCTGTTTCAACACTTCCACTCACCTTCTCTCGTTATGTTCTTCGGCAACCTTTCCTCGCTCCCTGCTGATCCCCTGCCTCGTCAATGTTGATGCTTACGATCGAATCAGCCCAAACTCTTATTATTGTGGTTATAACGTCTGCCCTGATCCTGTGGTGCACTTACATCGCATTGCCACCTTTGTTGCCACTCACTGCAATGACTCTCAGTGGGACGAGAACTCCGCACGTGGAGACAATGACCGACATTTCGCAAATCCAAGTGACCCACTGGGCCAATCAGCTTGGACCAGATCTCTGTGTCTCACCTACAGTGCAGTTTCGTAGAACGAACAACCGCACTACGGACATGCCTGCGCGTGCCCCGGCACTTGGGTACACGTTCTTTCAGGAACATCCATTGGTACATGCGACACCAAATGCTTCAATGATATTGATGTCGCTGGAAACGTGTTAGTGGTCAAATACATGCGGAGGAATAAACACGAGGTTATGGACTGGAGAAGAGGATATGCTGTGGGTCAACGGGATCGTCAAACAGCAAGTCAAAGATACCTGCTATGATATAATTACTGACAAAGAGCAGATTCGTTTATCAGTCTGGGTTCTGGAGATGAAGTGTGTTGAAATTCAGTGTTCGTTAGATTGCGAGAATATTCTCAGTTGTATCAAGCGACACCCAGTAGACTGGCAATATAGTCTGAACCTGAAGTGAAGAATCTCGCTTCAGCAAGTGCAAGCGAGTTGAAGTTGGGGACTTGCTGTGTGAGTGGCCTTACTGATACGGTTACCGCTTGTATCGTACCGCGAGTATGTCATAATACCGACTTACCTACAATGCACTTTGCATGCAGGAATGGCTCACTCCCACTCGCCTCAGCGGGTAACAACTGAGCTCCTGCAAGTCTCGCTTGATCGCGCACTCGAGGGCCCCCTCCTCGCTGAGAAATACTGCGCCGTACGACCGGCAGGATGATGTCAACATAATATTAATTCCTTGATCAGTTACTGGGAGAAATACTGCGCACAGACTCCTTACCAACAACTCCCTTTGATGGGTGCTCATGGTGGCGCTAGGTGTAGCATATAATTTATTCAACACCTGAGGATGATAGCATCGTCTAGAACCAGGAGTTCGTCAACCATGGCATGGTGTCCTCCATCGGTATTTCCGCCCTATGCCATCCTCTCTTACCGTCGTATTCACACTTAGCATTGTTTCGGTATTGCGCTGCTGCTGAGATCGAGCCCGGCACCTCAGGCTCGGTTCCCAAGGGCCCACGTCAAATTATTCAAGGTTATCCTCGACACTGGGTAAGACAAATACTTCCCCTGCCTACAACGCGGATGGCTCTAGAATCTCCATCGACTACCAGAGTGGTTCCGTAAAGGGCTACATTCCCCAAGATGGCATCTGTATCGGAGACATCTTTATCAGTGACCAGGAATTTCCCGCAACCTGGCAGGTCTTGGTAGGGCGCATGATGCTGCCAAACACAATGGATACATTAAAACGATTTGATATCATGCGCATGTTCGGTTTACAGAGATCTAGAGCCTCATCAGCAAAATCATCCAATGTATGTTCCGTCCGCCAATTTCAAACAAGTGCGTTACCGCCTGTTTAGCGCTTAGTTGTCACCGTGCTTCCCAAACAAGTTTGCGCAATGTTCCGTATACCAGTACTCCGGTCGCGTCGAATCTATTTTCTAAAGATCTGGAGCTCAGCGCTTAGGCCCCATGAGCCCCTAAGCTAGATCCAACACGGAAACATGGAGGACGCTCCCCTTCCGGCCCCGCCAATCCCTGGATTTCTCTTAGGAATACCATTCGGACGCTCTGTAACTTTGCGGGCCCATCTTCTATCTTTCATGCTGGCTGTCGTTGATCCAAGGTCCTCGATGGAAAGATTGTTCGAACCAAAATGTTGCTCCCTCGCCAACTTCGTATAGTGACGCGGTGGGTTACAATCGGGACTATATCTGAAATTCAAGCTCTGATGACACGAAACATGTCACTGAACGGCGTCATGCGGCCAAGGCTCCTTTTCATCTCGAGCAACCGCTGCAATGTTCGGGTCCTGGATGGAACGTGTCATTCACCTCTGACATGTTGCTATCTGTACCGTAGCCTTATGAAGATTGTGGGGTAAGGCGATCAAGAATCATAGGCGACCCATGTAAAGACTACATAGGCCAATATATCCCTAATGATACTTGCGCTTTAATGACAAAGGTTCTAATGGGCGCATGAAATTCCAGAAGGGCAAAGGGAGTTGTCACTCAAGACCGAGACTCAGACGAATGGTGATATTGAGCATCAGCATCTAGAACGTGACAGAGCCTTCAGGCAGGTATAAAGGTCGCAGGGTATCCTGCCATTGATTTCCGTCAGCAACTATATCTCACTCAGTACTTAGCAGAATCAACTATCAATACACCTCACACTATGCTGCCCTCCGGCGATTACAAGATCCAGAATTTTTTGCATAAAGACAGGTTTGTCCACATGGAACCTGAGGGCGCGGTTGTTGGCTTCAAGGATGCTGATGATGTACGTGTTGCATCATTGACGTACATTTTATACTCATCGATGTCCATAGGTCGAGCTCCTTGTTAAGGACGCAGTTCTGGGTCTTGCGACTCTTTTTGATAAATTGAGGCTCAAGTATATTGTCATCGATAGAGAGGTTAGTCTATCTCGTGTCTATATATGAGATATTGCTAATGGCGTGGAATCATAGGGGAATGTCGTAGGCAGCGTAGAGCCCCAGGTGCTCCAGTTCTCCACCGAGGGCGACGGAAAATATGTGTGGGTATGGACATTGTTACTGGTAACGAGAATTCATTCGTCCCCTTCATCTGCAGAATCCATAAAATGGACATTAACGAAGTGTGGGTCCTCAATGAAGACAGAGACTTCACCCCGGTTTGTTTGTTGTGATATTCTTTTGGAACTTTATAACTGACGTCGCTCCAGATCGTTACTGCTCCGGCTCCTCCCCCAAGCGTTAAGGACCACGAGAAGAAGTACTGGCTGTTCGTGAGGGTGTTTTAAGCTGTTTCGGAATGCAAAGACGGCCAGGTTGCTGTGGCTGTATCTCATCTTATCGGAGAATGCTTGTATGATTAGCCATCAGTCGTGATGTACGAAAGAAAGTTTGTGACGTCATTGGAGATGTACGGGTAGCATGAGACCTGAGTTTTTTTCGGCAATCTTAGCGTGCACACCGAGTTGCTATCCTGTAGGATATTTCGGCAGTTCGTGGAGCATTTCCTGACGGCTTGATGAAGAAGGAAATTGCTTCAGCGGCGAGTCCACATGACTGCAATGTTTTGTCCCTCTACTGTCAGGAACCATGGAATATTCCAGCGAGCGAATAGTGTACCTGACATCTGTACACCTGCCGAAGGACAGAGACAAAACTGCTGGCCCAGTTACCGGCTGCGAGCCTGGGCGCGAATCTGACCTTTGACGGCAACACGGAGTTTGTCAATCTGAAAGCCCCAAGTCGAGCAAGATAGTGCATTCATGGTCTCAACACCTTGTTGTATCGATGCGTTGCAAGTACGAAGCTGCCAAGAGCAACAAGGCAAATTTGCTTCCGCGAAGGTTGGTTACCGGTGGACTGGCTGCAAAGTGACAAGCTGCATTGCGGAACATTGAACATCTGACATGCCGTGTAGTGTACATGCAGTGTAGCTCAGCCTCCGCCAGCCTCCACCAGCTGTAGTGACTTGTCACTGCAACTTGAAGGCTCTTTAAGGGTTGAATAGTATGAATTGGAAGTGATTCGGGCGAGGATGTTGACTTAAGGCAAAGTGTTAGTACTATGGCAGATTCACCAGTACTGTAGGAATGAAATACTCACCCGTCTTCGCTCGGAGTCGGCGCTTATGCTTCAGCTATGGTCTGCTTGAGCCTTGAGGAGACAGATTTGTATGTAAAAGCCTGGACGTAACCTGTGACAGGGTCAATGTCCGAATTTTCCCTGTCACGATTCTTCATCAATCGGACGCCCAGTTTGTTTTCCAATCAGTTGACGACGACCACCAACACTTCGCAGTCTTGGACTGAGTTACTGAAATACTCTACTATTCAGCAAAAAGCTCGCGAGCAGGTCTTAAACTTTCAAACTTCGAAGCTTCAAAAAATGGCGTCTGCACAGGTTCCGACTTCGCTATCTTCATTCCCAGAAGAGCTTCTTGCTCGTATACTTGCAGATTGCGTGACTCCTCCTCAAGTATTACCAGTTCGTCCACCTTGGCACACCCAACCAATATTCTTTCCACGTCCCTCACTCTTAGCCCGCCCGACACCCCACACTAGCACACGTGCCCCATCGTCGCTCTTGCTCGTTTCACGGCAGTTCCTCCGCATTGGTACTCCCATATACTATCAGACCCTCCACCTTCCGACGGCTACCCATGCTGCCCGCGTACTCGAGACGCTTATCTCCCAGCCGATCATTGCTGATGCGGTACGCCGTGTTGTGCTAGGCTGCGTGTCGCTGGAAGGCGCTCGTGTACTTCGGGCGTGCGAGAAGATCGAAGATGTGGATATCTGTATGGATGTTTATGAAGCTAATCCTCGGGGAGATGCAGCAGAAGATCAGGATGCCCAAGCCCTATGTGATGCACTCGACCGACTAGACTTGAAGCATCTTACTATTCGCAGAATTTCGGATGCATATCTCACACTTACGCGCCCAAAATACCTTATTGAGCGCATTACAAAGGCTGTACCCGGCTGGCCTAACCTTGTATGATCCTCCATTTTCCGTATCGGTCAATACCTACTGATTCGTGATGTTCTCAGGAATCCGTTCACTATGCATTTAAAATCAGTTCAACACCAGCCACCAGGCCTTTGGCTGAGGCTCTGAGCCATGCCCCCAAACTACGCAGTCTTAAAGCGCAACTCCCGGAGATTTGGAACGAATTGTTCCTCACCATCTCCACAAATCCGACTCTCGAACAAGTCGCATTGTATGCAGAAGGCGTAGACGGGATTTTGCATACGACTATGTACATGATGGAGGCTAGGAAACACGCACACTTGAACGAACTGATTAAGGTTGGAACGTGAGCGTTATCCTACTCGTAGGCATCGTGCTTGTACCTAACTATATCCTGATTTACAGGACATTTTTCCGAACAAGGGCACGTACAACTGCTGCTGCAGTGCCGAGTCCACCGTCAACAAGACCATCGACTCCTCTGAGCGCCAGCAGAGTGAAGGAGGTGGCTGCCGAACTCATGACTCCTAGGCTGAGCCAGAACGTGCCTCCCCATGTGGCGGGAGGCTCACATGTACTTTGATCGCTTCCTATCGCATATTTCGCATTGGGTATCATTTCCTATCATCTCTCACATGCATTTTCCTCTCCATATCTCACGAAGTCGCGGGCAACTCCCATCACAGCATATATTTCCCGCGCATGACAATGATGATTTTTGTAATGCTCTACAACGATTTTTCTTTTGATATGGCACGTTCTCCTTTCTTTTCACTAATACTTATTCCCTGCGGCTCCGTCAAGGCAAAGTGATTGACCTGGTGAAGTTCTTGTCGCACGAGCGTAGTTGGTCTGGTACTTCTGCACTCGGACGTTCGTTCTTGTTCTTGTTACTTTGTCCAGATATCATGAGCATAGGCTAGGCTAATGGAAAATCATTCACATACACTCCCATTGTCACATAGGATTGCGTTGTGTATCAATATTGGTAGACGACGGCTAACTCGGAGGAGCCAGTCGTTTAGCAGCACTGAGCAGCTGGGCCTATATAACTTGGAAATCACGTCGCATGCACTGGTTCATGATGATGCATAAAATTCTCATGTAACATGATAGCGCACGTCTGTTGTGATTCGAGGAGTTCCGTACCACCAATCAGTTGCGACGTCTTGTACTTAGTATGATACAAGTTACAACATCGGCTATAGTCTATGAATGAGTCAGGGAACCCATGTGTGCTTCCGGATCGGCGACATCAGGGTCTCTAGTCGTGCTACAGTAGAGCTTAGTTGTCTATTCTATTCGAAGGAGCTTTTCATCCTTAGCATCAGCGATCGGCCGAACATGCCACATAAAGCGAGGAACCGTTAAATCTGAGGGGAGTAATCATACTCTTCGATCGTACATTCTGAAACTCCACTCCAACATCCACAACAGTAGGAATGCCGGCTCGTACAGCAGAAAAAGATGCAGCACGCAAAGAGACGCGTAACCCCTGCAGATACTCTGGTTTCTCTTGGGGAGCAGCGACAAGGCGATAGCCGCAGAGGTGGGGATAGCGGAGTACCATCAAGGCTGCTTCACGGCATAGTCTTGAGACCAATCCGAGGGCGATGAGCTCAAAGGGGTGGAGATAACGCGCGATTTCTCGCCAAAGCTCAAGAGGCAGCGTTGGACAAATGGTGCTGAGTGGCACATCAACTCTCTGAGCGAGCGATCTCTCCGCTTTAGTGATTTTGATGTACCGTACGTAATCGCAAACCTCCAGAGCACGCTTGAAGAGTGCGGGGTCGATGTGATAGCCAAGACGGGCAAGAGCAGTAATGCCTGGCGTAGAAGGTGAATTTGCAAAGAATGATGGTAAAAATTAGAGGGCGCTCGTGTGGCTGAATGTCGTTGTGTTTGCGTCTTTGACGACTTTGACAATTGCGCAATGGAAGACACCTCAGGCAGTACTTCTCGGTGGCAATGAAGGGTCTTTTAGACCCGGTTTCTATGTTATGGGAAACTGGGCTGAAAGACCCTTCATCCGGGAGGATCCGCCGTATGTAAATATAGCTACAATCTAAAAATATCAATTTGCCTCGTTGCCTCCTGCTGTACGCTGTTCCGGTGCAGCGCGCTCCTCCTGCGCATCCCGTTGAAATTTAGATACCTCGAATGTACCTTACATGTTGTCCCAGAGCATTCGATTCCACCTCAATGACAATGGTCACTTGCCACTTAGCCGTTTTTTCTCAACTCCTCTGCTCCAGCTGTCAAGATATCATGGCCCCTCGTATGGGTACCCGCGCTGCTCAACCCGGCACGTCATCTGGGCTGGGTACCCACTTTTCCAGCCCACGGAAACTTAGAGACAAGCGGAAAACCCAGGTGCTTGTTGAAGTGCCAGGTCAGAAGGCTAAACATAACCAGTTGCTTGCCAAGATGGCGAGTCTACTCGCCGGTTCAGCAACTCGGAAGCCTGAAGAAACTTCACCTGTCCTGCCAGAGATGGAAATGGATGCTGTGGTTCTCGAGGATGATGCTAACGAGGCTTGGGAAGATGTCCCTGAACCTCATGACAACTGCTCTCCCCAATCTCCTTCACAATCCACACCGAGTCGTCGTACCCAGCCTGATCTTACATCTACTCGCTTATACGACAGCTGGAAAGCACTTATTCCTACTCTAGTCGACATCCAACTAGACTACACTGCACGGACATTAGGCGCGCCTCTCGAACGAACGCCAAAGGTTCTGTCTTTGTGCAGCTCGCACACATGTGCACAAAAACGCACATCTCTTACCTGTCTCTTTTTTGACTGTAAGTATCGGTCGCATTCTTTGACTTAAATCAGCTAATTTCTTTCTAGACTTCATCTCCATTGACGCAATGAGCTGTAG